GTAGTATCTCTGCTATTTAATGGGCCTACGTACGTAACGTCCACCTGGGGTAATATAATGTTTTAAATGGGTTTATCGTTTCGAAATCTCGCCAACATTCTCCCCGTTTTTTTTTGACGGCAGGGTCGCAATGGATGAACTGGGTGGCATTCGCTTCGGTTGCAGTCTGCCTACCGTTGCTTTTCATTTACAAAGAGCGCCACAACCGGCTCGATGTGGACCTTCTGGAAGAAGAAGAAGAATTCCCCATCACAGACGAAGGTCAAGATAACAAAGCTTGACCGCCAAGAGTTTGCTTTGAAGGCAGAAGCGTTTTATTTCAGAGTCGGCTTCAAGCAATAATTAGATTCAAGAGTCTTGCATCATGTAAAGTCAGGTTGGCGTAGCGGTACTTTCCTCGCCTTCCACCGCTGTGACCCGGGTTCGAATCCCGCCTGGACCAATATGTGGATTGGGTTTTCAGTCCCTACCTGATTCCGTGGGTTTTCCCCAGAATATTCTTCTGGGGTTTTCCTCCTACTTCTAAAACTGTAATTATCTCTCATTGCCTTCTCAGGTTTCAGGCTTGCGAGCTATAAGTGCCTAGTGCGCTTTTGAGGAATTCTTAGTTTCATTACCAGAAATAATTAATAATAATAAATGAGAACCATTATTATTCACACATAAAAAAATTCCAACTCACAAGTTGCATTGTGTTCCATGCTTAACGAAATTGTAAATAATGTTTTAACATTTCTATAAAGGTGGCAACTCGCAATAACTTAAAATGCACATTTACAATAACCATTCCTTTAATTATTACTTCGTACCGCCAAGGTGGTTGGGTAAGTTTTGATACTTCGGTGTCAAACACGTTTCTGTATTTTGTTTTGTATTTTGTTATATGACATTGGAAACAGTTTTGGTGAAATTTTTTTAATTAAAGTAACATTAAATATTTAAACACCTTCACAATAATCGAGAATAACTTGTAATCCACTTGCCAAAAAATAGTTTTGTATAATTATATTAATACTTTACATAGCTTTTAACGATTCCATAAGCCTACATGTCAGGTTTTTAACCGAGTGACCAAAAATGTGATTACTATCAGATTTTTACAAACTACCGACATTTATTTATTTATTTTTTTTAAACTATTTTCAAATATGATAAAGTGTTCGGATATGGTGATGGGCGATGGCATGTAAAAAGTTCGTTACTTTGCGTATTTAAAATAAATACTAAATGACAATGTTGTGTTCTAACTTGCAAAAATGTAACAATAGGTCACTGAGGAAGTATAACAAGTAAATAAAATAACACGTTAACAATTATGAAAACGGAAATTGCGTCGTTTCTTTGCTTTCATTATTATGGGAGGGGTGAAAGTTTATAAACGTTGTAACAGTGGCTTAAAGAAACACGGTCCAAGTTTTTTTTTTGATGGAGGGATTTTATATGTACCTGTTTCGAGGACTAACACAAACCGATTTGAAAATTCGAGAAAAGAAAACATTAAACCCACGTTGTTTTGACGAATTACCGCTATTTTGAAAGTTATTTTTCAAAATGAAAAAAAAATGAAAAAGAAAATAACACCTGACTCGTTTTTTCCAATGCTCAGTTTGATAAAGACCTTAAATCCGGTATTCCCCGTGCTATTTTCGAGTTTCACCTCGCCACCTCGAGTTTTGAATTGCCATTTCCCTGGCAATGATTCGCTTTTGACTTTTCAATTGAACCTTTATTTCAAATGAAACCAGAAAATCGCATTCATTTCAAAGAAAGAAGCATGGATCAAGTGGAATAGACTTAAATTATATATACAAAGAATAAACATAAACAATTAAGGACGTAATGGTTCAAAAGAGAGATAAAAAAAAACATTAAAGAAATTCCTTATACGTGAAGCGAACATCCAATTTAACAGACACAAAAACAATGTCTGTTTAAGAGCAATCGTCAACTCCGACTGGAAGCAGTAGTGGTGACACCATGCTTCCTGACAAGGATAGACGATAGCAACAATGGGCTAGAAAAGTATAGAGAAAAGTTGAATACATTGGATCCATTTGGATAACATAATGCAACAAGAAAAGCAATCAAATAAGCCAAACAACTTGGTCATTAACAAAAGTGAACACATAATTCAAATGATCCCATTTTTGTTTGAAGAGCGAGAGGTTGTGCGATTGTGGAAGTCTACGAGGATTTTTCCACACCAGCAGAGGATCAGGAAACGGATGTCGGGAGTATAGAAAATATATGGTGGCTTTGAAACTGATGATTAAGTAGTTTGCGAGATGAACCAGCTCCTTTGCCCGTCCTCCGATTTAGTCGGAATTATGAGGCGTCGGACCTATGAGGGGTCGGACTTATGAGCGGACCCCAAGAAAAGTTGGTGGTCAAAACGTAGATTCCGGTAATTTTGAAGGAAATACTTCTATTTTAATTACCACAGATGTCGGTTTCAACATTGTCAAAAATATTTATGAGCGTCATAGTAAATCCTCTGCTGCATGTCAGGCGCGGTTCTAGAGCCAATATTTTGGGGGCTAGCAAGGTGGATCCAGAATTTTCTTCAGGGAGGCGTGCTGAAATGTAGACAGGGTTTTTTCTCCGGACACTTAAGCCTCTGAAAATCAATACGTGTGTGTGAGTCTGGGTGAGTTTGTGTTACATACCCTATGTGGACTTGTGAACAAAAGAGGTCCACATAATGCAGGTTGTGTTAACCTTATGTGGACTAAGCCGTGTCCACATAAGGTTTTGCCCTTTCTGGAAAATAGGTTTAGAGGCATTTTTGGGTTAGGTTTATCTGTAGCAGAATGAAGAGAAATACTATAGGGAATCATAGAAAAAAAATTGGGTTAAAAGAGTTTTCACAGTTTAAGTAAAGTTATTTTTTGTACCGAGTTTTCTTAACTACACGAAAACAAAGCAATGTCCACACTAGGTATGTAATGTAAGTCTGTGTGTGTGGGTGGGTGTGTGTGTGTGTGTGGGGGGGGGGGGGGGGGGCTCGTGCCATATTTTCAATGGGGAGTGCTGATAAAATCCTACAATCAGGCACGCTATATTAACCGAAAGTGTACAAATGCACCCTTCTCATTTAGGGGGAGAACGTTCCCATGTACGTCAAATTCTTACATTTTGCTAGTGCATTTTTTTATGGAATATTGGGGGGGGGGGGGGGCTAGACAAAAGCCCCCCCCCCGAACCGCCACTGCTGCATGTTTAAATAGGCATAAGTCCCAGGGTCTATGGGCCGGATCATGGACTAAGAGAACCGATAACCCCTTAAATTTTCAAGTGGAATAGCGAAGGCCTCGTCTTCCTTGGAGTTCAAGTTCATTTTAGGAAACTCCCAAAATTACCGACAGTTAAAGGGAATATACATCATTTGCTTTTGCTGTAATTTTCAGAAATGGATGGAATTGGGGGGTTGGAAATATATAGCAAATATAGTTACACTGACTTTTTAGAGGTTTTGGGTTCAAAAATGCTATAAAAACCAAGAAAAACAATCATTTTCCTGTAGTCTGGTTCCCTGACTCCATATAAGAAGAAACAGAGCAGTTTACCTACATTGGGGAATTGTAAGGTCAGGGAACCAGTCTAGCTGGCTTGTACCCGTTCATAGGTGTGTAATCGATTGCAAACAAGTGCGATGGTCAACTGGGGCCAGTATTTGAAAAAAAGCCAGTTTTTTCCAACGCTGATCGGCCGATCAGCGTTGGAAATTGATACAAAAATAGCACTTTTCTTGAAAATGACAGTATACCAGGTGCCATGATTTTACAGGATGCTTTACATTGTCATTCACTAACAGTCCAGCAAGGTATTTCAAAATGATTTGGTAATTTTATTTTTTGATGTTTGCAAATGTTGTATTTTCCCTTTAAACTGGAAAACCTGTCGTGACAAACTACAAAAGACCTTTGGCCGTTGGGTCTATCCAAATGTTTATCCTTAAGAGGTAAAACCCTAATTGCTAACCAATTGGCCACGTCAAAACTTCTGCATAGAGTGCAGCTCTCTCTTCCCACGGGAATGCTCGTTAAATTCGCATGGTCCGGTGGACGCCGCTGGCTGTGAGAAAACATTCTGTATAAATCACCAGACAAAGGTGACCTTGGTTTAACATGTTTTCAAGCACGTATGCTAACTTACCGGTTTACCATGATTCAAAATTTTCTAAACAAGTCGCCCCATCCTGTATTTTTATTCATGAAGTATTTCCTTCAAAATTACCGGGATCTACGTTTTGACCACCAACTTTTCTTGGGGTCCGCTCACAAGTCCGACGCCCCATAAGTCCGACAAAATCGCATCCCCTAACCAAATAAAGGCCCATAAGTCCGACGCCTCATAAGTCCGACGCCTCATAGCTCCGTCGCCTCATAGCTCCGACACCTCGTAGGTCCGACAAATTAAACGCCTCGTTTTTCCGACGTCGGACTTATGAGGCGTCGGACCTATAAGGCGGTATAAATAAATTGTATGCCTCATAGGTCCGACGCCTCATAAGTCCGAACTGTCCGACTTATGAGGCGTCGGACCTATGAGGCGTCGGACTTATGATACGGCCCCTTTTTCTTTATTAGACCAGAAATTAAATTCCTGACCCATCTCCCGGTTTTCTACAGTGATGCTGTACGTGCATGCGAGGATTCTTTTGAGAGCCCAAATTGCTGTTTCTACATTTTATCTTAAATCTACCACTTAATAGTATATTTAATGAAAATCATCTTGAGAACGACCAGCTTCTTTCGCCTCGCCTTCTGTCGTGTGCAATCAGGACGGTGGGCGATCTCGTGGATTTCACTACAAGAAAGTGGAAGAGCGCTTTCCATCGAACATCCATCGCATCCCCATCCGACTTGTTCAAAAGGAACTCACAAAGATACACAAGTGGCTGTCTTGCATCTTCCCTCATCTGCTAGGAGGAAAACCCCAGAAGAATATTCTGGGGAAAACCCACGGAATCAGGTAGGGACTGAAAACCAATCCACATATTGGCCAGGGCAGGAATCGAACCCAGGTCACAGCGATGGAAGGCGAGGAAAGTACCGCTACGCCAACCTGACTTTACATGATGCAAGACTTCTGAATCTATAATTATTGCTTGAAGCCAACTCTGAAATAAACACGCTTCTGCCTTCGAAGCAAACTCTTGGCGGTCAAGCTTTATTATCTTGACCTTCGTCGGTGATGGGGAATTCTTCTTCTTCCAGAAGGTCCACATCGAGCCGGTTGTGGCGCTCTTTGTAAATGAAAAGCAACGGTAGGCAGACTGCAACCGAAGCGAATGCCACCCAGTTCATCCATTGCGACCCTGCCGTCAAAAAAACCGGGGAGAATGTTGGCGAGATTTCGAAACGATAAACCCATTTAAAACATTATATTACCCCAGGTGGACGTTACGTACGTAGGCCCATTAAATAGCAGAGATACTACGTTCTGGTAACCCTGCAATTCGGCAGCAAAGGGCGCAATCTCAAATGTTACGTCTACGTTTTTTTATGAGAAACTTGGGTTTTTTTTATGAGAAAAGCGCCCTCAATAGATGATGCATGGATCGGAAAGTCCCCCCCCCCCCAATTACGTGACACTCACCCACGCCTGGGATCATTTTGATGGATATGTAGACCAGTCCAGAGCTCTGGTTGAGTAAGACGATGACCATTGTGGTGATGCCCTCAGCTACGGGATACATTCCTTCCACCGCCATCTCGTAGAAAATAGGTACCGTAGCGTTGACCAGAAACCCGTACAGAATGCAGGCCGCGTACAGAGACTCTACACGGGCGAGAAAAGGCGGGGGCAAACACGAAAAAGAAATTTAAACATGCCGTAGGCCTATTTAGTGGGGCAGATAGGGGAATTATTTGGGGGATTGTGCCTTTGATGATACAAGCATGGAATTTGGCACACAGTCAGAGCATAGTATGTCATGAGAAAGATATTTGGCTATAGGGCCATCGCAGATTTGTCCTCTGAAAAAACTTCAGGTAGAATAACAAGCAATTTTCAAAATTTTCTAAATGACTGCCATTGCTTTTTATATTCTACCTACATTTTATTTAAAGGACAAATCTGCGATGGCCTATAATAGCCAAATATCTGTCTCGTGATATATAGGCCTACCATGGCCTACTCAAATTTCCAAAGCTGTTGAAAAGCCGTATTCTCGGCCGAATTCATCTTGCCAGTGTATGCAGTGTATATGGTCGCCTCTATATGTTATTTGTTCGACTTCGTCGATTGGCCCTTATACACAATTCAGACAATTTCTTTTTATCATTACTAGGACTATTAAGAACGCTTTTTTTCCTCGCTTGACCCTTTTGGGGTTTTTTTTTTGGGGGGGGGATGTCACATGTCAATATCAATTTCGTGAATTTTGTCTACCGATATTAAAGGTGATCCATCGATGGCTGAGGCAGATAATCCACAGACAAGCCAGCGAAGCGCCACCACACAGGAACATCAGCAGACGTCTCATCTTACCGCCAAGGTAATCCACGCATCTGATACGGTGGCCAAAAAAAAATGCTGTATTATTCTTACACAAAAAAAGTAACTGGAAATATACTGATTTCAACTTTGATCTAGGATGTAAAAATAATTATGTAAGGCATACGTTTTGAACACCAATATTCCTGTAATATATATTACTGTTATTTTTCTTTAATTTAAAAGACTTATTCAAGGAGGATATAACTGTGTAGTGATCCTAAGTATTTACAAAAGTTGATACATCAAGGCCTGTGTTCGTCGACCTACAATCCCGGCCAAAATGGTTGGGACACTTCCTGAGCCTGCCACGGTCACCCACTCCCTCACTCCCCCGGTCAATGTTGTTCTCTCCAGCTTATGGAGCACACACCGCGCAATGAGAGACAACATTGAACGGGGGCCGGGGGTTGGAGGCCCAGTGAGATTTGGCCAGGATTGTAGCACGGACCGCTGTGGTTTAAGACCACCTGGCTGTATAGAACGACATCGAAGCGCAGGAAAAAGTACAGATTTGTTAGTGCCAATTAACGTAATTAACGGACGCCATGAATGATACCCATGCATATGGCTATCTTCCTGTTCGTGTACGTGAAACCACCATAGATGACCATACCCTGCGAAGAGAAGGCCGCCTATTGTCCCTGCAATATTAGAAGTGACGCCTATCCATCCGGTAGTTAGCTGGTAAAATAATTAGAAACGAGAAAAAAAAACATCAATAGAAAATTGGTTTGGGGGTAATGGAAAATCCTTCGTGTTTTGGCCACGACTAGAAAATAAAACCGAACTTAGCCCTTCTGCAAAATAGCTTGACTGGACAAATGAATTTTTCCAATACCTAAATAGGCCTTATCCCCCCAAACAAATCCTTCGACTTTTGCCTTCGTACGTGGGACGGGAAAAACCGAGCGCAGGCCTCATGGCACGACTGGGCAAATTGATATATAAAAACGATTTTTCAAAAAATAATCCTTTGATTTAGGCCCTACCAAGATGTTGTTTCGAAGCCAATGCAAACTATTAATGCGAGGGAATTAAAAGTAGGCCTGCAAACTAAGGACATAAAACGCGGCCTGTCGGAAAAATCGGTAATCCCTGCCAACACACAAACAATGAAATTTATGCTATGTACCATATACTTATTCACCTGTTTAACGCCCAGGGTTTCTTCGAATATCGGATCGAGCATGGTGCTCCAGGCTCCGTAAATTCCCATGCTGAAACCGTAGGCGAAGCCGAGGATCCAGAATTGACGTTTTCTGATTAAAAGAGAAAAGGGTGATTGTAGTTGTGTGTAGAACCTGGGGAGTGCAAGGGGATTTTGCCTATAATTACCCAGCCAACCTTTTTGAAAGTCGAAAAAAGAAATTGCCTCATTCCACTTTCATAAACGTCCCGTCGCCATGTTTTTGAACTATTATGTTTTTCGGTTGCATAGTCTAGCGACATAATTTTATTCCAAATTTAATGTCAAGTTTTCCAGTTCCATACCGAAGTACATGCAAGGCAAAACCCAATAACCTAATTTTTTTTTTTTAAACACAGACGACAAAAAAAATCCATGAAAAAGTCCATGAAAAAAGTCCTTTCGACGTTTTCACCAAACAAACCTTCATGGATGTTAGGGGTCGTTTGGGTCTAGGATGACCTGCCTCAATTTGTTTTTAAATCCGCCGACCGTGTCCGGCTTTGTCACGAATCCGCAAATATTCCTTTGTGAAAGGAGAAACCCCATCGGCGCTTTGACAAAGAAATGCTGAATTATAGCTTTGCAATAGGCCATTCCGACCATATATCAGAATGCACTTGCGACGAATGGCCATGAACCAAAGGGTCACGGTGAACCCCGTGCTTTTGCATACATCTTTTCAGTGCAGGCTATATCTGTTCTGGACAAAAACCATTCAGCCAAAACCTTTCAACGTGTCAGCACGAGGTGTATAGCTAGCGTACAAAATTCAACTTTACATAACCCCAGTCGCTTGGGGCATTCTCACCCTTCCCCTCTTTAGCACCACACAGACATAACTGTGGGGTAAACTCGCTGTCATAACCAAACACTGAGACTATTATATCACTGAGTGCAGCCACTTCCACACCACTTGATCGCACTTGCCCCAATTTTCGAAAGTGACCGAATTAGAAAAAAAAATTTAAAAAAATGTGTGGCTCGCTTCATTTCACAAAAAAAAAAATAACATAGGTATAAACTACATATGTTATCTATATATATAAGAGAGAAGTTTACTCGCCCCCGAGACGATGTTTGCGTGAAGCCGCGGTCTCGGATCCTTTCAGGAGCAAACATTTCTCCGAGGCCGAGTAAAACTTGCTCTTATATAGATGGTTGTACCAACTTCAATAAAAGTTACCGACTTTTTCCTCGCAGACGGTCTCGCAAATTGTTAGAAGTTCAAGTTTACGTTTGTTTGAAGAGTCCAATACTGAAACTTAATTATGACCTTCCTCCATGATTCAGACCGTTTGTAATTTTATGGTAACACTCAACATTTTCATTTCAAATGACACCTTCACATTTTGTTGCACTATGATTTAAACCAGCCTTCGCCTGTGTACTACAGTAACCTTTTCACTACGTTTTCCAAATTCGACTGCCTCACAAAAAGCCAATTTAACAGACCAACGGCAACATTTACAGACAGTTGCCACGGTACATAATTATCATGTGCGTAAATCGACGGGGGACAGGGGGAACCCCCCCCCACCCCCATCCCCCCCCCCCCCCCCCACACACACACACACATTTTGAGGCGGGGGGGGGGGCATTTTTTGGTGTCCCCCCCCCACACACACACACTTTTTCTTCCCCGAATAAAAATGTTGTAGCCTACAATAATGATTCTATTGCTCAGAATACATGTAGCTGATTCAATTACTCCAAACTCTAAACTTTAAAAGATGATCTTTGGTTTTAGTGGTCAGACATTGCCTCAGATCACACCACAGAAATTGCTTTTCTATAACTGCATGTCTCCCCAACTATATCCCCCATTTACATTTAATTCCCCACATTTTCATCCCCAACACTACGCCCTACCCGATCTATGATCGGGTAAATCAGCTTGTTGACTATAACTGTGAATATTTCACTCGATTCCCAAGTTATGTCCTTTTTAATAAAAACAAAACAAATTCACAAAATTCAGCTGTCCACCACTGATCATTTACCGTCGGACTCCAACGAACAGATGAATACCCATTAAATACAATGAAAACATGGTCGTCTTCTCAACTCCATGAAGGAACGAAAACTTGCAAAGGAAAACGGACAAGATTCCCCATCAATATTGCAGGAAAAAAAAAGAGTTGACTTGTACCTCGTATTCAAAACACAAAATCTGACAGTAAAAAAACAATGTTTCAGTCTTGACTCAACTGATTAAAATCTCATTTTGTATTTGAATGCCGGTGTGTAATCTGAGTGTATTTCTCACTCAGCTCAATAGCTTCCAGTGGCGTTCCATTGGACAGCTGTAAAAAAATATGTTTCATTGGTGAATCCAATTTGATTGCTTTGAAAATTTACTGTATTCCACCGAAAATAACTGGACACGTCTGATTCACATTTACATAATGATTTTCACTTAATCGTGTTCTCAGGCTTAGTCTTTTTGGGATTAGAGAATAACGTGACGAAATGTTTACATCAAAACAAAGCAAAAATGTGTGTATCGTTGGTGCATCAAACTTGATTGCCTTGTTTTGTTAGGGGAAAAAATCATTAAATTAAATCCAGGTCACTTTCTTTTTGACGCACCTTGTATTTCCAAAAAGAGCGAGAATACACTAAAAAAAAAGTCGAGTGTATTAATTTACTCTATTCCACCGAAAATAAGGACAAGACGATTTACAGTTAGATATAATGATTTCCACTCTAAATCGTCTCCTCGGGCTAGTTTCACTCTTTTGGAATTAGAGAATAATGTGACGTAATGTTTACACTCTGATTATGAAACACTAAAAAAAAATATTTAAAAAATAGTGCGGTCCAAAGAGGTTTCATTATCAAGTAAATGACTATAGACTACAGGGTGTGCCAAAAAAGTGCAACATTCAGAAACAAAATAATTAAAGTGTTTATTGTTTGGGGTTTTTTTCAATGAAATTATATATTACATTAAGCCTGACTATTTCTCAATCCACTCCTTTTTACCCCATTCCATTTGGGTCCCTAGATCCAGAAATACGATCAATTATTATAAAAGTGAAAGGGTGTACGTTGTACTTGGGCCACTCTCATCCAGCTGGACATGCTGAATCATGGCTAAGCATTGAATAGGCATTGAAGTTGGTGACATCACAGGTGAGAGTGGCCCAAGTAAAATTTACACCCTTTCACTTCATTGATTGTATTTCTGGATCTAGGGACCCAAATGGAATGGAGTAAAAAGGAGTGGATTGAGAAATAGTCAGGCTTTTATGTAATATATAATTTAATTGAAGAAAAACAAACGTTAAACAGTTTTAATTATTTGTTTCTGAATGCTGCACGTTTTTTGGCACACTCTGGTTTACCTGACAAGAATCAGTGCCCCTTGCTTGAAATCCTTCCGTTGTATTTCCGCTGTGTTGCTGGGCGGAGTAGGCGGTTTGGCAGGAAATGACATGAACACACAAATCAACAGAGCGGCGCAAATTGCCAGTTCTGACAATCGAAGAAGAAAAAAACCAAGGCAACTGTAGCAAAGCTGGTCCCAGAGTGCACAAAATTCCATTCAATCGACTCAGAATGACTATTTACTAGAAGTTTTTTCATACATGTGGCCTACACAACGGGCCCTTAGGCACGAGTTGGCCATTTTTGTCGAGTTCCCTGATTGCATTTCATGAATTGTTAACTGTTGAATGGGATGGCACCAGACTATTTACGCAGCCTTATTTCACTGTCATTTTTGTTTAAATCTGGCTTTAAACATTAGGGAATGTTTAAATACAAATTTTAAATTATTCATTGAAGCAGACTTGAATTAATTAGTAATTTACTTGCTTTCATTTCTCTTCGCAAGTTCCAAAAATGAAAATTTCACCTCACTTTCAATTCAATATGGCCGACTCGTGCATAAGGCCCATGGGCCAGATTTGGGTAATCCTTTGTTCAAACTTATGGGTCAAAGTGATACTTGAGCAAGTCTAATTCACGATTGACAGTGAGTAAAAGGCCGCCCCGAATTACTTGGCTACGGCTACTTGTAACACACTGTCTATGGGAAGTGGCTGCAGCCGCTTCCATAGGCGCGTGTGTAATTTCTAGCCATAGCCAATACCAGCATAACAGCCATGAAAAAGGATATAGAGTGGAAAGCAATGTATAATATCACCAACCTTCATGCAATATATACTGTGTTTTATTTCTTTAATTTAAAGGGAAAATACAACATTTGCAAACATCAAAAAATAAAACTACCAAATCATTTTGAAATACCTTGCTGGACTGTTAGTGAATGACAGTGTTAAGCATCCTGTAAAATCATGGCACCTGGTATACTGTCATTTTCAAGAAAAGTGGTATTTTTGTATCAATTTCCAACGCTGATCGACCGATCAGCGTTGAAAAAACTGGCTTTTTTCAAATATTGGCCCCAGTTGACCATCGCACTTGTTTGCAATCGATTTCACACCTATGAACGGGTACAAGCCAGCTAGACTGGTTCCCTGACCTTACAATTCCCCAATGTATGTAAACTGCTCTGTTTCTTCTTAAATGGAGTCAGGGAACCAGACTACAGGAAAATGATTGTTTTTCTTGGTTTTTATAGCATTTTCGAACCCAAAACCTCAAAAAAGTCAGTGTAACTATATTTGCTATATATTTCCAACCCCCCAATTCCATCCATTTCTGAAAATTACAGCATAAGCAAAAGATGTATATTCCCTTTAAAAGGCTTATAATCAACGAAAATAATAACTTGATGAAAGCCTAACTGTAGTCGATGAACAAGTACTAGCGGGTAAAACTATTTTGTGAAGTGTGTTTTATTTTGTTTTGTAAAGTGGGAAAGGAATTTTATGTTAAATTATTCGATTGTGTCCTTTGTGTGTCTTCTCACCAATATACATCAACTCCATGATTTGAGAGAAATAGGTCTGACGAAGTTTGGGTGGTAGAGTCTCGTTCGTGCTCCCGATGTCGTCTGTGTAGTCCGATGATATGTTACTATATACATGCACAAGATAAAACACGTCTTGGACTTGAATCGCAAATTAGTGTTGAGCGATTCGTGCAATATTCCGAATGTCATCAGGTTCGGCAATGAAAACTGAAAGTTGGGCATGTTATTTCATATAGTAAAACTTGAAATTGTGGATGATTGAAGACGTGCAGCTTGTACATTTAGCATGAGGCGCACACGGCAAAACACGCACTGTGCCATAATACAATTATTCACTAGCACAAACATAATCAGTCAGTGTAATTTTGTCGCGATGTAAAGGAAAATGTGAAGAATGGTTGAAAAATTGACATCAATTGAAATCTTGCCTAGTCTGTAAAACTCACCTCTCATTTTTGGTGTAGATATTGTGCACAACCTGCGGCCCCACTAAATACGACATTCCTATACCAAGGTAAGAACACTGTGAGGCTATAGCTGTGGCTGTGGTCCTCTGGTGAGGCGGGAACCAGACAGAGGAGAGAAGCGGTGGACCAGCCAGGAGTATCGGACTCGACAGACCAACGAAAATCATGCCAATATTCATCGACCTATGTGGGGAATAATAATTGTTTTCTTTTTAATGTTCCGATATTCTGCCATATAGACCGCTAGCACGGAGCGTCCTCAGCGGTGAGCTTTTTTCTGAGTGAAACTGTACTAAACACTTCTCAGATCAGACACAACAACGAAGTCCGGAAATATATGCGACGGGTGCTTATATAGTTACACCATACTTCATCAGTTTGTTTCGCTGTTAATTTCGAAGCTATATCAATACCTACCAAATGACATTGTCGATTCCTACGGGCAAAGCCCTGATGCCCGTGCCAATGAACAGTAGTAAAGCACTTGTCAGTGTGGCCAATCGGAGCCCTTGATTTAAATAAAATAAAATATTAGAAGAGGGGTTTATATTTTGACGTTTAATATGCATTTGGAATTAGTAGCTGTACAAGCCAGCTAGACTGGTTCCCTGACCTTACAATTCCCCAATGTATGTAAACTGCTCTGTTTCTTCTTAAATGTAGTCAGGGAACCAGACTACAGGAAAATGATTGTTTTTCTTGGTTTTTATAGCATTTTCGAACCCAAAACCTCAAAAAAGTTAGTGTAACTTTATTTTATATATTTTTCCAACCCCCCAAATTCCATCCATTTCTGAAAATTACAGCAAAAGCAAATTGATGTATATTCTCTTTGAATCGCGACAACGAAATAAACCTACTTGTGTTCAAGACATATAGTCCAAGACTACTTATAGGCAGCCTGCATTGCAATTGCAGTGAACATGGCAGCGCCCACACGTCTGGAAAGCGCGAGTTGAGAGTTCAAAAAAAAAATTCTGTCAAAAACGACTGAAATTTCTAAAATAAACTTCATGAATAATGGGAGCCATTACACCTTTTTACGCCTACAAAAGTTTTTTTTTTTTAAGCGAGCTGATACTTATTATTAAGGGAATAAATGTGTGCTCCGGAGGTTTTTATCACTCTGTTTAATACCACTTAGAGTCTGGGTGCTGATAATTACCCGAGCCGGAGGCGAGGGTAATTATCAGCACCCAGACTCTAAGTGGTATTAAACAGAGTGATAAATACCGACGGAGTACATATTTATTCCCATTCATAAATACCTTTTCGGTAAAAAAAAATCATATAATTCGTTCAAAACATCCCGATTTTGTTCAACAAATTCACTTTATGCTTTTTGAAACATCCCTCCTGCAAAATAATGGAGTGTTCAGCTGGCGAGTAAGATGAAAACAACCCTTTTATGGAGATTGACGCGCGCGTATCATGTTCTACGCGATGTCGCGCAGAACGCACCTGGCGCGTTGCGTTTTGAATTTAGAACTATAAAATTCTAACTCCCTGGTAGTGTTGCGCATGCCTACGTGAGGATTGTGGACGTTCAACCAATGAAACGATAAGAGGCACTGGATTTTTAGGAGTCCATATTTTATTGTGACACTGGAAAAGTGTTTAAGACCAGCTAGCCATGTCTTTATCATCCGTTTAATACCGGCCACGTGACGGGCTCTCGACCAATAGGAATGGCTAAACTGTCTGAGGTATTTATGAATACCATTTAAAATGTACTAGTTCTACGTGTTTCCAGATGGACTCCTATATACGTACGGGAATGCTAGTGGGCTGTGTTGTTGCAAAGGTACTGTATGCGGACTGCAGCTGCATTCCGCCGTCACTGAACTGGACATTCGTTATGTTTTTTTTATTGAATGGAAAATCAATAATTTAAGATCGACAATTGGGGTGGGTGGTTGGGTCAAAACAATTTGAAAAAAAAATTCGAAATTTAAAAACATCGAAAATTTTGAATGGCCCCTAAGCAGTGACATAGACTCAATGTACCTCCCCTTTGCCCAAATATGCAAAATTAGGACCTTTAACCCCCCCCCCCCCCTTCAGCGAGGCCTGCAACGTGTGCCATACGTCACTGACTGTACCGATTAATTGGATTGTGTCCTCTAATTTGGGGGGAAACGCCCATGCCTAATGAACCGGGTTTTTTTTTAGTCAGGTGTCACAATATTTTAATTAATCTGATGACATAATTTGATGAGTACAGTTGCTGGAAGATAATGAGAACCTTTTACGTCCATCATCCAGGAGAAAAACATTCCGGACGTGATCACGGTGATGAAACCCCAATTGGTTAAGAGCGCCACGTCGCCATCGCTCCAATTAAAAACAACTTTGGCTGCAAAATTAAAAGAAGACAATCCAGGGTCTACATTAATTGTGTACATTAGCCCTCATCAAAAAGGCTTTCAGTGTTCATTTTATCTGTTTAGAAATATGTGGTTATAGTGATTTTAAATGTTACAAATGTGTTCGACAACATGTCGTGCGAGAAACAACATGTCAGTTCATCAAATCGGGCTTTCGGGCTTTCCATGAGGAATCTAGTACGCCAAATGAATCCACGTGTTGATTCGAAAACAAACTTCAATTAGTCAACCCACTTTTGTGATTGGATGTTCTCCAATTAAGGAGTTTGATTTCAAGAAACAAAATAAGAGTAAAGGACAGGCGAAGTACGCTAAAAAAAAAAGGAGGGGGGGACCAGGGCCCAAGCAGAAAAAAATTACTTAAAGGTATAGTCCATCATTTGTAATTGGTGCATTTTGTTCGTTTGAAGCAACAAACGTGCTCAAAATCTAAAGAAGGATGCTGAACAACTAACCTGATGAAGTTTCATCTCAACTTCAGCTGTGTGTTTCGAGAAAAACAGCATTCTACAATCCCGGCCAAAATGGTTGGGACACTTGGAAAAAACCTTAGCCTCCAACGGTCACCAACTCCCCGCTCTCCCGGTCAATGTTGTTCTCTTCAGGGGATGGAGCTCACACCGCGCAATGAGAGACAACATTGAGCGGGGGCTGGGGGTTGGGGGGCCAGCGAGATTTGGCCAGGATTGCAATCCCGGCCAAAATGGTTGGGACACCAGGGGCGGATCCAGGAATTTTCGCAGGGAGGGGGGGGGGTTTCATCGGCCGAAAAATCTGAAAATATACACACGTTTTTTTCTCCGGACACTTGGCCTCCGTAAAATCAAAAACGGGGGGTGGGGGGGGGGTGTTACCAATTGGGGGTTTGACCCCCAAATCCCCCCCTCTGGATCCGCGCCTGGACACTTGGAAATAACCTTAGCCTCCAAGGTCACCAACTCCCCCGCTCCCCCGGTAAATGTTGTTCTCTTCAGGGGATGGAGCCCACACCGCGCAATGAGAGACAACATTGAGCGGGGCTGAGGGGTTGGGGGCCCAGCGAGATTTGGCCAGGATTGTAGTATCTCGATTTCAAATCAAAAGTTGCCGAATCAAATTTTTTAATTGGGCCTGAATTCAGTGTCCGAGACACGTTGTCACTGAGCCGATTGCACCTAAACGCGATGTCGCGCACTGATCTGACGAATAATAGCAGCCGCGCGCGCGTGTGCGTCGTGTCGACGCTTGCGCTAGTTTCGCCGAATGAAAAAAAAACGAAGGCTATACTAACGAAAATTTCCAATGGTGCGTCTTAAGACGCAACGTTGGAAAGGCCTTTTTTCGTTGATTTCTTCAAAATGACAGCTTGCCAGAAAAAATAATTTCACAGGGAGTTTAGTCCCCTTACTATCTTTCAACAAAGTATGCTTTTCAACAGTTACTTTGTGGACAGCTGCAAATGATGGACTGTAACTTTAAAGGCATATTTGTTTATACAATCATTTGCTTTTCATGCATTTTGTTGGTTTCGAATAATAGTTGGTAACAATGCTTTTGCTCAGCAAATATTGTCCGTGTTTAGCAAATTTCTATTCTAAGCAGGCCAGTTTACTACTTACACGTGTCCGAGATTGGTCCCCACGTGTTCCAAGCGGCCGCAGACCATATAGCCAGCATGGAGAACAGCAAGAGTATGTACCATCGCTGAGCGTATGCCACATGGTGGTGGTGTACGGTGCACACGCTACTTTTACCGGATGATAACAACTCTATTGGCCCGGCGGTCTCCGTGGGTGCATGCCTGTTGTACCGGTTTGCCGATGCATAATGATCCGGGCCTTCTGAGGAGTTTCTGCCAAGGATACCGACTTTGTGATCCTCACTAAGTAACCTTGTTGACTCGTCTGCCTGTCTTCTATCCGCTTTCATCGTGTTGCACAAACTTTTGTTCAAACATCAACGACTTTTTCTATAACAGTAAAACGCTTATATAAGGCCTTTCTCACGCATCGAAAATGTTATAGGTTATGCTTATCAAGCAATGTGTGCATGAAATAGTCAAATAAATTTCAATAGTTGGTGATACCCTTTGCCGACGTAATTTAAACAAAAGCCGCTGCTACCGGTATATCAGAATCGAACCATCCAATTATTGACTCCAGTGAGATCTGTATAGTCGAGTAAATTAAGGCGTCTGCACTAGCAAGCAGGGGTCGTCGGTAGAGTCCCACCCGAGCAAACTCGTAAAAGAAATGTTTCTCAAAACTCTCGCTGCAGTGAACTTGCAGTGCCAGTAAAGTTCCGTTCCTGAAGGGGAATCAACATTGAAACTCACATCTTTCCGACGCAAAATTCAACTAGAAACAAAGGAAGGCTACTCAATGTCAAAAGGGCAACTTCAAATAATCATTTACGGATAGGCCTACAAATTGAATATTTGATTGTTGTTACCTCGTTCAACTATAGCATGGAAATGAGGACTGAACGCGATGTGATGCACGTTCCACGTCAAGCAAGTCAACTTTCTATGCTTCAGTTGAAAAGTTGCCTTGATATTTCAAGAAACCTATGCCATAATGTTCTCAGGCCAGCCTCGGTACAATAAATTACAAAGATGACACAACTCACCAGTTTTAAGCACTTGAACAGTCGATTTACAGCATATCACAGCAATCGTGTCCTGAGTCGCTTCGGCGAACTGCCCTTGTGCTGTCAGACACCGATTTATACCAGTCCAATGTGTTCATTTGGGCATAACCGACAACAAAAAGTTTTTTTTTTTTTAATGCGATGGACCATTATCGGTCGCGAGGGGGCGCAGCATCTAGCGGACCAGGCGAGCAGCATTTCACGGTCATGTCAAAGGACGGGTCTTTGCAGCGATCGAAGGCCTTGGCAGCGTCTAGGTATTTAAAACGAATAAAAAGAATGATGAAGTGCATTGTTTTTCCCGATTTTTTTTCTTGTAAGGTGTTAATGAGCACCGACAATATTAAATTCCCCAATGGCAAAGCCACAAGCAGAGGGCGCTATCAAACTATCTAATTGCGGGAGAAAGTATACCGTGCCCAAGCACCATCATGCAATCCCACAATATGGCTAAGCCTCAGAGTTGCTGACTCGAGTCATGTGACTTGGACTCGAGTCGGACTCGAGTCGCTATTTTTGTGACTTGTGACTTGACTTGTAAATACCAGCTTTGACTTGTGACTTGACTTGGACTTGCAAACAATGACTTGTGACTTGACTTGGGATTGCAAAAAATGACTTGTTACCAACCCAAGTTAGACGCTACTCGAGCGACCCAATACACTTTAATTAAGCTATTATACTTTTAATTAGCTTTTTCATTCCAGAAAATAGACCTCAGTGACTGAATCCAGTAAAATGAATAGTTCCCACTAGTTTCAAAAGTTTTCAATAAGACTGTCACAACAAACTACAGTTTTCAATGACCAATTTTCTCTTGCTTAATGTATTGGTTGAATAAACTTTGAAAGGAACCTTTCATGAAAAGAAAGCAGGCCTTTGTCAATTGCATGTAAAATACCGGATAGCCTAACCCATTGGTAGGCGTTTAGTATACATGAAAATTGAACAATAAAGTGTTAGTATACTACATGTAATCGAGTAAAGAAGTCTTTTTTTCACGGTCATCTCAACATTTATTTCTACAATGTAAAGTAAAAGTATACAAAGGGCTAATATCCGACAGATATGTGATAAACTACAAGAATAGTAATTGCAACACATTGAAAAAGGGGAATTAAGGAGGCATGTTCCAAATAACTCGTTAGTTCACGCCAGTTTAATTCTTTTAGCCTATTACAGCTGGACAAAATAATGTGCAACTTGACGTGTTCTTGGACAAAGATACTTGTGACCTCAAGGGCGGATCCAGGGGGGGGGGCCAAAGGGGGCCATGGCCCCCCCCCAAAACGAAACCAATTTTTTTTTTTTTTATGTGACATCGCAATAAAGGCAGACAATGAGCACACCACCATCTATTCCTCAAAAATCATTGGTTAAAGTGGTCAGAAATTGCTTCAGATCGCACCACAGAGCATCTAGAATCCAAAAAAATTTCGGGGCCCTTAAGCGGGCCCCGAACCCCACGCCGTAATTTTTTTGACCCACTTTTTGGGGGGACCAAAATTTTTTTTATTTGTTTTATGTGACATCGCAATAAAGGCAGGCAATGAGCACACCACCATCTTTTCCTCAAAAAACATTGGTAAAGTGGTCAGAAATTGCCTCAGATCGCACCACAGAGCATCTAGAATCCAAAAAATTTTCGGGGCCCTTAAGCGGGCCCCGAACCCCACGCCGTAATTTTTTTGACCCACTTTTTGGGGTACCAAAATTTTTTTGGGCCCCCCCAAAAATTGTGTCCTGGATCCGCCCTTGTGTGACCTGACTTGTTTTTAGACCAAATGACTTGTGACTGGACTTGTGACTGGACCTATAATGACTTGTGACTTGACTTGTGACTGGACCTAATGACTTGTGACTTGACTTGGACTTGCAAACAATGACTTGTGACTTGACTTGGACTTGCAAAAAATGACTTGCTGTCACCTCTGCTAAGCCTTCACTAAAGGGGCCAAGCTGAGTTTCAAATTAGCTTATATTGAAGCCTCATCTTCTTCCATTTGCAAATTAATAAAGAATATACGTTTCCTGGTGAACAATTTCGAAAGAAATTGGTTGTAATCAAGGGCGGATCAAGCGGGGGGGGGGGGAACGGGGGCCATACCCCCCCCCCCCGCCAAAAAAAACCCCCCATTTTTTTTAAAAAGTGCATTCGCAATAAAGGCAGGCACTGCGTACACCACCATCTTCCCCCCCCCCAAAAAAAAATGGTCAAAGTGGTCAGAAATTGCCGCAGATCGCACCACAGAGCATCTAGAATCCAATTTTTTTTCCGGGCCCTTAAGCGGGCCCTGAACCATGATAAGTGCCCGCTTTTAACAGTGTCCACATGGGTGCAATACACTGCCATTGACCCAATGATAAATGCCCCCACTTCAGAAAGTCAGGGAAAATACCCACAATTAACCCTCCAAGGTGTTCGAGACACACATCAAAATCAAAGCCTATTTTTATCATCTTCAAGTCTTCATCTTTTCAATTTTTGGGGGTCATCTAATGACTTTGGGGAGAAATTTCCATCCGAATATGATGACCCCTTAAATGTCTGAAGCCCATCGCCATTTTGAAAAACGGTGCCTACACGTAAATAGAGCGCTTTTAAGGCCCCAATTTCATACAAATTGTACAGAAATACAAGCTCACGTTTCAGTGCACGGCTTCCACCCTTTTTTTGTACGGACTCTCAAGTTCATGGCCCACAATATGCTCAAATACTAGGGAATTTGAGGGCATGCAAATCGTGATTCGGCCGGCGTAGGCAATTTCGGACCAATTTACCGGCCTGCACCTAGACTGTTTCCCGGCCCCATCTAAAGATATTTTTGAAGACCAAAGGACAATGGAGTCAGGGCACCAGACTAGCCCGCACCCTTTAAACAGTTGCAGCAGCTTTAATTATGTCTTTACATATAGGCCATGATAAGTTACCCAGAATGCCATCCCCACTTCCTTTGTAAGATTCTGTGAAGCTCATCAGCCCTTCGCTTCTCGGCCCAGCGCCCTATATAGGCTCTGTTTGCAGGGCGGGGGTATACAAGCGAAGCGCTATCGTACAGGATGTACATCGGTATCGTGAACATCGCCCCTAATGTAATGTGGTGTCCTGGTGCAATGTTGTTTTCGTCTACATTTAAATATTCGGGTTATTTTAAATATAAGGATGCAACTTGCTGTTCACATTATTTTTCACGAAAATAATGTTTGATAACAGGCTGATGAAGGACTGTTGGCAACAGCGAACGGAATATAGGCCTGATTTACAGTGTTAACAAACAAATCCTTAAAAAACAATTATCGTTTCATTTTCGGAGTTGGGAATCTGTATCTGTCCAAAGAATAGAAGTCGGGCGCGGATCCAGAGCGGGTCGAAACCCCCGCCCACCCCGCTCGACACACACAAAATATGTATAGGCTAACAATTACAATAATGATGAGATCGGATATAAACATCTAACGGGACTGACACCCCCCCCCCCCCCCCTCCCCGCCAAAATTCCTAGATCCGCCGCTGAACGCCCCAGATGCCTGTTTCAAAAAAGGCAACATAATAATAGTGTTTATTGTTGCGTAACGATAAGTACGTTTAGCACACGCATAGACCTACGACTAACGAGACTGCCGTATACAATTTTCCAAACAAATGAAAACAGTTGACTCATTATTGACCAAAATACCGACTTCTGTTCGTCCATGGAGCCAAAACAGATGCACACAGCAATGTTCCACGTTTCTCCGCCTATAGTTAAGACAAATTGATTTTGAGAAGAATTCTAAGGAAGCCTGATGGTCGAGTGGTTAGATTCGTCGTCCACGAATCGCGGAGTCCGCGGATCGAAACCCGTCGGTGTCTTTTGCTTTTCAACGCACGCGTTCTATTCAGTCATTATAAGATGTTTAATTTCCCGTCGTAAAATACCAACGGTACCTTAGCTTAATCGGTAAGCTCTGCGGCTGGTACTGTCCGTGAGTTCCAGGTTGGCGCCTTCGTACAGGTTCAGGGCATGTGGTCCACTCGAAGGATCAAGGCTTAGGGGCCGCCCTGTTCCTCCCTTAGCTCTTTGCTTTTACATGGTGCCTGGCCCTCCGGGGTTATATGGATGGACAGGGAAGGAAGTGTGTATTGGTCGGGGACGCCGAGACCCCGGAAGAGAACTAAGGGATTGGCTGGGGCATTGTTATGGCTCAGACCGATCCCTGAAAGCTTGACTAGCACATAACTTTTTGATTTTTTGTATCCTCTATCTTTTATACTTTGGTTTAGTTTGATATTTACAGCTGCTTGGCAGGTCTACGGGTAGTATTAAAATTGAAACAAACTGAGGTCTATGTCATAAATCAATGAATATTTAATAATTGACTATAATCAAAACGAAGCTTCGTTCGATCAATTTGACTACCATTGTTAATGGCGCAATTTATAAAGTTGACGTAAGAAACGCCGTATACAATATTATAACGGAAAAAATGAAGATGTACATTGTTATTATAATAATAATGAACATTTATATTGCGCCAAAATCCGCCTAAAAAAGACGCTCGATGCGCTTTACACGTTAAAAAAAAACAAATGAAAACAGTTGACTCATTATTGACCGAAATACCGACTTCTGTTCGTCCATGGAGCCAAAACAGATGCACACAGCAATGTTCCACGTTTCTCCGCCTTTAGTTAAGACAAATTGATTTTGAGAAGAATTCTAAGGAAGCCTGATGGCCGAGTGGTTAGATTCGTCGTCCACGAATCGCGGAGTCCGCGGATCGAAACCCATATAATTCGTTCAAAACATCCCGATTTTGTTCAACAAATTAACTTTATGCTTTTTGAAACATCCCTCTTGCAAAATAATGGAGTGTTCAGCTGGCGAGTAAGATGTAAACAACCCTTTTATGGAGATTGACGCGCGCGTATCATGTTCTGCGCGATGTCGCGCAGAACGCACCTGGCGCGTTGCGTTTAGAATAATATTTAGAACTATAAAATTCTGACTCCCTGGTAGTGTTGCGCATATAATGCCTACGTGAGAATTGTGAACGTTCAACCAATGAAACGATAAGAGGCACTGGATTTTTAGGAGTCCACATTTTATTGTGACACTGGAAAAGTGTTTAAAGCTAGAGTCCATCATTTGCAGCCATCCGAAAAGTAACTGGCGTAATTATTGTTGAAAAACATACTTGGTTGAAAGATAGTAAGGGAACTAAACTCCCTGTGAAATTATTCTTTCTGGGAAGCTGTCATTTTGAAGTAATCAACGAAAGAAGGCATTTCCAACGGTGATTCTTAAGAAGCACCGTAGGAAAATTTAAATTAGTAGTTCGTTTTGTTATTCAGCGCAGCGCGCACAAGTATTGGAACGACGCACACGCGCGCGCTGTTGTTATAATTCGTCGGATCAGTGCGCGACGTCGCGTATAGCTGCAATTCAAAACATGATTCAGTAACTTTTGATTTGAAATTGAGATCTTAGAATGCTGTTTTTCTCGGAATGTACAGCTGAAGCTTAGCTGAAATTTCATCAGGTTAGTTGCTCAGTATCCTTCATTAGATTTTGAACTCCTTTGTTGCTTCAAACGAACAAAATGCACAAATTACAAATGATGGACTATAGCTTTAAGACCAGCTTGCCATGTCTTTATCATCCGTTTAAGACCGGCCACGTGACGGGCTCTCGACCAATAGGAATGCGTAAACTGTCTTAGGTATTTATGAATGACAAATCAAATTTTTTTAATCGAAAATAGGGGTGGGTCAAAAAACTTCGGAAAAAAAATCCAAATTTAAAAACATTGAAAATTTTGAATGGCCCCTTATATGAAATATATAATATATGAAATACATTTCTTTGTTGTTGGGTTCTGCTTTTTTTTTGGACTCGCCCTGTATCAAGGGGATGACTGTTTGGTTGGGCAGATGTAGGAGCTCAGACGTTTGGCTAAAATTCAAGACAATTTTTAACACGATTTCTTTCAAACCAAGCAAGGAGGTATTTCACAGCAACTTTATTGTCTCTTCAGGTTTCTCCACAGACATTTCTGACAGTTTTGGGGCGAGTACTTTGTCAACATTTGCATAAATTGTAGCACAATTGTGACCTGAATAACTGAACACTCTCGACAGAAAATAGAAACTCGCCTCCCAAAAATAAAGCCTCAAAAACAAAAACGGCACGATACTCAACATTACTGCAGGACAAGAATTATTTGTATGAATAACATATGCAGATTTAAATTAATTCTGGTAACATTAACTGAACATTATTGCATATACATTTGTGACTCTTTGGTGCAATAAGTACATAAAACATTACACATTTCAGGTGAAAGTTATCACATGCTTACACGCTTTGATATTTTTGAGAATACTCCCTACACCAGAACTGGAAAACTGTCATCACCTTACCGTCTCCAACTAGCAGTTCACATGAAGACTACCCTCAGATTTTGCCTCGGGAAACTGAAAAGTCTGCAACATCTTAAACATTTGCAAATTGATATCAGGCATCTTCCAGCAAAAGTTTTGTCCTAATTTTTACTGTTGCCTTATCAAAGCACAAACTTTTGAAATAGCTGAGGTAGCTTCGCACAAGTCTGGTACCTGAACTTCCCCAAACTGATAATCTAATAATCCACACGCATTGATTTATACATTTTTTTAGACAGGTCTAACCTGCCTCTGTGAGCATTCATAAGCCGCATCCGAATTATATGGCTACGGCTTACAATTACACACGCGCCTAGGGAAGCGGCTGCAGCCACTTGCCATAGACCCGCGTGTTATTTCCTAGCCGTAGCCAAGCAATTCGGACGCGGACGCAACAACAACAGTCTCCAAGTATTGCACACCAAAACGTTCTTCTAAATTCCGAAAACTGAAACCTTGAAAATATTTTGCATCATTTTAATGTTGGCCTTCCACAGGTTGAACATCTACCTAACATTACACAGTTATAAAGTATGGCCGTGTTTGAATCGGGTTATTTATTACTCTACAGGTCTCGGTCTCAGCCACTGGGGCGAGATGAAGTACCCTTGACAATTATTCCTGTCTCAAACAAAGCTTAACTCGACTTTCCCACACAAATTTGTTTCATCACAGCAAACTGAAGCTAATCACAAAGCACACCCAACAAAACAATCATCAACAATGTGGCCTTTCATAATTACTGTTACAACCTGTGACATCTTGCGATAAAAGTATGATAAGATAATCAACGGAGACAGCTAAATGGTTGGGAAGTATTAATAGACATTCAAAACTTCATCAATAAATTACAAATTTCATAATACCTCACTCCCAAAAATAGACGTGCTGTTAAACTAGCACTATACATGTATTAAGTGCGAACTTGGTTTTGTCCCTGGATTAAATTTAACTGCGATCACACCTTACTCAATAGAATCTACTAGTCTGTCTAATACTATGCAGTTTTGTGACAATTTTGTGATATTTTTTTCAACACTTGTGTCCCACCCACATGCATAGAGATCTGCTTTAAAAACAACAATTGATACTGCAATGAACAAATGCCAGTAAACAGATGAAATATGTGAGGCAAGATTTCAGAAATGACATATTTAATTCAGACTCGCTATTAAACATCAGTAAAACTGCCAAAAATTCCGAAAGTCTGCTTTGCAAATTTTCGATCCTTGAAGAATTTCTCAGAATGTTTTTGAAATATATTTTTCTAACAAATAAAAAAGGCCCTCATTTTGCAGTTTATACGTTTCAGGTCACTCAAGTCAATATTTGGCAGCATCTTGAAACAATTTTTTTTTCTTGATGCTCAGTGAAATTAGTTCTGAGAAAATTTAACTCCTCAGCAAAAATTTACCGGAGAACATCTCAGATTCAATGTCTTGACAATTTGGCCTGTACAAAAGTTCCTACTGAGCAATTTTGTAACAAATGTGTACTATCAGCAAGTGCTGACAACGGAAAGCATATGTTGGACGGGACAAAATGTTACCAAAAAATCCCACAGAATAGCCACTTGCATTGTTTTTAAAAAGGTCTTCTAAACCTTTTGTCCGTGGTTACACGCCGGAAACCACCCAACCACCTTTACAAGGATTTGGGTGTGGTCAGATTTACTTCTTCAAGGCTTTGCTGAGGTTCTCGGAGATTGCGTTCAAGAAATCCATGGTGTTCAGATAGTGCTCTGGCTGGACGCTGTGGACAGAAAGACAGAATGGTGGGGAATTGAGAACAGAATCATAAGTTCTGAACAATAAAAAATAACACAGAATGAAAAAATACAGACACTTTTAACCCCTTAAGGACGGGGTGTAATGGGGACATTCCTCCACACATAGAGCAAGTGGCCAGCATGACTGCACAGCCTTTGTGTGGTAGCGGGACTGCACAAAAGCAGCAGCTGTGGAACTACCCACTAGCCATGTGCCACGGCATACCACAGCTGGCAACTGCATTCCAATGAGGATTAGCGGCCGCGGCCATGACCGCTTCCCGTACGCATGGGGTTAAGGAGGCTGTTCATGCTTGTTTAGTTTTCATGAAAAAAAAAGAAAAACTTTGTTTTGAATGACTACCTAAAAGATGTGATCTTTTTAAAAAGTTTCTGTGTGAAGAGCCCAATGCAAATGTATCCCAAAATCCAAATCCAAAAAAGCTAAATTTCTTTGTTCAAAAGCAACTGCAACTGCTTTTTTAACGCAATCAAGCACGCATTGCGCAGTGTTGAAAATGTTCCAAACACGCGCGCTTGTTGCTCGAAATGTGTTCGAAATACGACGCAGCTGATGCGCGTTATGCAAGTTGACGCTCAAAATGCTGATGCACGTGGATGGTTTGCAGGAAATGACGTCATTTGAATGACAGCTATACCACAATATAGAATCCTATAATTTGGATGCCTTTCTCATATACAAAATTATAGACAATTCTCTGATTCAAGACATCTGATGTAAGACAAAAAAATATGAAGTACAAAGTCTTTCTCAGAGAATAATCCTTTTTTTTTCAACAACATTTGTCGTGACTCACTCTCCAGAAAACTTTCTAGGAAGTGAGATCAGAAAAATACAAGTTGGCGTGGACATTCAGGAACTTCTGAAACCTCCTTCTTTGGTTTCCAGACCAATTTTCATAAAACTGAAGGATTCTTTGTAACGCAGGGTAACGCAAAGTAACCAATGAAAACGCCCATGCTCATGAAAAGACGTTTTCATCTGCCGCCCCAATTGAAATAAGACATTTTTAAAAATACTAATTGTGCTTATACAGCACTTTCCATCGTATCACCGATCTCAAAGCGCTTTACAATTATTGCCCCTTTCATCAGACCATGGGACCACGCGGCAGCCGATATCAGCACTCAATCGGTCCTCCACCCTCACAGGTACCCATTTATACCCTGGGTGGAGAGAGGCAATTGTAGCAAAGTGTCTTGCCCAAGGGCACAAACACCATGCTCCTGGTACGGTTTGAACCAGCATACCATGGTACATGAATCAAACACCGTAACCAGTGGACCATGACGTTCTACTGGAGCACCTGCATACCTGCGCCAAAAATGTTTGATTTTCAGACAGGCACTTTTGGGCAGCGTTCACTTGACTTACTTTTTGAGTCCATGGATGCACCCGGCCAAGTCCTTGGTCATCATGCCCGAGTCCACGGTGTCAATACAGACTTTCTCCAGAGTGGTGCAGAAACGAGCCAGCTCTGGGTTGTTATCCAGCTTGGCGCGGTGCTCCAGGCCTCGCGTCCACGCAAAGATACTGGCGATAGGGTTGGTGCTGGTCTGGTTACCCTAAAGTCAAAAACAAAAAGTGTTCAATTGAAAACAGAGCTCACCACTGAAGTCCCAACCCTGAACTAGAGACCAGTCTTCAAAATCAAATACATCTGAGGACAGGGAACAGCATATAATAATTGGTGGGTGGGTGGGAGGAGGGGGGGGGGGGGGGCTAATCATCGTCACTCGCAGCTAAGAAGGACGAGGCTACAACGTGGTCCAGCCGAAGGCATGTAAAGGCGCCTTAGGCTGACCGCCATACGACCCATGTCTGACCACGGAGAACAGCCAGAGATCAAAAGTGTTTGATTTTTGCTGAGGGAGGAAAACTGGAGAGCCCGGAGAAAAACCCTCGTGGCACAAGAATCAAGAAAAACTCTACTTATGGTCTGAGCCGGGAATTGAACCCCGGCCACAATGAAGAGAGGCAAGCGCTTTATGTATTAGCCACCCATGGATGGACTCAACTACAAAACTGTGATACAGATCCAGAAAAACAAAAATCATGCAAGCAGAGATGAGGTGTTATCTTAAAGATAATCAATCTTTGCTCTGCTAAAATTCCAGTCAATGGATTTCTCCGTACTGAGAAATCATGCGAAAATAGTCCTTTTGAACAAACACCTCACTTTGCACACCATTTGGTCTTAAACAAGTTTTGTTGTTATGAAATTTGCACACAGATTGATTATACATCACATATAAAACTGTTATAATTTGGAAGGGACATTCCTTATGCAAAATTTAAGACTCAAATTCATGCTCAATCAGAAGGAATTCCAGTAAGCACCAATGAGCAACTTAGTTCTTTACATTTGTATCACCTACATCAGTGTGCTAGGCCACGGGTACAAAGCCTGACGATGGTTCGAGGTGATTGAGAGTTTACTCTCGCATGGTGTCTGGCCTTCATTATCATTCAACAGATAAAAAGGAATCCTGAATTCCATGCAGGGTGCAAGGGCCCAAAAGGCCAGAAAATAAAAAAATATTCTCCCAAAAAACATTACTAATTTACAGAAACTTCATTCTTTCACAACAAGGGAAAACATTTTTTTTTTATGATTGTAGTTTAAGCGTTTTATTCCGTCATTTTTTTTGGGCAGTCGTTACCTTTTGGTGTTCTCTGTAGTGTCTGGTGACCGTTCCATGAGCCGCTTCCGCTTCGATGGTTTTGCCATCGGGGCAAATTAGCACACTAGTCATAAGACCCAAAGAACCATAGCCTAAACATAAATAAATAAAGACATCAAGAATATGATTACACAATGTAACCAGTTCTCAACAGATAAACTACTTTTAACCTTGACTTACTTGGCAAATTCAAATCTTCTGGAATCCTCCAAATTTCCACAGGTATCTATTGATACTCCTTGGTGGAGACAATAAATTGTGATAAAGTATCTCACTCAAGGACACACACCATCGATCGTGGACGTCCTATTGTCCCTCTTTTGTTTGTACGTCTTTGGGCGTCTTTTTAGGAAGACGCCCATAGGTTTTGTACACGACCCCAATCACGGACATATGCTGGGAATCGTGGACGATATTGTTCTCTTTTGTTCTCTGGTATTTTTCGTCCACGGTTTGAAAAGATGAACACGTACACGTTTGTTTATGGTGTCAATCGAGGATTTTCTTTTGCTCCTCTTCCTTTTTCCTTTGTTTGTACTCAACTTTTTCACAACAGCTCTCATTGGTTTTGTACACGTTTTCCAACCGAGGAATCCTCGATTCGGTTTCTGTCCTCGATTCATCGACGATGTTGCACATGTGTGTCCTCGATTTACACCATAAACACCTGCCCATCTTCGTAAACACCGGCAATCGTGGACCTCCATTGTCCCTAATCCTCATTCCTTTGTTTGTACTCAACAGCTCTCATTGGTTTTGTACACGAATTTCAATCGTGGACGTTCGGTCAATCGTGGACATATTGTTTGTGCCCTAACCCTTTTGTCCTAGGGCCACGATTGCCGGTGTTTACATACTCAGACAAGTGTATATTTGCCTGCAGTCTGGGACCCCCTATTGTCCCTCTTTTGCTTGCACTTTAAATTTTTAGGAAGACCTCCCATATGTTTTGTACACGATTCTAAATTGGGGACCTTTGGGAATTGGGGACCCTATTGTCCTCTATTGTTCAACGTCCCCTATTGAATGCAGAAACAAACTCACACATACACACACACACACACCCACACTTGTTTCACATGACTAGTGTGGACTTTCCATTGCTTTCGTGTAGTTAAGAAAAACCAGTGAAAAAAATCATTTTTCTCAAACTGTGAAAACTCTTTCAACCCAATTTTTTTTCTATGATTCCCTTTAGTGTTTCTCTTCATTCTGCTACAGATAAACCTAACCCAAAAATGCCTCTAAACCTGTTTTCCAGAAATGGGGAAACACTGTGTGGACGTGGGCAAGTCCACACAACGTCGGTGCTACCTACATTATGTGGACGTCTTTTGTTCGGAAGTCCACACTGCGTATGTAAGACAAGCTCACGTGTGTAAATGCCGGCAATCGTGGACGCCCCATTGTCCCTAATCCTCTTTCCTTTGTTTGTACTCTTTCCTTTGTTGGTACTTTTTAGCGACAGCTCTCATTGGTTTTGTACACGATTTGAGATCGTGGACGTTCGGTCAATCGTGGACGTATTGTTTGCGCCCCAATTCTTTTGTCCTACGTCCACGATTGCCGGTGTTTACACACGCACACACACACACTACAATCATCACTGTAGTTCAAAACAAGCATACTACCCCACATGACTTGGATAACATAACCACTGGACACCAGTGCCCTTCAACTCACCTTGGGCGACCACATCTGACTGGACGTCACCGTCGTAGTTCTTGCAGGCCCAGACGAACCCACCAGCCGACTTGAGGGCCTGCGCAACCATGTCATCAATCAGACGATGCTCGTACCAAATGCCTGCCTCCTGGAAGGTATTCTTATAGTCTTTCCTGTGGACAGAACGTAAAGCAAAAACTCACTTTACAATATTTCAAATTATCCAAGTGATAAATGGAAACCCCCGAATAGTGACTACAGTGATACACGCATACACCCGAGGCTACATAATCCGATTCTCGCATCTAATGCCACTGTCTCTAGGTCTCTAACAATTACAACTGCGTGGGAAAAAAAATACGAAAAAATATTCATGGCTGTAGCTCAGGAAATGTTTGTGAATTCCCTAACACTAACTTTATCGCCAAACTTCAAACAAAAACTTAAAGGGAATGTACAACATTTGCTTTTGCTGCAATTTTCAGAAATAAATGGATTTGGAGGATTGGTATGTTATAGAAAATATTGTTAAACTGACTTGTTTCACGTTTTGGGCTTGTAAATGCTGGAAAAACCAAGAAAACCTATCATGTTCTTGTAGTCTGGTTCCCTGACCCCACTTACGATGAAACGGAGCAATTAATACACTTTGGGGAATCGTAAGGTCGGAGAATCAGTCTAGCAGGATTGTACCCCTTCACAGGTGTGTAATCATTTGCAAAGAAAATCAGAATAACTAAATATGAAAAATTAGGAACAGTATTTAAAAAAAGGCCAGTTTTCTCCAACGCTGGTCGGCCGACCAGCGTTGGAAAAATACACTTTTTCTTGAAAATGTCAGCACACCAGGAGCCACGATTTTAAAGGATGTTTTAGACTATCAGTCCCTAACAATTCAGTGGGGTATTTCGTGATAATTTGATCATTTCGTTTTTTTGATGTTTGCAAATGTTGTATCTTCCCTTTAAAGGCATGTAGGATAATTTGCTTTTCATGCAGTTTGTTTCCAATAATAGCACCACTCAAAATCCGAAGAAGGGTTTTCAAAGTCTAAGCTGTTGAACTTTCAGCTCAGTGGATATTACAGTTTTCGAGAAAACAGTGACATACTTTCCACAACCTTTTGATCACAAAAATATGATTTTGTCAAAAACACTTTTTATTTCCAAAAATCAGACAACTGACTGATCGTTGGAAATCACCTACATTTCTTGGTTTGATGGAAACATTTCATTGGGTGTTTAGTTCCTATACGATATTTAACCCTAAGTCCCTAAGTATTTTTGCTAGGATGCAACCTCAATCCTGCAAATGTCCTCCAACTGCCTTCATGTTAACATTGCATACGGCCTCAATCCTCCAAGATCATCCGTTCCTTCTTGAATGTGGTCCATGGGGGGGGGGGGGGGGGGGGGGGGGTTCAAGTATAATCAAGGCCTAAATGTATGCACGGCTGAGCATAAACAACACAAGGTCTTGCCTAAGACCATGACACAGAGCATCCTCCAAATTCAGCCACACACTCTTGCCATATAGCCTCAATCCTGCCAAATCCTTTTTTTACAAAAAGGATTTTGAAGGATTTGGGAAGGTTAGGGTTAATCCAAGTAAGCATATTGGTAATAATTTGGTAGGTTACTTTGGGATAAATGCAAATGATCCTAGATGCCTTTAAAGGGAATGTACATCATTGGCTTTTGCTGTAATTGTCAGAAATGAACTATTTGAGGGGTAAGTATAATATATCAAATATTGTTACACTGACATGTTCGAAGTTTTGTGTTCGAAAATGCTGGAAAAAAACAAGAAAAACCAAAAATGTTCAAGAAGTCTGGTTCCCTGACTCCACTAAAAATGAAATGGATCAATTTATAGATGCCGGAAAATTGTAAGGTAAGGGAACCAGTCTAGCTGGTCTGCACTCGTTCATGAACATGTAACCAATAGCAAACAAAATTTGGACTGAAACAAAATGGTAAATTTGGAGCAGTAGTTGAAAAATAGTTAGGTTTTTCCAACGGTGGTCGGCCGACCACCGTTGGAAATTTATACAAAAATACCACTTTTCTTGAAAATGACTTCACACTAGGTGCAATAATTTTACAGGATGCTTTAGACTGTCATTTACCAACATCGTGGTAAGGTATTTCGTAAAAATTTGGTAGTTTTGTTTTTCGATGTTTGCAAATGTTGAATATTCCCTTTAAATGATCAAAGGTCTGGAGAAATGGGAAAAATGATTGCTTACTGGTAGATGGCCTCAAAGATGTCCTTGAAGCGTCCATCGTACTTTTTGAGGATGGTGTTCTTGGTGCTGAGGTAAAGCGGCCACCCCTTGGCGAGCGAATACTGGAAGCAGCTGTGGGCGAAGCCTTCGATGGACTGCACAATAATTGGAGTCAAGGGGGTAAGAAGTTGTCAGAATCCCTGAATTCACTCGAGGGCAATTTCTTGTGAGTACTGCCTGCTGCATTGTTTGAAAACTTTATTTCATATTTTCCAAAGAATAATGGTTTCTTCAATACCTGCTCTCTCACCCTGGTATTGGATCATTTGCATGTGCAAGATTTTTGAACACGTATGCAAATGAGGAACAGTCTGGTGCCTGGATATGCGTTACATTTGCGTTTGTTTTTGTATGCGGTGTCTGGGGTAAAAACAGAGTCAATTCGTCGCAGCGCGAACACGGCGTGAGTTATGAAAACACTATTTTTAAAATTAAACTGTTACGATCTTATCGAGACAACATGCAGTATCATATTTCATATTAATATGAGTAAATTGGAAAGGAAATTAGTATTTTCGAGAAGGCGTGAATGAATGATCGCGAAAACACGTACTGCACGTTGTGAATAATAGTACCAAGTACACGATAAAAATCCAATATTAGACAATTGCGGTATCAAATGATACAGGAAGAAAGTTTCCTATCCAGGGCTTACTATTGGAAACGAGGTTGGAAATAAAGTGAGCACTGGGGACGAGGTTGGTTCTGCATATATTGTGAATTTCAAAAAGCATCGAATCCAAAGTAAAAGTGGTTATTTGAATCCTCCAAGACCACACAGTGGTTTTTTTTTTTAAGAATATGTGACAGTTGGGGTTGATAAATTGATGGTTTAAACCTTAAATAACCAATGCGTGCTGTCTTTTTAAGGTATTATGTATTCCAAAGCAAATTTTAGAACCAGGTTTTTTTGGAGTAAATGGTTGCTAACCGATGAACTATGATTTTATCCTTTTTTGGGGATAAATATTAAACACTTTGGGTAGACTTGAGCCATACCTCATCATTATTGTACATGCCAAGTCCGCATCCGCCTCCTGTAAATTTGTAGACTTTGAAGACTTTCTTCTCACCACCACCGTCTGGGGTGAACACCAGGTCAAACGATCCGGGCTCGTCGGTCACAAAGTCTGTTGCTCGGTACTGCGGAAGCCAAAAAGAGAGGATTTAATAGTGTTTTTGAAAACCTGAATGTTGAAAATGCAGTAATGTACTACTATAATGAACACCACGAAAGGGGAGTCAGGTTGGTACAGCGGTTCTTTCCTCGCCTTCCAACTCTACGGCCCGGGTTCGATTCCTGCCCTGGTCCACATGTGGATTGGGTTTTCAGTCCCTGCCTGATTTCGTAGGTTTCCCTCAGAATATTTTTCTGGGATTTTCTTCCCACGTCTAAAACTGAAATGTCTTCTTCTTGTCTTCTCCCTGCAAGTTTCTTCAGGCTTGCTAGCTACAGTGCCTAGGGCGCTTTGGAGGACTCCTTGGTTTCATTACCAGAAATAAATAAATAAACAAGAACATTAACCCTAACCGAACTCAACCCATCAAAGTTCAACAGCAGGTTTTGTTTCAATCTGTTGGCATAGGTACAGTACCCCTAAACTGATGGTCTTTTACACTGGGGTTGGCATACCTGCAGAAACTAAGTCCAACAGTGTGTGTGTACAATTTCCCATGTGGGTGTTGGAATTTGCCAGAATGGGTATGGTTCCTAGTAAATTAGGCTGGGGAGTTAGGGTTAATAAATAAAGTGTTGTTTTCTACTGTGAGCAACGGCAACTTTCACAATTATTTAAATGGAAGGGAGACTGGGGGTTTCTCGCATTTGTTAATGTCAGAAATGTATCTGCCAATCACAGAAGCCTCACCTGGTCTCCAAAAGCGTGACGACCAATCACAATGGGGGCAGTCCATCCTGGGACCAGACGAGGGATGGTCTTGCACATGATTGGCTCGCGGAACACTGTGCCGCCCAGGATGTTTCTGATTGTTCCGTTCGGGCTCTTCCACATCTTCTTCAAGCCAAACTCTAAAATTTGAAGAACATGTGTACACCCAAAAGTTACACAAATATACTGGATGTCAAAAGTATTTTCAACGGGATCTTTGTAGTTTCCTGATCTTTACACATTTCCTCATTCAAAATGTTATGCAAGGTTTGAGAAAAGGGTTGTCTTTGTACACCATTGTTTTGGACTGCCCATCTTTATTATTCAAATGTAAAACTTCAGCAACAAGGGCAAGACAGCTCAGTTGGTTGAGCAGTGGGATGACAACCAGGAGGTCGCAGGTTCAAACCCCACTCCAATCAATTTTGTTCAACTGTAAACAATTACAGTCAGTTTCCCTTTGTGATTTATTTGTGATTTATTAGTTCTACTTTTTTTGGCCAAAGTGGACAATCAAAAGGCTTCGTTTCCCTACCTTCCACTCTCTCCTCGTCTGGCGTAATAGTGGCACACTTGATGCCCACGTTATACTTGAGGATGGCGTGGGCACAGTCAATGGTGACCTGATCATCAGTCAGGTCCCTGTGTGGCAAGCCCAGGTCGTAGTATTTGATGTCCAGCTTCAGATAGGGGAAGATCAGCTGTAAGCGAAGGAGAGAAATATGCACAATGAAGTTATGTCTATTGCCCGACTTAATTTAAAACCCTAACCCTGCTCAATCCAACAGGATCCAACTTTTTTACATTACCGTTGGATACTGTAGGATTTAGCAGGTTTGGAACATAATTGGATTCTGTTGGATTCAGCAGGCAACTGAAAACATTCATAGTTGCTTCTGTTGGGTGCTGGTAAATAATGCCAAGTTGGACTCTGTTGGATCAGCAGGTAACAATAATATGGCCATTTGGATTGTGTTACATTTGGTTGGATTCAACAAGCAACAGAAAAATAATGCACCGCTAGAGATTCTTTTGGATTGAGCAGGCAAGTCATTTTGCAATGTAAGTTACTCAGCAAAATTACCTGTTGGACTGTGTTAGATTGAGCAGGAAACTCATGAATAACTGTCAGACTCTGTTGGATTAAGCAGGGTAGTCCTGGGGAACCATTAGGGGGTTAGGGATGTATTGGACATGAGGGTAAAGTGCTAAAAACATTAGTCAGAGTGTAGACTAAATGTATCCCTATAACACAAAAGATGTACATCATTTTTGCAAGCTGGAAACCATGTCTGGAACTGGAACATGACAGACTCCAACATTTAAGTTGATGTTTTACTTGTTTATCAATCTTGAAATTCCCAACATAATCTGAAAATATGATGTTTAACTTACTTGAGTCACTTTGTCATTTTGGTTGCTCATTTTGAAAAAAAAAGATCAAGAACTGAATCTGTAGAAATGTGTTATTTCATTTGTAGCAGCTCACCTTAACTTCGTAACATAAAAAAAAAAACCGAGAGTGATCACAAATTTAAAAGACGGCTGCGTAGATGTGAATGTACATGTACAGCAAAGCATGTTTAATAGCCCAACTCAGAACTCCCATTAATTTTGCTCTTATCAGTATCACAGGAATAAAGCATAAAGGTGTTTGAAAAAAGGGGGACAATTTGCTCAGCACGCTAAAAAAATATTTGCTTCGGAAATATTTGTCATGCAAAAGCAAATTTGGTAAACAAATATGTGTTGCGCTGAGTAAGTTTTTTTATGCCGATCCAACATCTCCATGAAGTTGGTCCATGGAAAGCAAGGCACATTTACGATGTACTGTAAGTACACGGTAAATTGCCACAAGAGAAGTCATGACAGGAACATTAGATTCCAAATGTCTTCACTTTGCAGGCTGCACATGAAGTCAATGCGTGAAGCAATTCAATAAATAGGTCATAAGGGCACGGATAACAGCGGCACGTGGAATTCTTACCTGATATTATCACTAAGTCTACAGCAGTTACATTTTGAACCCAAGCTTTATTGACAGTAATCTGTCAGAGAGCAAATTTGTAATCTTTGCAGTTGTATTTACCAAGTACTTACTGAGTGGGCACTGTGACACAATCGTGACACAATCAAGCATACAGGGGTTGTATTTGGGAAAGAACCTTGTGCTTATTTGCCCCACCCCCCTTCCCTGGGTGGGAAAAATAATGGAGCGGCTTTTTCCATAGCAAAATTGCAGTTACTTCAAAATAATTCTGTAAATTATCCACTCAAAGGTAGTCTGGTTCCATCTGAGGATCCACAACTGCCCCTGGCAACACTCTTGCAATTCTGGATAGAAGTTAGTTTACCAGACAGAATTTGGAAAGAATTCTAGGAAATTTTTCATCCTGACGCCACTTTTTTTCATCATAGATTATCTCAATGACGGTCACTCATTGCAAATATGTTTTATACAAGGCATGAATCTGGGACTGAGAAACATTTCCAATTTTGTTAGAAAATACAAACTACCACTAATGCACTCACAGGTAATAATTCTCTCTTTACTTTTAAGAAAATTCTAATGTTTGCAATATCTTAAAGAGTCTTATCCACATCTGGATGACCTACCGTTTCTTTGATCTTCTCCCAGATGACCCGGGTCATCTCATCACCGTCGAGGTCAACCACCGGATTGGCTACTTCAATACGGCTTCCATTGGAATCTGGTGAACAAAAAAACCCCCCAAAACGACTATTAAAACCCTCCTACTATTTAAGAGGTCACAAACAGTCAAAATGTTTCTATCTCACGTCCTGGCATACTGTGTACAAACTAATGGGAGTCTTGACCAATACTGACCCGAGTAATAACCAGGCTGACAATGCATGTTGCCATAGGATAGGAGGATTTTAAATACACGTTTGAAAAGTCAAGCAATGTTTGAAATAGTGTGGCAAATGTTTATGATTAAGAATTCATCAAAACCAACCCCTGTGCAGTGAGACCTGGTTGCAGGCAGCAGGATCTAGAATATTGTTGACATCCCTTTTCTTTAAATCCAGTTTGGGCCTTTTTACTTCTTAAAGTTACATCAAAGTATACTCCATGAACAATAAAGGCACCAGGTTTTTCAATTCTCAGCAACTATGGCCACCTTATTTTGCAGCATCTTGCTTAAACTCTAAAATGTCTTGCTAAAACTTGGCACAGCCACACAGGGTCATGTTCTCCGTTAGCCCCATAATGTGGCCAGTTTACTGGACTGCCTCCGTAAACATAGGCCACACGTCCGCCATCTTGGAATCTGACTCGCCGAAATTTCTAGGAATAGGAATAGTCAGAATCTTTTGGTCTGGGAACCGGACTACCACTGGGCCTGCGGTGTGCGTCCTGCACGCGTGATTGACAGGTGAACGATCTGCGCGAGGGCATTGTTCAGTTGGACCATGGAGATAGCTCCACGGTTGGACCAAGTTGCCAAGAATGGTCCAGAAAATGTCGTAAATTACGCAGCAGCTGGGCAACTGACACTGGCAGCAGGTTCTAATTTTGTTATTAAGAGGGTAAGTGTATTTTTAAAGCATAAATGAACTGGGTTTAAAGTCGCAATGTGGAAATCACTTTCAAAATTTCGGCGAGTCAGATTCCAAGATGGCGGACGTGTGGCCTATGTTTACGGAGGCAGTCCAGTAAACTGGCCACATTATGGGGCTAGTTCTCTGTATGCCTTTTTAGTTTTTTGTATAAAAGATAACCCTGTCTTTTCCCCTCAAATATCCATACATTTTCTCACACAATTTCTATTTTTAAGTGGTGATACTGACAGTGTTAAGATGTTACCTATTCTTGGGTTCAAAATTTAGTTTTCCTTGTGTGTAACATTGCACTCTGCAGTATTCCTCCATGGCTATTTGCCAACGGGTCAAAGGTTAAATGAACTTCATCCTCATGTGCAGGACTAAATTAGTCAGTTTCCTATGAGTCAAATAGGCCGGTATCCCGTGAAGTCTAATGGGGAATTTCCCCATCTTCTATCTGGAGGTCAGGCAACCAGTTCAACAACTGGGACAGACATAATTAGATCTTAGGCCAAGCGCCCTGCCTTTTTGAAAAAAAGGAAGTGGGAGGCCCTTTTTTCCCCCCTCCAAACTGGACGTCCGACCAGGCTATTTTTCAAGATGGCCACCAGGCTTTTTTTTAAATGGCTGCCATTGGACTCAGGAAATGACATACCAGCTTTATATGGGCTAGATGCAACAGACAAGGAGGCCAAAATGATGTAACTGCTGAAAAATTATCATTTTTTTTTTCGGTTTAAACAAAAAGAAAAAAGGAGGCGGCCCCCAAAAAGGAAGCAGGCGGGGACGCTAAACACGTTTTTTTTTATTTGGCCTTATGTTAAGGGACTTTCAATAAACAGTATTTGAGTGCCCCACCTTTTTGGGATAGCTGTGAGAGATTTTTTTCTGTACTTTTTTGGAAGGCATACCATAATGATGAGGGCACTGAGTGCAGGGTGATATACTGAGATTTTGTTCATGGCCTGCCTTGTTTTATTTTCAGGTCCCAAAACATCATGGTAAACCTGTTATTTGTATACAAAATTGGCAGTGGATATTTAGCCGGATCTGGCTATCTTTCAGTAAACAATATTTTTGCTGGATAGGCACTGAACATGCGCAGTGACTGTTATTTTTTGGGACTTAGACACTTTTACCGTGACAAACCTTCGTCTGGTTCCATGCCAACATTGTCATTGTGACTTTGTATTCATCAAACCATTGAACAATTTTGGACTTTACTTCCCTTAAAAAAAAGGGCCACGAATCAGAAAAATGGAGCAACTATAGAATGCAGGGCCACGCCGGAAAAGGTTTTTTTTTGTAGTTGGATGCGATGTGAGGAGTGGGGTCATTGAGTAGAATGGCACTCTTTTGTCTTAGTTTTGAGAACGAAGAACGAAACTTTGGTATATGAGACTTCTCCTATGCGTACGCGGGTCGGGTGTACGGTATGAACGTAGATGTAGAAAAAAATAGAGGGCGGTATAAAGAGCGAATGAGCATGAAGTAAAATGTAATCAATAGAGGGCGCTATAGAGAGTGAATTTTTGACAATACGTAGTATACTATATATACCGAGTGAGACGGCTTGGGATGTCTTGGATGCGGGATGGATGAGCATGAAGTCATCAATAGAGGGCGCTTTATTTACCCCAGGACCCTCTACTGTATTTACCAGTACCCTATAGGACCCACAACTTCATTTCCCTATTTAAAACCAACCCCAACCTACCCACTCATTCCGTCTTAGATGCGTGGATGCTAGGATGCGCGGTGGGCATGAAGAAAATTTTAATCAATAGAGGGCGCTATAGAAATGCGCGGATGGCATGAAAATAATTTCATGGCGCTTTATTGGATGCGCGGATGCGAAGTAGGCATGAAGTAAATTTTAATCAATAGAGGGCGCTATAGAAAACCGACTGCGCATCCATGCAGCCATGGATGCGGATATAGATTGGAGTAGTGGCCCTGTATTCTATGACTATAGTTGTGCCAGAAAAATAAGTTGAAATACCTACTCTGCAATTAAATGTAGGATTCAATTTTAAACAATTGAAATAGACAATTTTAAATTTAATTTTTAATGTTTGGGACACAAAATATCAAGTTAGGCCCCTACTTCAATAAAAAAAACCCTGACATGTAATTTTTTATTTTTAGGTTGGAAAAATAGGCCTAGGGCCTAACTTGAAAAACCACAGATCGGACAAAAACAGTTACTTTAGTTTATACCATGCATCTTGATGGAGGAATTCCTCCATGAATAAACCGACTAAAACTCTTAGTCTTACGCTTAAGTTAAATTACACATTAATACCATAAAATATACAAATATTAACATAGTAAGTATACTCTATGTTATTCATTGATCCCCTCAACTTTCCTGCCCCCCCCCCCCCCCCCCCCCCCCCCCCCCCCCCCCGGTACCGCGGTTCGGGCACTTCGGGCACAAACGATCAGCCATGGCAAGCATGCATAATTAACACATTCCCAAACCGAACACATGCAATTTGAAGACAAACAAATTCATCGAAAATACCAACTGAAAACGGAACTCACATTGCCGCGTTTGGTTGAAATTCGCCATTCCCAAAACGCCACATTTTGGTGACTCCAGGCGACCCAGACTTGCCAAAGATCGGCATATTTTGGCGACAGATCCTGCCATTTTTTTCCCGCGAGTTGTCACGTTTTAATCCCGCAACACGAAAAAGAACATGTGCACCCGGCTTTTCTTGATTATTGACCTTTTATCTAGTTGGTTCCCGCGCCCTTATCGGTTCCTATCGTCATAGTGAAAGTTCGAAGGTCGGTTACCAGTTTCTGTTTGCCCACGTACACCATGTGGTATGAACTACACGTTACTTACAGAATTCTCAATCTGCCGGTAACCGGTGCTGCAGCGTGGATCGACTGAGTTTGCCGTCGATTCGCCGCCCGATTCGGGTAGATTTCTCTTCTTCCAAACTCGACCTGCCAGCTGCCCGAAAGCGTCCTGTGCTTCATTTGGTGTTTTGCCTTAAAGGTGAAGATAATGTTGTGGAGTCTACATGCTTTTTTACCTTGTCTGCGACGATAAATGATTGGCCTGTTATGCATCTGGTTGAATTTCTAGTGTTTGTGAAACTTGGGCCATCTTGGCAGTTGGCCATGTTCAATCATGTTGTTGAAACTCAATGAAAGCATGGAGTTATAGCTCCATGTTGAAAGTTATTGGTCCATTTCCCTCCACATGCTTCATGTCCTTGCCTGGCGGGTGCGGGGAGCATTTAAAAAAAGAAATTTAAACTAGGCAAAATTAGGATCCCAAGAAAGAAACTTAATGATCATGGATCATAAAATTATGAACCAGAAATTCTGTTTTGTAATAATGTGAACATTGTTTTAATGTTTTACTTTGGAAAGAATGTTGCAGCCTTGACACTACTTCAGCGGTTGTGTACAAAGTCTATTTAGTATTTCCTAATAAAGTTGAAAATTTTTTCAGTCCCAGATTCATGTCTCATCGTCATTTTTTCAATGACCGACCTTAGGCTTCATTGAGATGATATGTGACATGTACGAAGAAAAAGCAGCATCTGGTTGCAACATTCTTTTCTTTACTTTCTTTAGTGATCAGTGATTTTATCAAAATTCCAAATTTCATGTGTGATTCCTTGCTCTATGGATAATGGGAAGTAGGCCCCTAATTTGATTGATCATAACAAATAATTAAATTATATAGGAAAGGTAAGAAGTCAGTGTATTTAACATGAAACGGTGTCATACCAAAAACTGTCTGGTGCCAAGTGTCCGCTGAGCATATGCAGAAGACGCAGGACACTTTCTCACTTAATACATGCTAAATACTGTCCGAGCGCTGATGTCAGTGCACGACTTGGTTAATAAGCCACTTCAGAGTTACTACTGCGTGTGCACACATCAGATTCAACGATTTAGTTTTGTGGATAAACACAGCAGATAAATGCACACAAGTCTATGGGGGATGTGGTAACCAAATCCACATTTTGCAATTTTTCACCGAATCAAAAAGAAGATGGAAACTTTTGTTCTCACAAATATACTCATTACATGGCCTAAATACTGTTAATTATTCTGGCCAACTATCTCATCCGTTGCTTCAAGTAGGGCCTACCCATTGCTTTCAGATACTGTCATTTTCTTAAAAATGTGAGGGAAACCGTTAGCAGAGGAGTTATTCGTAAAATGACCACGATCACGCTACCTACACACGAATTGAAATAACCAAATTTAATAATGAATAATGATGAAATTGAATAATGTAAATTATCTTAATTCAATAACCAAGCTTTGGATGTTCAAATAGAAAGTGGCAAAGTGATTTTTTTTTTCTAGTCTACCAGATTGCAGCATCACACCTCTTACCCTAACCCCCTAGTACTTCCTCAAGACTACCCTGCTAAATCCAACAGAATCCAACGGGAGTTTCCTGCTCAATCCACTGTGCCTTATATTCAGTCCAACTTGGCGTTATAATGCAGTTCAGTTGCCTGCTGAATCCAACATTTTGCATCAGGAATGTACACTGTACACCAGGGGTTTACTGCTCAATCCAACAGGCTCCATCGGGTATACAATGTATGATATAGTTGGATCCTGTTGGATTCAGCAGGGTTACGTGCTCAGACTCTGTTGACTACTTGAATTTGCATATTTGATAAAATCGACTTTACTGTTACCTCCATTGATTTCTTTCTTTTATTTAGGAGAGCAGCCGACATTGAAGCACCATGTTTCGGCTTCTGCGAACAGTCAACCACGTGGATGTTGCTACAACATCCCGCATTCACAAGCTTGTCACCACGCGCTCCAGAGGACTCAAGACATCGCTCTTCCGCAGCGCCGAAGCGAAGGACCCACCCCCCGCACCTAAGGGGATCCCCCACAATGAGCTACGGATCGGTGTCCCAAAAGAGTCCTTCCCAAACGAGCGACGAGTAGCCTTGTCCCCAGCCGCTGTGCAGCTACTCACCAAGAAAGATGGCTTCAACGTGGTTGTGGAGGATGGAGCGGGACTCTCGGCTAACTTTCTGAATAAAGACTATGAAGAGGCTGGGGCAACTATCAAGGGAAGGGAGGAAGCCTTTGCCTCGGACATTGTCCTGAAGGTCCGGGCCCCGGCAATGGATGAGGTGGACCTTCTCGCTGAGCGTAAGAATCTCTACAGCTTCCTGTACCCCGCCCAGAATAAGGAGCTCCTCGACAAACTGGCCACTCGGAATTCCTCAGTGTTTGCCATGGACTGCGTGCCCCGCATCAGCAGAGCCCAGGTGTTTGATGCTCTGAGCTCCATGGCTAACATCGCCGGCTACAAGGCTGTCATCGAAGCGGCCAATAACTTTGGCAGGTTCTTCACGGGCCAGATCACGGCGGCGGGGAAAGTTCCGCCGGCCAAGGTGCTGGTTATCGGGGGAGGTGTTGCTGGTCTGGCCGCTATGGGGGCAGCTAAGAGTATGGGGGCCATCGTCAGAGGTTTTGATACCCGGGCTGCTGTCAAGGAACAAGTGCAGTCTCTTGGTAAGTGGAGTAGCAAGGCAAGGGCTGAAATTCTGCCAAAAAGGTGAAATATAATAAACCATATTAGTTCCTGTGCTATGTTGGATTATTTGTATAACATTGTTTTTTCCTGATGAATCTGAAAACTGTAGAGAGCTCCGATTGCTTGAAGCGGTAGAAAGATTTACATGCAGAGCAGTGGTTTGAACAGTTTTTGGGTGGTATCGGCCTATTGGGACTAATGAGTTAATGTATTTTGTCACTTCTAATAATGAGCTGTGATTTAAAAATGTCAGTGAATTTAGAAATTATTGAAATTCCAGTCAATTTTCATAATTTAAAATTGGATATTGGTAGCACAATATCACATGCATTCTGATGCCGCATTTTACTCTACATGTATGTACGTATAAAGCCAAAAAGAAGTTAAGGGGACGAGACACCAATAATACAATTTTTCTGATGTAACCAAAAATGTTTTGTTCTGACTCGAAATGATTTTTTTCAGGTAAAGTTTTGTACAAGTTTGGACAAGTTTTGACTGACTCACCATTCTTGAGAACTGTCAAATTTGTATTCAGAGTGCTGCGAAATGTGCAAAGTTCATTCGTAGACAAAGCATGATATCAATAATGATGTTAATTACAACATTGTTTGTCTCAAATTGTCTGGTTGGGCTAAAATTGTGCACATTGACTACTACCCTTGGAATTCTCTTTAGATGTTAAACAAAATTTGTTGCTGCACAGCTGAGGTCGGGGGGGGGGGGGGGAGGTGTCAGATCTTCCATTTAGCAATCTCAACAATACAGATTCATTCGTAGACAAAGCATGGTATCATTAATGAAGGTTAATTACAACATTGTTTGTCTCAAATTGTCTGGTTGGGCTACAATTGTGCACATTTACTACCAACCTTGGAATTCTCTTTAGATGTTAAACAAAATTTGTTGCTGCACAGCTGAGGTCGGGGGGGGGGGGGGGGGAGGTGTCAGATCTTCCATTTAGCAATCTCAACAATACAGATTGAATGTATGTTGACTCATTGATCAACTGCCTATTTGTGACCCGGCACAAAAGTACAGTAAACTCCGGCTATAAAACGGGCTCTCTCGGGACCCGAGAATTTGTGACGACTTACGCGAATGCCGATATCTGCTGTACATCGTCATTTTGCCGACTTACATGAATGGTATTTTGCCCACATGATTCAATGCACTAATTGGCTTTGATTTACCCTGGATTATCTCCTTTATGCTTGAGTTGAATCCAGTAAATTAATCCTCGAATTGTAGTATCATCACGTTTGGGGTATTGATAGTGGAGACCATGATACATATACATGTACATGTATGTACGTGCACAGTAACGAATTAAATGCGTGCGTGGTTCGGTATATACCACGCATGCATTGACTGCAGCAGTAGTCATTCAATAAGACGACCCCCAAAATGGACAGAGTGCATGCGTACAGCCTAGAGGGGGTACTGGTATTGATATGCTCACGATGTATGCGATGTATGCAGTAGGACACCATTTTTTGACACCGATGCGTGCAGCGATCACGGGCGGTGCGAAACCACTTTTCACTCGACACTTTTTCCTACCGCAGAACAGGAAGTCAATGCCAATGCGTGATTTGTTGATTGCCGACTAATACGCAAAGGATTTTGTAATGCTTTTTATGGAAAGGGGACCGAGAGTAACACGACGACTTGAGCGAAATGGCGACTCATAAAAGCCGACTTAAAAATAAAAAATTCAATGGAAATGCATTACGGACAATCAGGACTTTAGTCAGACGGCCGACTGGGGCGATTTGACGAGTTGTACGGTTTAGCCGGAGTTTACTGTAGTCGTATTTTGAGATACAGCCTGAAATACATTGTACAGGCAACAACTATCCAAATTCAGATATATGCATAAGAAGTGAGCATAATGAATGTATTTCACTTTCAATGGAGTTAATTTGTACATTTGGTTAGAGTTCAGTTGGGAAACTTTAGATGTAGCGGGTTCATACTTAATGCGAATGCGATGCGGTTTGACATCTTGAAGCTTTTGCTACAAAATTTGCCGGAGTTAAAATGTGTTTCACAGCGCAAAAACCCTGCCCTAACGTCACAAAGTCGCATTTGCGTTCGCTTTCACTCCGAGTATGAACCGGACTTAACTCTGTCACATTTTGTCCAATTCCCACATTCTATACATCGTTAGAGAGCTTATTCAATGTCGTTTCCAAAGAGCCAAAAATCCAAGTTAAAAAAATTGGTCCCAAGTGAATGGTTTTGTGCTGGAGGGTCACATTTAAGAATTTTACCTACATGTAATTATTATCTAGAAGCGCTTTAGGAACGACAGTGTTTTGTGAATTGCAATATACATTTTTGGAAATGTTGTCCATCATACAGAGCTTGGGTAAAGAAAAGTTAATCTTATTCATTTTTTGATTGATTTTATTGCCTGTTAATTGACCAACAGGTGCTGAGTTCTTGGAGCTAGACTTTGTGGAATCTGGTGAGGGCACTGGTGGCTACGCCAAGGAGATGTCTCCCGAGTTCATTGCAGCAGAGATGGCTCTCTTTGCCAAGCAGTGTAAAGAGGTTGACATTGTCATCACCACCGCTCTGATCCCTGGCAAGAAGGCACCTACACTGATCACCAAAGAGATGGTCGAGTCCATGAAGGAAGGCTCTGTTGTGGTGGATCTTGCGGCTGAAGCTGGGGGTAACATTGAGACCACCAAACCAGGGGAGTTGTACAAGTACAAAGGGGTTACTCATATAGGTTACTCAGATTTGCCCAGTAGGTTACCTACACAGTCTAGTACCTTGTATGCTAATAATATCAGTAAGTTGTTGCTGTCTATGGGTGAGAAGCAGCACTTTAATATTGATCTAGAGGATGAGGTGGTTAGGGGGTCTATCATTCTCCATGAGGGTAAGATGATGTGGCCTCCACCACCTCCGAAAGTGGTCCCCGGCCAGGCTGCACCAGTTGCTGCAGCTGCCGCCGCCAAAGAGGTCGTTGCAGTGCCAAGAAATCCCTTCAACGACACTCTGAAGAGCTCGTTGATGTACACCTTGGGGCTGAGTGCTCTGCACGGCATCGGGGTGCTGTCCCCTGGCGCTGCCTTCAACACCATGTTGACCACGTTTGGTCTGGCTGGTATCGTGGGTTATCACACCGTTTGGGGCGTCACACCGGCGCTCCACTCCCCTCTGATGTCTGTCACCAATGCCATCTCTGGCATCACAGCTGTCGGCGGGCTGCTGTGTATGAGCGGTGGCTACTTCCCAGACTCCACGCCAGGCACCTTGGCAGCCGTGGCTGCATTTATCTCCTCCATCAACATCTTCGGTGGCTTCCTCGTCACTCAGAGGATGTTGGATATGTTCCGTCGCCCCGGCGACCCGCCTGAGTACAACTACCTTTACGGTATCCCAGCAGCGGCTGCCATTGGTACGTACCTAGCAGGTCACCTCTCTGGGTACGACATTCAGGACATTGGTTACATGGCTGCCTCTCTGTGCTGTGTTGGGGCTTTGAGTGGTCTCGCCTCTCAGACCACATCTCGTGTCGGTAATGCTTTGGGTATCACAGGCGTATCTACAGGTATGGTGGCGACATTGGCTGCATTGAAGGCCTCCCCAGAGCTCTACACACAAATGGCAGCATGTATTGGTGTTGGAGGAGTAATCGGGTCCATTATCGCTAAGCGCATGGCTATCACTGATCTACCGCAGCTAGTTGCTGCCTTCCACAGCTGCGTTGGTTTGGCAGCAGTCCTGACCTGTCTTGCCACGTACATGGCTGAAGCATCTCACTTTGCTCTAGACCCTTCCACAGCTGCCATGACCAAGCTGTTCTTGTTCCTGGGCACATACATCGGCGGCGTTACCTTCACTGGTTCCATTGTTGCATATGGCAAGCTGCAAGGCGTCCTTAATTCAGAACCTCTCCTCCTGCCCGGCCGCAATGCCCTCAATGGTGGCATGATGTTGGCCAATGTTGGAGCCCTTGGTTACTACCTCACCAACCCAGGTTACGCTGCTGATCTGGGCTGCTTGACGGCTACCAGCGTTCTCTCCTCAATCATGGGCGTGACCCTGACGGCTGCCATCGGAGGGGCGGACATGCCTGTGGTCATCACTGTCCTCAACAGCTACAGTGGATGGGCACTGTGTGCAGAAGGCTTCATGCTGAACAACAACCTGATGACCATCGTTGGTGCTATGATTGGCTCATCGGGTGCCATTTTGTCCTACATCATGTGTAAGGCTATGAATCGATCCCTCCCCAACGTCATCTTTGGGGGCTACGGTACCGTGTCCACCCGTGGCGGGAAGCCAATGGAGATCACCGGTACCCATACAGAGATCAACGACGACACCGCTGTGGATATGATTGTCAATTCACAGAACATCATCATCACTCCTGGCTACGGTCTCTGCGTGGCCAAGGCCCAGTATCCCATTGCCGAACTGGTTGATCTGCTCAAGAAGAAGGGTAAGAATGTCCGTTTTGGTATCCACCCGGTGGCCGGCCGCATGCCCGGACAGCTGAATGTACTCCTGGCTGAGGCTGGTGTCCCTTATGACGTCGTCCTGGAGATGGATGAGATCAACGAAGACTTCCCGGAGACTGACCTTGTCCTGGTCATCGGTGCCAATGACACGGTCAACTCGGCAGCTGAGGAAGATCCCAACTCCATCATTGCGGGTATGCCCGTCCTAAGGGTTTGGTCCTCTGCAGACGTCATCGTCATGAAGCGTACGCTAGGCGTAGGCTACGCGGCAGTTGACAACCCCATCTTCTACAAAGAAAATACGTCCATGTTGTTGGGTGATGCAAAGAAATCTTGTGATGCTCTGCTAAGCAAGGTCGTATCATACTATGGCTCTTAATGACTAGGTCACAATTCATTCACCATAGAATAGAACAGCCTTATCTTTTGTGAATCAATCATGTTCAAAATGAAATGTTCACAAATTAAAAGTAAAATGTCACTTTTGATATAAACTATTCAGACCAAAGCTGTTAAGCTATACAATTGGTAGCAGTTTTAGTTTATGTCAGATTTTGGGCTATGCATTAAATAAGATCCTTTCAAAGTAAAAAGCCATTTTTGCCAAAACAAATATTCAGACCAAAACGTATAAGCTATATTATGGGAGCAGTTTTATTTAATGCCAGATTAGAACAATGAATTAAGTATGATTATTAAGTTATGCACAATGCCGAATACTCTAACCTCCTTAGTTTTATTAAAGTGGAGTGCCATAATCTGCAGCATTGAATTTGTGGTCTGCGGGTAATTCTGCAGGTTGCGGGTTCGAGTCCAGCTTGGGCTAGGCACTTTTTCACTCATAGCTTCGCCCCACCTAGTAGTAAATTGGGTACATGTACCTGTGAGGGTAGAGATGGTGCCATTTCCGAGCTGTATACTCCCCAGGGAGCTGAGATTGTCTTAGGAATGTTTCATTGGCCCAATGAGCAGGGTAATAATGATGTAGCGCCTTGAGCACCAATACTGGTGGATAAGTGTGCTTGATAAATATACATTATTTCATCGAGCTGTAAGCACATAATTTTGCTGAGTACGGAAGAGAGTGTTACTGCGTTACCCATTTTTTTTTCCCCCTGATTATTGCTCTGTACATGGTTTTGCTAAGCAGCGTTTCTTCATTGTAAAAAAAAATAAGGGCAGGAAAGAAATCATTGAGAAATTGATGATGGATGGGGGATGGGGGATGAGGGCTACCTCCTTGAATTAACTAGCTGTTACCAATTACCCCCCCCCCCCCCGGCTTTTACTTATCCAGAGGGGTTAGTAAATATGTTGTGACTCACAATGTAAGGTTTTCTTTTGTAAGCACGGATAACTCAGGATTTGACCCGTTTTTTATCAGATGACCCATCAAAATTGGACTTGTAATTACAATTTAGGACAACCGTTTTGTTTGATTGAGTTGCCACTTTTGAGACTTTTTTTCTCTCTCTAGTTTTTCATCCATGTCACAGACACCATAAGTTATTCACTATTTTGACTCGGTTTATGAAACTTTAATTTTGTGAATTTTTTTTGCTAACCAGTCAGTTATCATGCATAACAAAAGTGGAAATGTTTGTTTATTGCAATCAGATAACAAAGAGAAAAAATGTCGCTGACTCTTTCGTTTACCTCTCACATTTCTTTTGTTTATTTTTGGCTTAAATTTTTCCATTTTGATTTTGCAAGATATTCTTAAGAGGATCAAGACTTTAATTGATTTTGTCTTCACAATGTTTTCTTCATTATTGAGCGTGTTTGTTTTTAAGAAGAAAAACAAAATATTTGATTTTTGTGATTATAACATCATTTGTTGTGTTTACATAAATTATAAATTTGAATTACTATGAGTATTTTTGTTAAGGGTTGCATATCAGTGTCGTGATCAGAAAAAAAGTTCTTTGATTATTGAAATGTATGATTTTCCCCTTTTTGCTTAAAACCAATGATTTATAATGCCAATTAGAAATTGAACTTGACTTTTAATACTATACCAGTTAAATTGCTTAAAGCAAAAAAAAAAAATCATATTCTGAAATGTATAGCTTTGAATACGCGATTGTGGTCACAATGACAAATTTGTTTATTGTATTTTTGGATTCTTTGGTTGGGATTGAAGGTTTGCTGATGTAACGTTTCTCGATTGCTTTCACCAGGATTTAAAAAGATGAGAAAAAAACCCAAAACAATATAAACTGATGCAAATACCATGGAAAGGTATTGATGTAAAATCATGTATTCAGAGAAAAAAATATATCTTTAAATTTGAACAAGATATTCAGTAATGTACATTCAACCAATAATTACCCTGTAGTCTGTAATTATCTCTTTTAACAGAGCATTGTGTTTTACCTAGAAACCAAGTTAGCCTGACATGCACAACACTCAAGAAAAGTTGGAGGGTATGTTAAAAAATCTTATTAACACACATGGCTATATTTGCCAGAAGTATAAGAGGTTGCCGTGATGTGTTTATTAACACTGAATAAAATGAGACAGAAAACCAACGTAATTGTGTAATTATTTGTGTACATGTGTTTGGAATCAAAATTTTTTTCATGGACATTTGACTTATGTGCAGCACCACCCCCCCCCCCCAAAAAAAAAAGAGCACGAAACTGAAGATCAAACAGGATTTCTCTGCGGAAATAATGCGGTTTTAATTAAAACCTGTCGAAATATTCCCACTCCCCCCCCCCTTAATTAATGGTTTGGAATTTGACTTTTTAAGCCATATAATTGTGAGTTAAGTTGGCTGGCTGTGGGAACTTTTCATTTCTCTGAGAGATGGAGATATCTTGCTAGGAGATTGCCAAAATAAGATGTCTGTGAAATGGAACATCGGAAGGGAGGATTGGGCGGGGCAGCCCCACAACGAGAATGGGAGGGGCTTGATGCAGAGTTGAGGGAGGCCTTGGGTTTGGCTAGGCAATGCGGGACTGGGAGGGGCAGAGGTAGGCCGGGGCCCCGCCTGTTAACCCTCTTAAAAAATATTGTACAAACAATGCAAGGAAGTTAGGAAGATCCAGAACTGAAAAACAGTCGTAAACCAGAGCATAAGTGGGATACAGAGCAGTAGCAGAAAACGTTTTTTGAATTGGGGGAGGGAGGCGGGGGGGGGGGGGGGGGGGGGGGCTAGCTGTGAACACTTTTTTTTAGCAGGAATTGGGAGCAGCGCCCTCAATTGTTGAATTTAGGTCATTGGCAACAATCATGGCGGACATTTCAACTCCCGCGGAAGAAAAGGAAAAACCAGCATTTGGTTTCAAGAAAAGAGGTCGGTTAGCACAATCAAGGAAGAGGAAAACAAGTGACAGTGATGAAGGTGAAATTAAACGTCAATTTGATCAAGTGTAGACATGGAATTGATTGTTTACAGAATAGAAAGAGGGCCGTTTTGCGGCCGCGGTGAATTGGATGGACTGAACGGATAGAGCTATAGAGGGCGCACTTTAACTTTAGTGGGGGAGGAAAAAGTTGGAAAGATTCCCATATCTACAGACCTGGCCATACTAACTTTTCTCTTCAGCGACCTTTCAACCATCAGAAAGTGATAATAGGCCTATGTGCTAAAAACTTAAAAAGTCTAATTTTGCAGGGAAAATATGGAAAATGTTGAAATAGGCCTAGGGCTAGCCTAGGTCTTATTTACTCCTAGAACTATGAGGCTCCACGCAGTGGAGCCTCATAGAGTCAGAAGCCCGCAAAATTGTTGTCAACACAAAACACTAATTAAGTACAAAAACGTCCATTCCAAATAAGCTATTTCCCACAGAACCGCTGCACAGTTTGCCCCTAAACTCCGTACAATACCTCATGACATACTCACGTTATGTGCACCCAACAAACGTCGGTGGATTCTGTCTGTTTTTAGGCCAAAATGATGAAAAATATGCCCTTTCCGCACTGAGCCAACCTAACACTTGAAGCGAGCACGCGCGCTGATATCGCAGTCATTTTCGGGTTCGATCGCTCGGAGCGCGCCGCGGGGGGTACGTACTTGCACTTGTACGCATGCGCATACTATCAATCCGCTCCTACACCATACCCCCCGCGGCGCGCTCCGAGCGATCGAAGTTTAGGGGCAAACTGTGCAGCGGTTCTGTGGGAAATAGCTTATTTGGAATGGACGTTTTTGTACTTAATTAGTGTTTTGTGTTGACAACAATTTTGCGGGCTTCTGACTCTATGAGGCTCCACTACGTGGAGCCTCATAGTTCTAGGAGTAGGCCTTATTCTGAGAAAACACTCGGACCAGTCTTTGATTTGAACCTTGTGCAAATACCCGGGTACGTGGCGCAATGCCACACTCTGTCCTCGCATAAAAACACTCGAGTTTATCACCCGGCATGTGAGTTCGTCAGTATTGACTATTGTTAAGTAGGCCCTACTTACGTATGAAGCTTTTTGTGAATTCTCGCGAGTGTAGGATCTTGCATTGCCAAGAACTTTGAGGGGAAAATACGACCTCGACACGACAACAAATGTTTGAGCTGAACTTTTGATTTTCTCAGGTCACACACGGTACGCTGGTACTCGGAGTCTGGGTCCGGGTACCCGTACAATCTCGTGCGTTGAGTGTTTCTACGCAACTCTGAAGCGTGGCTATGTATATATAGCCATATTAACGGGTCTAGTGCACAGGGTGACAAGTTAGGTCAAATATGGGAATCTTTCCAAAAATTTTACCTTATGTAAAAAAGTCTAAGTTTTGAGGCTATCAGCTGGTCAGGCAATTCATTGGTTTTGTGTGTTTGTGTGTTCTTTTAGCAGGGAGTGGTGAAGATAATGCTAGTGCCGTCATAAAGAAAGATCGAAGACGGGAACTAAGCAACCCTCTCAAACAGAAGGTGAGGAAGAAGAATGAAATCTGCATTCAGCCCAGGCACCATCGGTTGCTAATGTGTTACCATTCAGCACTCCAGATTCAAGAACCATTGAGTTTCAAGAACATAGGTCTGGGAGCTAGATAAGCCAATGTAAAAAAAATTCCCAGCCAACCTATTGATACAATTTCATAATGTGTATAGTCTCTTTATCTAACCAAAATATCTTAATTGTTGATGGAATATCTGCAATGTTATGTTCCTCACTGGTATGTAGAAAAGACATATTTGAACAATTTTGACACATCTTTCTTCAGAGGACTTGTTTATCACAATCCCACTGGCTGGACTCGAACCCACTATCTGAAAACCACTCAGAAAATGTTGGATGTGCCAAACCAAGAGGCTAAAGATCAGCGTTAATGACATCATTATGAATGATTGATTAATCAAATAATTTCAAGAAATATCAAGATTTTGATTCAAACATCTTCATTTTTTTTGTTTTTTCAGACAAAGAGGCTACAAGAGCGGCAGCAAGTTGACTACAGCAGTGACAGCGACGATGCCACTACTAAGGCAGATAAAGACTTTCGGGTGTCTTACCAGTCCACCAGAACAGCTGTAAGATCTTTCTATAAATATTTACACCCCAAAAGAAATCATTTGCCCAACTATAAAATGTCTGTACTGGATGGTGTTATGTTAAGTTCTCTTGAAATGACTCTTGCGAATCAGTGTTTGTGGCATTTGGCTGTAAATCAGAAGTTGGCTGGAAAATTTTGCCTTTTGCGAAAATTGAAATTTTTGGCAAAATAATCCCGGCGCGAAGTTGTTAATAATATGTGAATGAATTGAAAGAAAAGATTAGATAAAGCTGATTTTCATCATTCTTAGGTTTACTTTGTTGGTGGCAAGTAAAATTTGACGATAAAATTGTACACTTATCTGCATGTTTTCTGGAGCCATGTTAGTGTTTCTTGCATGCTATTAATAAATTAGGAGGTTAATTGACGTTCTTATTTTTGTATTTGCTAGAAACCAGAAGGACCTGATGACAGAGGAGCTACTGCAACTGTTGAAATTGACACAGATAACACTGTTGATGCCCAAACCATCTTTGAGAAGAAACAACAGATCAATGAAGTAAGTTGATGTCCTTTCTTTTAGATTAACCCTGACCTTCCCAAATCCTCCAAAATCCTCTTTGCAAATTGGAGGATTTTGCAGGATCGAGGCTATATGACAAAAATGTGTGGCTGATTTTGGAGGATGCTCTGTGTCAAGGTCTTGGGCCGGATCTTGTGTTGTTTATGCTCAGCTGTGCATACATTTAGGCCTAGATTATACTTGAAATCCTCCGCACTGCTCCAGGATGTCACTGGCTCTGCCTCAACATATTGACAGTGACTGCTGGAGGATTTTGCAGGATTGAGGCAGTGGTCACCCCTCCAAGGACCCATTTAAGAAATAACTGAGGATTTTGCAGGGTTGAGGCTGTATGCAATTTTTACAAAGAGGCAGTTGGAGGAGTTTGCAGGATTGAGGTTGCATCCTGGCAAAAATGCCTAGGGAGTTAGGGTTATAGGAGGAAGCGTTCTCAAAACTCCAGCATTGAATAGCTCACAACGCACAGCTAGAACATTTTGGAAGCTAAAAAAGGAAAAAGAAAATTTTGGAAGTTAAAAAAAATTTAGGCACTCTCCTGAAGACGGTCAGAGCATACTGACTGGAACGTCGAGTTTATACCTCTGGTTCTTTTCAGAACCATTCTCTTAGTTGAGAATTTATTCCCACATGGTGTTTCCGCAAACCTTTCATCATTTAGTTTCTCCACCATGCAAAGCCCCAAATCTTACAAAGCTAGAATGGTTGTGGCATGTTTTTCATTTTCCCAGGAATTGAAGGGTAAAGAAGACGACAAGATTTATCGAGGAATCAACAATTATCACACGTACATCGAGAAGCGAGACAATGCAATGGGAAATGCTTCCAGTGGCCATGTTAGGTAGGTACAACAAATCTATTCAAGTTGTAATAAGTTTCCTCCAAGTTTCTTACAAGAAATTTTTCTCTGAGTCATTTAAACCCTAATTCTCTGCCTTTTTTGGCTTGGAACCTTCCTGAATTCTTCTCCATAGTGACTGGTTTGGCTGTACCTTCCAAATCATGTCAGACCTTTCTCCTGGGCTTACTGCTTTTGCTCATTTCTAACGCAAGCTGTTCCAAGATCTATCTGCTTCCAAGTGGGGACGTTTGTCCACGTGGAGACGTTTGTCCAAGTGGAGACGTTTGTCCAAGTGGGGACGTTTGTCCAAGTGGGGACGTTTGTCCAAGTGGGGACGTTTGTCCAAGTGGGGACGTTTGTCCATCTGTACAAATTCTAGCAGGCTGTCCCATCTGGGAAGTTGTTTGGGAACCCTTCTTATTCCAGTGTCGTAGTCGTGTCCAGCACAAGTCCAGTCAAGGGTGAATTACAAGTCCTTCCACAAGTCCGGTCTTAAGTTACAAGGGGATGAACACTATTACCAAGTAATGCTTTTGTCACTGTTCAGTTGAATAGCCTGTGACTTGACTTGGGACTGGAGGACTTGTGATAGACTTGTGATGGACTTGTCAGGACTTGGGAGGACTTGTGATGGACTTGTGAGGACTTGTCAGGACTTGGGAGGACTTGTATGGACTTGGGAGGACTTGTGATGACTTGTGAGAGACTTGTGATGGACTTGTCAGGACTTGGGAGGACTTGTGATGGACTTGTGAGGACTTGGGAGGACTTGGGAGGACTTGTGATAGACTTGTGATGGACTTGTGAGGACTTGTGATGGACTTGTGAGGACTTGTGATGGACTTGTGAGGACTTGTGAGGACTTGGGAGGACTTGTGAGAGACTTGTGATGGACTTGTCAGGACTTGGGAGGACTTGTGATGGACTTGTGAGGACTTGTGAGGACTTGGGAGGACTTGTGATGGACTTGTGAGGACTTTTGATGGACTTTTGATGGACTTGTGATGGACTTGTGGTGACTTGTGGTGACTTGTGATGGACTTGTGATGACTTGTGATGGACTTGTGGTGACTTGTGATGGACTTGTGATGACTTGTGATGGACTTGTGAGGACTTGTGATAGACTTGTGATGGACTTGTGACGGATTTCCGAGGACATGTGATGGACTTGTGATGAACTTGTGAGGACTTGTGAGGACTTGTGATGGACTTGGGAGGACTTTTGATGGGCTTGGGAGGACTTGCGATGGACTTGACATCAACACTGTATGCTTACAAAGTTGTCCAGCTTGTAATTTGCGTCGGAAATCACTGCTAAACTTCTTGATCTCCCGATTCAAACAGGAAAGGTCCCATGAGAGCACCAGCCAACCTGCGAGCCACCACCAGGTGGGACTACGCCCCAGACATCTGCAAGGACTACAAAGAGACTGGGTTCTGTGGCTTCGGCGACAGCTGCAAGTTCATGCATGACCGATCCGACTACAAGTTCGGCTGGCAGCTGGAGAGAGAATGGGACGAGGGAAAATTCAGCAAAGAAGAAGGTAAGGTTTGAAGGTTTGCATGGTGAAGATAGCAATAAGATTAAGTAACAAATCTCTTTTGTGAGTTTGTGAGGTTCTTAAAAGAACCTAGGAAACTGCCCGAAACTAAATCTCGGAAATTGTTGTTGAGATTCGCACGTTATTACCACTGCATCAGCGCATCAATACAGCAAGATACAAGTGCGTGCGGTGAGCTTCTAGAAAGGGCATGTGTTGTTCTGTTTACACTAATTACAGGAGACGTGCCATGGAAATAATGATGGGGATGAATGGCAAGTTTTTCAAGTAACGTTTTTTTGTTCTTCTAGATTTCAGTAAATATGAGATTGACAGTGATGAGGATGATGGCCTACCGTTCAAATGTTTCATCTGTCGACAGTCCTTTGACAAACCAGTTGTTACAAAGTAAGAGTTTGCCAGCAAAAAAGATGGGTTTTTTTTCATCACAGCAGTGATAAAAAAAAAGGTGAACTGTGCACAGTTCACTTTTCTGATTAAAAAAAAGAATGTAAGGCCAAAAAAAAAAAAGTCTCCGGTTTCTGGTATGCGCGCGTGTCACCGTAGCCGTGCGCGTCGGCAAAATGAAAAAGTTGGGTTTTTTCAATAAAAGATGATGTCCCAAAACCGCCAAACTCACTGGTTTGACTGGAATCCTGCTGCTGCACAATTTTAACGTAATTTTAGATGGGGTTATGATCGAGAATAAGCTTTATGTGGCCTCTCCGCACTCCCATATATTTGCACTAAGTTTAGTCGGGCACCATTTGCAGTCATCAGCCGACATTTGAAGCAAAAAAAGACAGGTAAAAAACAAAAAAAAGCCGCGTCGCCGCACGACTTTTTTTTTTTTTTGGTAACTCCATACCAGAAACCGGAGACTTTTTTTTTTGGCCTAACCTTACCTTTTTAACAGATTGGTGTGATAGAAGAAAGATGTCTTTATTGTGTTGGTCTTCTTTCAATGAAAGTTTGACACTAAAAAAAGCAAGGGAACTGCTTTGAATTAAATTTGAAGGTAAAAAGTCTAAACTTTTCTCTGTAATGTTTGAGTGAAATATTTGTTTTATGCCCCAGGTGCAAGCATTACTACTGTGAGAAGTGTGCGCTGAAACACTACAAAAAGAGCAAGAGGTGTTTTGTGTGCGGCACGCAGACGAACGGTATCTTCAACGTAGCCAGAGGTAATTTTCAACACTTATTGACTACATGTAACTTCTATTTAGATCTAGTGTCTTTTAATCTATTGCTAGAATATCCAGCTTATTTTGTAAATGGTATACTTTATGAGTGTGGCCCCCCCCCCCCCAAAAAAAAATAAAATTGCATCTAACTCCCGAATGCCAGCAGTATTATTGGATGTCAGCCTTAATTTGCACTTAAGCATATAATGAAAACAATATTTTCTCGAAGACCAAAAACATTGTAGAGTGAACCATGTGTTTTATAGCTCCATGAGTGAACTAATTTTTTTTCTTTCATTTTCAACAAACAGTGCTGATTGCCAAACTTGAAAAGACCAAGCAGCAGGGTCACGATGGCGGTCCTTCCCAGGAGACTGAAGAAGATTCTGACGAGGAAGGATGAGCCCATTACATCATCTCTCTGGACTTATCTCTCTGGAATATTTCAGTACTTTTACTCTTTGATAGAGAACACTCAAAAGGTTGTAATATTTGGCCCAAATTGTCTGGATAATAAAACTGCAAAAACATTATGGACACCGTGTGCAAAGATGTCCCGGGGGTGGATTTACAATTGACCCTTCCTGCCCGCCAATCAAACAGTGTGCATTAACCAATAAGATCAAGACTTTGGGTCAGGTGACTTTGGGTCAGGTGACCACAGTCGCTCTGGCAAACTCCATCACAAGCACTGTGAGAAATAAACATAAACTGAGGATGCCCTCGGGGTTTGATTTTACAATAGAGGTCTTGAGTATTGACTGATTCTCCAAGAGGACTTGGAGCTGCACAAGGATTCTCTGAGTTCCATCTAATTGATGCAAGCAAAGTTCATCATGTCTGCTATGACTCTGTGCACAAGTACCTCCTCAACAATAGTGCTCCGGTTAGTCAGGTTGGGGCATTGGTACTTTCCTCGCCTTCCAACTCTGTGACTCGAGTTTAAATCCAACTTATGCCAACGTGTGGATTGGGTTTTCAGTCCCTACCCGATTCCATGTTTTTTTCCCTCCTGCAAAAGACTTCTGGCGTCGCCCACCTCTTAAATCAAACATTTCTTCATCATGGTCTCTTCTTCATACAGGCTACTAAGATATAGTGGTTGCTACTGCTCCTGAACAGCATTGAGCTAGCTATTGTTCAGATAATCCATCGCAGAGCAGCTGCCTTGTACAAAAGTGTGCACAATGGTTTCTCCATTGAGGGGGGCCTCATGAGTATACGGCAATCACATGCCCGGATTCATCTATGCTCATGGCCCATTGTGATTCAAAAGTTTTTCTGAACACAGTCAGTGTTTGATTATTACAATGACATGTTTAATGTTTATTTCTGATGCTTGAATTACTGGGCTGGTTAAAAAAAGTTGGGATATTCTAGTGGGTTGAATAGGCAGAAATATTGGAAATTTGACATCGAAAGAGACATTAGGGAAAAAATGCTTTGTGTAAGCTGGCAGTGTTTTAGATTTTTTTTTTCCTTCTTAGGCTTAGGCTTTAAGAAACTGTATAAAGAATATTTTATTACAAGAATAAACAAAGAATATAGTGGTTGTCGAACAAATTCAGTCATTTTTGTGCCTATTTATTTGAAAAGTCAAGTCTCATTGGTATAAATTAAGTGACTGAGATTTAGGTTATCATGTATAATGTACCAAAGGGCCCTGTCAAACTTCTTTTGCTACTGAAACTACATGTATACATGTATTATTATACCTTTGCAGACCCTTTGCAGACGTTTTAATTCAGTCATATTGAACACAGAAGATATCTCCTCATGATATCTCCATAAAACCATGGAGGAATAAGAACACCCTCCATGGTAAAACAAAAGCATGTACCCTCTAGATGGCTGCGATGCAAAGGTTACGTATAAAGGTATTGAGAAAATTGGAGGCGGGGGCTTTTTTCCGATGTTTACCAAAATTACTAGTGTTATATTGATTTTCATGATTCGGTCAACTTACTACGGCTGTGGCTGTTTTGTGGTTTTTACACAAAATGTCATGAAACAGTCGTAAACTACTCTGTAAACTGACACAAACATAGTCGGGGGACACTGCAAGCAATGCCGTGAAAATCGATCGCAGTTTGGCTTGGGCACCAGACTCGACATAATTGGGAATTTTCGCCAGGGACTTCCAAACATGGCGAATCCGTCGACTGACGGCGGGGAACTCCGCTCTCCTTTCGACAGTGTTCTCACCACTTTCCTGCCGCAGGGCCACGAAAAGAACCTCAAACAGGCCTTCTACAATGCCGCCACCATTCTCTTCATTGTGCTTTTCTGTGGTGCTGCGGTTGCGGTGTATTTCGTTCTGGAGATTTTCATCAAACCTCTGTTGTGGGCCGTTTTGTGTGGCACGGTTCTGTATCCGTTCAAGTACACGCTGACCAGGTAGGCCTACCTGCATTATTTATGTTAACCTCGATGAGTTGATCATCTGGCTGAGCTGAACGAACTGTGACTAATGCTTTCCAAATGAAATGGTTGTCAAAATAGCATAATTTAATTAACATTATCAATATAATTAAGGCCTAATAATAGTAATATAATAATAATATCATTAAAATGGGCATACTTTCTTTATAATTCATTGCTCATTGCCCTAGCCCTTTTCCCAAGTTTTACCTCGAAAAATAAATGTTGGCCTTGTTATACATGTAAGTTATAATTGTTTGTGGTGTCCGTTAATAATTCAGGCATATCTTTTCATGCATTATACTTAACATGCTTAATACTTATTTTAGTTATAGGCGCAAAGGCAACCGTAAATGTAAGTGTGTTTTTAGAGAAATTGATTTTTGTCACGTTTAAATAAAACGTATACAAATTGAAACTTCATAATAGCAGAACTAGAAGCAAATCAAATATGTTGAGGGGCATGGACTGTAGAGCAACTTTAAACACGTCATTTTCAGCATATGCAACACTGAAGTAATTAATTGTCAAACAAACAAACAAACAAAAGAAAAAACAAAACAAATCAAACCGAAACAAAAGAAAAAAATCCAAGTATATATTTTTGGAGTAATGTTTATCATCGGAAATCTGCCTGATTTTTGAATGCGTAAAGAGAAAAAGTGAATTTATTTTTCAAGTAGGAATTCTGTTCATTCTATTCCATTTTCTGCCGGCTTAAGACCCTTTTATCTCTCGCTTGATTCCTGTAGCTATGTCAGCGGTTGGCTGCAGGGCCTGGAGGACTCTAGCACCCCTCTAGCCGTCGGCACCATCGCTATCCCTCTCAGCCTACTCAACTTTGCCTCGGAGCAGCTCGGCCAGGTCATCTCTCATCGCTTCAAGCTGCTGGTGGCGGTCTCGCTAGGCCTACCCCTGTCCTACTTGGCTTATCAATGCTTGGACTACGTGGTGAACATCTTACTGGGGGTGTTCTACGTGCTGTACGAGGGGCTGGGTTACTTCAGCACACTGTGGGTAAGGAGTGGCCGGGGGGGGGGGGGGGGTTATCATCCAATTTGTCTGGAGCAGGATTGGAACCCACAGCCAGTGAAACTTTGTATTGGTACTCTACCAGATGAGCACTACGTTGGCGGTCGCCCAAATATGGAAACCACCAACTGTATACAATATTTGTACAGGATGCGTTCTTCACCGACTCTTGTGCACATTCCACGTACATGTAGCATCATCGATAGTTCCCTTTAAGGAGTCCACAGAAGCAGACTTTGTCCAAATTACTTGGCTACCACGGCAATTACCCACCTGTCAATGGTAGCAGTTGAAGCTACTTACTGTCGACCGTATCCAATTAATCCACATGCAGCCTGAGCCTTAGACTCGAGCAGAAATTTAGTGCACTCCATTCGATTTTAAGGGATTGGGACAGTTTTTGTAACCATAATCTCCTGTGTTTCCTTCCCTCTTCTGGGGATAGGTGTGGACCATCATCATTGCCTACCTCCTCCTAGTCATCTTCTGGTGGAATGATTCCTCCAAGGCACTCCTTGGGAACCTAGCCGTTCCTGTATGGATCATCCTGCTGCTTCATCTTGCCAATCTGACCGGGCCGTTCCGCGTCTTGCTCTTTGTTGTTGTCATCACCCTGGTGGCACTTGGGTACAGCACGATGCGCAGGAAGGAAGCCGGTAAGAGCCAGCTTCAATCAATTAGCACCTGTAATGCGTTGTATTACATTGTATTACATTGTATTTATTTCCCAATGAATCCATAATTTGTGGAGTGCTGGGGTGGTTTTGGGCAGTGCGGGGAGCATCAGGCAGGATGATTTGAGGCAGTGCAGGCACAAATGGATTTTTAGTGTGACGAGTTGAACACTTCATTGGTGTTTTAATTATTTATTTTTATTCGAATTATCTTGGTAATGAAACCAAGAATTCTTCAAAAATGCAAAGGGTGATTAAGAAATGTTCAGTTTTAGAGGTGGGAGGAAAACCCAGGAAGAATATTCTAGGGAAACCCACAGAAACAGGTAGGGATTAAAAAATCCAATCCACATGTTGGCCCAGGTGGGATTCGAACCCGATTCACAGAGGTGGAAGGCGAGGAAAGTACCAATCACCTGACCTTTCATTGACACGATTTTCCAGTGGATGCCACAGATGGGGATGAGGACCAAGATTCCAGCCTCAATTCATCCGAGACCGAGATCAGCCCTCGCCCTTCCGACACTGCGGTGTCTGCCCAGCCACAAGAGGGCCAGGATGCAAAGGAAGATGTATCCAAAGTAGGGGACAAGCAGGAGGGCAGAGCTAAGAAGGAAGAGGGAGGCGATGAGACAGATCTGGATCGGCCGTCTAGGCTTGATATCCCGCAGGCAGCTAAAGAGCCCAAGACGGAACGGAAAAGCAGCAAGGATAAGGTAGGGCTAGATCATGTGAATCACACTTTTGTGTGTGTGTGCATTATAGTGCATAAAGTATGAGGGAAAATGACCTTGGATGGCACAGTTGGTATGTGCAAAGCATCCAATTGTGATTCACCTCTAGCTATTGATGGATGTTTATCCACAGACTCCGCTCAGCACCCGCTACCTCCTGGGTCTGTTCTGGACCTGTGTCCTAGTCCGTCTCTGGATGCACATGTGGCTGCTACAGCTTCTGCCGATCCCCATCGCTATCTGGCTGCTCAAGAGAGCAGCCACCCAGTCCGGCTTTTGGGACTTCATGAAAGCCAAGGTAAGACGGCATCTGATATACGTGGCTATGGCTACTTGACAAGGAGAAGTGGCTTGAGCCCCTTCCTAAAGGAGTTTGTGTAATTGCAAGCCGTAGCCAAGTACTTTGGACGCAATTTAAAGTTGTAGACAGTATATGTAATCAGTAACTGACATAATCGTGGATTTAGAGTAAGTTCGGTCAAGAATTTTGGGTTAACCATAGCTCAACCGACTTTCATCCCATGTATGCTGGTCTACAATTGTTTGACTACCTTTCACTGGTTCACGGTTATCAACTACTTTCTCTGACTCCACAAAACGTAACAGCTGTGGTTTATTAAAGTGTCTAAAGGCGTTCCTTTGATGTGGTTCGTTCCCTGATACCTGTGGACCCGGACTTGTAATGGACCCAGCTACAGTACAACACTGTGTATTTCCGTATACTTTTCAGGCTTGGAAATGAATTGACTAAACAATTTCACTGGTCATGAAAGCTTATTATGATGAGATTGTCCATGTCCCTTTGCGTAGAGTGCCATCACTAGACACTTTGCGCTGTCACCATCTCTTTCATTGCATTTAAGAGAGGGCGCTGTTTGCAATAATAATAGTAATAATATATAATATTATTATTATTATTCATACGTATACCACAAATGTTCAGGCCAGCGCCAATGCACTTGTGCACCACTTAGTTGTTTTTTTTCCTCACATGCGTACGGGACCAAAAGAGTCCAAATACTGGTGCGTGAGATCATGGGCGTGACGCCCATGCATGATGAGCGTTTGCGTATTATTAACACACTCTGTACGCTGAGCATTTTGCTCACAGGCGCAATAGCAAATGTCGTGTCTAGGTTTGATTATATGTCTATGGTCTCTACATACTGTTTAACCCTGGTTCACTGTGACTTGTTACTGGTTTATCTAAGGTGGAGTCTGGGAGGCTGGATGCGATGGACTGGGTGGCAGGCAGGGAGGACGCCTTCATTCCTCCTTACATCAGAGGTCTGACTACGCTCTTCCTCAAGGGAGACAGAATGGTAAGACGCAGCCTGAGATCGTATGGTTTATGTAGGGTTCATATTGCGGGGTTGGTAACAGCTGGCTAGTTGCTTAACCCTAACCCTGCCAGATGCAACGCAGTGCAACAGGTGTGAACTCTGTGGACCTTGCTGCATTGGGCCATCTACACCAGTACATAAACAGCCAATTCTGAGACAATAGGAGCTAGGCCTATAGACCTTTATCATGCTGTCACCATTTCAGTCAGGTTCCCCGTATCCAATAACACTACTGAGTTATAATGTTTTTGTGCAAAAAGGAACCAGACTATTTTTCCAAAGCCTCGCTTTGGTTACGTTGATTTGAATGGGAAAAAAATCAAGATGGCCGCAACATGATAATGGTCTATTGAACAATGCTACAGTTGAGTTTTACTTCAATTTTACTGGTTGTTTTCCTTGTCGTTGTATTCAAAGCCATATTTGTTAATGCTGAACATCTTTGTGTTTTTGACCTTTAGGTGATTGGTGTTCTGAAGAATTCTGTCGATAAATTCATCAGTATATTCCTCATCCTTGGGGTCATGATTGCAACGGTCATCATAGCGTTCCTATTGGCTATACAGGTAAATTGCTCATTGACACTTATGATTCTAAGTAATCCGGCAATCGCCATTAATGAGATGCGCCACCCATGGGCATGAAAACCGTAGTGGTGGTAGGAGCACGGAGTGTGCGCACACCAACTGCGTGGAAGGAGGGAGCATACTGTCCTTTTGACTGATTAAGTTGCTGACTGACTGACAGTTGTATTTTGTCAAATGTTTGCGTCCAGCCTGACTAGCTCGCTATTTCTTAAAATGCCGCAAGACACTACACATTGTTTGTTCTCATCCTCCACTTAAACCCTCCTTTAAATCCTGTAAATATTTCAACATCTGTGATGTTTTATTTCAGATTCAACAGGAGAGCATGCACTTGATTCAGTTGTCGGGCAACCTGGTGAACGAGACCATCGCTCAGAACCCAGATCTGCAGCAGTAAGCCCAACAGTCCCTCATCCATGTTTTCTTGAGAGTTAGCCCGTGCCTGAATTATATGGCTACGGCTTGCAATTACATATGTGTCTATTAAAGCTAGAGGTTATCATTTGCAGCTATCCGAAAAGTAACTGGCGTAATGATTGTTGAAAAACAAACTTGGTTGAAAGATAGTAAGGGAACTAAACTCCCTGTGAAATTATTCTTTCTGGGAAGCTGTCATTTTGAAGTAATCAACGAAAGAAGGCATTTCCAACGGTGATTCTTAAGAAGCACCGTAGGAAAATTTAAATTAGTAGTTCGTTTTGTTATTCAGCGCAGCGCGCACAAGTATTGGAACGACGCACACGCGCGCGCGGTTGTTATAATTCGTCGGATCGGTGCGCGACGTCGCGTATAGCTGCAATTCAAAACAATTCAAAACATGATTCAGTAACTTTTGATTTGAAATTGAGATCCTAGAATGCTGTTTTTCTCGGAATATACAGCTGAAGCTGAGCTGAAACTTCATCCGGTTAGTTGTTCAGTACCCTTCATTAGATTTTGAGCACTTTTGTTGCTTCAAACGAACAAAATGCACAAATTACAAATGATGGACTATACCTTTAAGGCGGCTAAAAGCCACTTCCCATAGACTGAAGTGTTACTGCTGATGTAGCCAAGTCCTTCATATGTGACCTAACCCTCTTATGTACAAGGACTTTTTTTACGGAGGGTTTTACAGGATAGACGAAGGTATATCCAGGCCATCATAAGTTTACTACGTCCTTGATGCCCCTTGACAGTTAAATTAAATTAAATCAATGTTTCATTTTTTTGGGAGTAGAGTGGTCTAATAGTCCTTGCTCGCAGCAGAATTGCGAAGGACGAAGGTGCAACGTGGTCGAGCTGAAGGCATGTAGAGGTGCCTTGGGCAGCCGCCATATGATCCACGTATGACCACAGAGTACAACCAGATCGAAAGTGTTGATATTTGAGCCGGGAGGGAAACCGGAGAACCCGGAGAAAACCCCTCATGGCACAGGAGAGAATCAACAAACAACTCTACTCCCATATTGTCCGAGCCGGGAATCGAACCCGGGTCACAGCGGTGAGAGGCGAGTGCTTACGCATTGTCCCACCCATGCCCCTCATGACAGTTAAAAAACAAGTAATACTACTATAGCTCCCTGCACTGTGGGCGATTTTGGAAGATGCTTGGAAAGTAAGGGTTTATTTGTGAAGTTCGTAGGCAGACAGACAGTGACTTTACACTCCACAGATTCTTGGCAAGATTGACATGCGGTAACTAACACAAGAGCAAGGGTTAATGAAGCGGGGTTGATTTTTAAAATTTTGATGGCTTGCAGATGGTTTCCCGGTGCAGCGGACATGCAGCAAGCCGTGGACTCGGTACTGAATGATGCCTACCACTACGGCAGAGATTGGATATCCCACAAGGTATGGACTACTTAGCAGGAAATCTAGATGGCTTTTGTGCGTCCGGGGAATCACGAATCACACTGTGCTGCAAATCATGTGTCTCACGGACTCCCATTTTGCAATTTCATGGTCAACGTCCTGTAAATGCTGTCCTGCAGCGTTTGCGATTCCATTCTTGATTATTTTGGATATTCCTACTTTAGAAGTTTTGCAAACAAAAGGTGGAAGTAACTTGGCGAGTTGTTCTATCCTTGCCTTCCGACTTGCCTTCCAACTGGGGTTCGAATCCCACCCAGACCGACCTGCGCATCGTATTTCAGTCCCTGTCTGATTCTGTGGGTCAATGGAATATCTGTCTCGGGTTTTCCTCCAACATCTAAAAGGAAATATTTCTTCATTGCCTTACATCTGTACATTTCCTCAGTATTCCAAGCTACATTGCTTGTGCACTTTGAAGAAACATTTGGTTTCATTACCGGAAAGAGTTGAAATTTAAGTAAAATGAAGTAAAAAGTCAGGTTTTTGCTCATTGCAGGTGCATAGTACTCTGGGCGGTGATGATGACAATAAAGAACAGATTGAGGAGCAGGTGTTACAGTTATGGGATCGGCTGTATGTACAGCTAGCTGCCAAGGTAGAAAGATGTCATCTTATCACAAAGATGCTCATTACCATAAATCATGTTGATATTTAACCCAAACCTTATTAACTCCATCAAAATCACCCACCCCCCCCCCCCATTTTGGCAGATAAGCCATGTGTACTAAGTCCATCAAAATCCACCAGCACCAGTGATGGGTTTCAATGGATTTAGTCATGAAGCAATATGCAAATCAGAGTGAGTTATGAATTTTGACGGAACTAAGTAGAAAGTTAGGGTTAGGACTAAATTTTTTCCTTCTGGTATTTTTGTTAACAACTTTTTAGAATCCTTCAAACCATCACTGCACAGTTAACTAATGGCAAATAGAATTTTGTTAGATTTGTAAAGTTACGCCTGACCCCTGCTTCACCCAATCCTTCAAAATTGTAAGGGGCCATGACGGATTTAAGCCTTTTTAATCATCTTTTGAGCTATCCCAGACAAAATCAACTTGTTTTCGTTTTTACCCTCGTCTTGCTATATGAGTGTATGCCATTGTTGATTTCAACTGAATAATGGCACTCCATTATCATTTGGACTTTTTTTAATGTTCCTCAGAATGGCACAAATGACAATGATGACGATGACGATGACAATCGTCGTTTCCTTGCTGCCAGCGTCAACATGTCCTGGAACGGTCTGATGGAGACAGTCGGCAAACTGGACGAGGTCGAGATGGGGGGCTTTGTTCAGGCTGCGCAGGACAACTTGGAAACTGTCAAATCGGTAAGTATGACCTCTTTCTTAGAGTCAATTTTATTTCAATTTCAGAAACATTTTACTTCCATCAAAAGAAACGAATAACCTAATGTATTTTTTTTTCAAGCAGATTGAACTGTTAGAATTTATTGATGAATGTCAGGAAAGATCTCACACCATGGTTATGATTAAGCGAAAGTCTGAACTTTTTCATATATCAAGGAGCTTTGTCCCATCCCAAACATTGTCTTCTGAGATTAATATTCTTGCTTTTCTGGTTTACATGTTGTTTACATGTGTGTTTACATCTTGTTTACTTTGTTTTTGTTTACTTGTTTATCCATCAGGTCTTGGAGTCAGTCTGGATGGTACTGATGAGTAACGTCAGTATCCTGTTCACAATTCTCACGGCCCTTCTCAGCTTTGTCTTTGAGGGCAGCACGGCCCTCCTCAACTTCATCATTTCTTTCGTAAGTTAACATCTTTGGAAATTGCTTAATATCTTGCATTCCCACTTTGTACATCCTCGTATTAGACAGAACCCTAGCAAGCCGAGTCCATATCTGTCCACCTCGTGAGATGAATTATTCATGAACACTTCGAAATATGGACTGACATAATTTCTGACCAATCAGAATGCTCCTTACATAAGCTGACCCAGAATTGCCCCCGACAAAATAAAATGGTAACGCGCTGTGCCTTCCAGAAACGTGCTCTCCAATTAGCTAACATAGATGGCGCTGCAATTTCAGACCTGAATATTCAGTGCGTAGGAAAATGTCACGAAGTCTGTGCGGAGAAACTGATTGGCCAACAATGACTGTTGAAAGAGTAAAGATTCAGACTTGGTTTGCCAAGGCGTCTTACAATTTAAATTGATCTGGCAAGCGAGGATGACTTTGTTGATGTGGGCCTATTTCATGGCACTGCTAAGCAAAGAATTTGCTAAGGACAAAAACAGTTTGCTTTAATAGCCAAAAGCTTAACAGCCATGTAATGTATACTGAGAATTTGCTAAGGACAAAAAAATTTGCTACGGAATGACAAGAATTTGCTAAGGACAAAAACAGTTTGCTTAGCCAAAAGCTTAACAGCCATGTAATGTATACTGCCAGCGACTGGCTGTTTGTACTCGGCATATACATTTTCTTAGCAAAACTGTCTTGAAGGTACTTGAGGAATGTCCATCTCAACCGAGATTGATTGTTTTTTCTTGGTGTGTTTCTTAGTTGGTGTTTGTGACCACTCTCTTCTACCTGCTGAGTGCAAGCCGTGGTCAGTTCCTGCCCATGCAGTGGATCTCGGGGCTGACTCCAGCCGGACAGGCCAGCAGCCGATACAGCAACGCCCTGGAGACTGCTATCAGGTAAGAAATCTGTCATCAAACGCCGTCTTTGAATATGAAGGTGATCGCTTGCTCTCCGAGCCATGAAATTGATTTCAGTTCACAGTGGAGACGTGTCACTATAAACCAGATGTGTCTTAAACTCTTTTGTTCTGGACAAAACGTCTGAAACACAATGGCAATTATTTTCGGACATTTGGTTGATGTTGCAGACATTTTAAAAATCCCATCTTGCGTTTCAGACATTTCGAACGTCTGAACTGTAATACTGTTAAAACCACTCACGTTTCAAACATTCTGTTAACATCAAAATATCTGAAACATAAGTTTATCAAGAAACGGGCCATGATAAGTTTCAGACATTTCCGGCTGACTGACAGGCCAGTTCCTTGATATGCCTAAGTTTCAGCCATTCGAAATGTCTGAAACGTAAGAGGGGATTAAAAAATGTCCCAAATGGTGACCAAATGTCTGAAATATAATCACCTTCGTTCACATTTCAGACGTTTTGTTCGGAAAATAAGTGTTTCAGACATTTCTGGTTCGTAGTGTGTGGGAATAGTACATTGCTGACATCTGTATGATTGAATTTCAAGCAGAATGATGTAAATTTCATACGGAGTTTTGCCCTGACTGACTTAAATAATTAATAAATATTAAAAAAAACATTGAATAGATGTTGCTGACAGTTCTTTTCTACTTTGGGTGTTTTGTGTAGGGATGTTCTCGGAGCATCCATTAAGATGTCGGCCTTCTATGGACTGTACACATGGCTGACGCATACCCTGTTTGGCATCAAGATTGTGTTCATCCCAACAGGTAGGGAGTTTTGAAGCCAACGTGTGACACAATCATTAGTGAAAGATTTGCGTTTAGTTGTTTAACTGTTTCAAACTTCAAACTTAAAGGGAAGATATAACATTTGCAAGCATCAAAAAACGAAATGATCACATTATCACGAAATATCTTACTGGATTGTTAGGGAATGACAGTCTTAAGCATTCTGTAAAATCGTAACTGCTGCTGTGCTGACATTCTCAAGAAAAATTGTATTTTTCCAACGCTGGTCGGCCGACCAGCGTTGGAGAAAACTGGCTTTGTTTCAAAAACTGCTCCTACTCTTTCAAATTTAGTTATTCCGCATTTTGTTTGCAATTGATTACACACCTGTGAAGGGGTACAAGCCTGCTAGACTGATTCTCTGACCTTACAATTCCCAAAAGTCTATAAAATTGCTCAGTTTTATCTTAAGTGGGGTCAGGGAACCAGACTACAAGAACATGATTGGTTTTCTTGGTTTTTCCAGCATCTACGAACCCAAAACGTGAAACAAGCCAGTGTAACAATATTTGCTATAACATACTAATCCTCCAAATCCATTTACTTCTGTAAATTGCAGCAAAAGCAAGTGATGTAAATTCCCTTTATTAACTCAAATTCTGACAGGTTAAGTTAAATCTTGGGAATGATTTAGTTCGGTGCAACTGTCGAACGCTAGTCCGAACAGTTGGTACTTTTCTGTTTGAGAGTGAACCCAGTTAGTTTTCCATTGTGTTACTCTTGTGCTTTCTTCTCTTTGTATCCAGCTCTGGCGGCCATATTGGGTTTTGTGCCGTTCTTGGGTACCTACTGGGCGGCCATACCGGGGGTCATTGACCTCCTGGTTCAAGGCGAGAGGGGTTTGGCCATATTCCTTCTCGTCTGCCATTTCATCCCGATGTCCGTGGTGGACACTGCCATATACAGCGACATCAAAGGGTATGTTGATGACGACTTCCGGTGAAATCAGAAGAAATGACTGTGGCTGTGGCTGTGTCTGAATTACCTAGCTACGGCTAGCAGTAACACACATGTCAATGGGAAGTTGATTTAGCCGCTACCTTAGGTGCATGTGTAACTGTAAGCCGCAGTCAAGTAGAGAGTCATCTATTGTTGACAAAATGCTAGACATACCGCTGTCTGTTGCGTTTGTGCAGTAAATCTTGAAGTAGTATATCTGAATTTGTTGTCTTCATTATTTCCTCCAAAAGTGGGGGCCATCCCTACCTGACTGCCCTCTCTGTGGCCGGCGGAATGATCTACTTCGGCCTAGAGGGCGCCCTCATCGGCCCCATCCTGCTCTGCGGACTCCTGGTGGTCGTCAACATCTACAGCAAGATGATGCAGGGCTCCGGGAGTGCGCCCTCGCTGGTCAACCTGCGAGGCACGTCCTCGGCCTCCGTGGGCCGAACGAGGTGGGACTTCCGCAGGTAGGCAGGGTCAGAGGTCACACTAACCTGTCATCCTGCATCCTGTCATTTCATTTCATTTTATGAGATTTTTTTTTTTTTATTCTTTTTAAGATCCGGGATATTTTGCATGATGAGAAAATCTGAAGGGGAAAGGTATCCGTCCTGCCTGTGAATGACACAGTATGCATTGACCAATGAGATCAGGACTTTGGGTCAGGTGACCACGATAGCGCGGTGAAACTCGGTCACAGGCAGTGTGAGAAACGTGCACAAACCAAATCTGGAATGGTTGAAGCCCATATCATGTGATATGTCATGTGATACCCTTGTCATGTGACACCCATGTACATGTAATGTGATATGGCAGTTGATACTTCAAAACCGTTTTTTTTTTTATTAATCAACTAAATATATTACAATTTCGGCATTTGATAATTCATAATTGTTTCGCTTTAGAGGAAATCTCCCATATGAAGACCCACAATTTGAAATTATGTTTTCGTCATGCAAAATACTCCCTGTTGTTGTTTGAATTTTTTTAGACATTTCTTTTAGTTCCTTTTGATTTTCACCATCATCATCATCACATTTCATAGACATGCTCACTTAAACTTTCAGTTGGTTCCGTTTTCTCTCGGGTATACAATTATCTTGAGATGAATTAAACGTAAAATTTGTGAATTGCCTTGTTTCCCTGATCATTACACAATTTTATTCATTTACAAGACATGTGAAGGACCTACCTATCACATTGATTTGCCTTGAGAATCTTCTACAATTAATGTTTTTCATTGGTTCACCACAGCTAAAGTAGGATTTGCGCCGTAAGGGTAGAGTGGATCAAAGAAAAGTAACCAACCAAATTGTTGTTAAAAAGCTTACTTGGTTTAAAGATAGTAATGATACTAAACTCCCAGTGAAATTACTCCTTCTGGCTTACTGTCATTTTGAAGAAAACAATAAAAGAAGGTCAATGGACGTGTCAAGTGACACATTTTTGGAAATTTCTATTTGTAGTAGGTAGGTAATGGGGCAAATCCGTGAATGGGTTCTAGCATTGACATGATGCATGCGCGATTGGCTGCTATTATATGTCAGTTCAGTGTGTGACATCACGCGACTATAATCGGCTGAATGAGATTCCCGGAATGCACAATTCAAAATTTGAGATTCAGAATATCGTTTTCTCAAAATATACAGCATTCACAGAGGCTAAACCTGCGTCAGGTTAGTTGTTAAAGCTACAGTCCATCATTTGCAGCTATCCAAAAAGTAACTGACGTATTTATTGTTGAAAAACATACTTGGTTGAACGATAGTAAGAGGAATTTACTCCCTGTGAAATTGTTCTTTCTGGCAAGCTGTCATATTGAGGAAATCAACGAAAGAATGCCTTTCAAACGGTGTGTCTTAAGATGCACCGTTGGAAATTTCCGTTAGAAGTTCGTTTTTTATTCGGCTAAGCGCGCGCAAGCGTTGACACGACGCTTACGCGTGGTTGCTATAATTTGTCGGATCAGTGCGTGACATTGCATAGCTTCAATTGGCTCAGTGAGAACGTGTCTCGGACGCTGAATTCAGGCCCAATTCAAAACATGATTCAACATTTTTTTTATTTGAAATCGAGATCCTATAATGCTGTTTTTTTTCTCGGAATATACAGCTGAAGCAGCGCTGAAACTTCATCAGGTTAGTTGTTCAGCACCCTTCTTTAGATTTTGAGCAAGTTTTTTGCTTCAAACGAACAAAATGCACAAATTACAAATGATGGACTATACCTTTAAGCACCCGTCTTTAGATTTTGAGCACTTTTGTTGCTTCAAATGAAAAAAAGGTCCATTCTACCTTGAACGGCAGATCTTCTGTTGTGTGAAATGCTCAAATCCAGCTTCGTGGATATCCATCTTCTTTTCCTACTATTTCCTTTTCAGATCAGACACTGTGTCCTGAATGATTACCTCAAGTTACGCACCGTGCTCATCAAGCAGACCTCGCGATAATGCTCTCTGTATGTTTGAAGCACAAATGGAGCTTGATAATACTTGTATTAATTAAGTCAACTTTGCAGTGTGTCTACGCAGTCTGTGTTCTTGTATAGCAGGGTATCTTGCCTAAGCAGTAATCCGTAACCATGCTAATAGGAATTTTAAATGTAAAATGACAAAATAGCAAGATTAAAAACTAATAAATGATGCTGAATACATGTAAATGGTTGTATGTTGCGAAGTGCTTACAATTTCTGAAGATTTTCAGACGTTTACCTATATTTGTCTACTTCTGCAATATTTTTTGTTCGTTTAAAGTTTCTCTCTTTCTATCACAGTACTGTCATCTTTTAATTTTTTTCCCATAAATTGTGTGGCTGAAGTTGTGTTTCTCGAGCATGAGGTATTTCATTTTAACCTTTTCCTTTTGGAAATAATTCTTTGCCGATATTATCTGACTATCGCAACTTCTTTAAAAATCAGTGTGGTAGTTTAGTCCATCACAAGTCCAGTTGCAACCTCACAAGTAAAATCATGGTCACAGATAACAGGGGATCAACAATGGTATAGGAATGAATGCCTTCGTTGCGGTTCATTAGAAGCGCTTGTAATTAATCTATCGCGGTAGAATCGCGTCAACACAGCTTGTGACATATTGTCCAATTATATGATATATACAAATGGCCTATGGACGCAGAACGCGCAAAATCTGAGATAAGGCAAAGAAAAAATAAGTCAGTCTCTGGTCAGCGCGCGCGTCAATTTTAATCATGCGCGTCGATCACTTTTTACCCAAAATGTTCCTCGGTAGCTCCAACAGCACCCTCTATTTCCGCACCTCTTCAATTTTTTTTGCCAAAGAGCACCAAGGAATGGGAAATTGCACCAAGGCAAATGATCGAAAGCACCAAAGCAAATTATAGATGTACATGAGGACAATGTACATGAGGACACCAAAAAAACAAAATATTACCCACCTTGTCTGTACAATCCAAGCTTGAAGAAAAAAAAAAAAAGCCGCATGGCTGCGTCAATTCCGGAACTTTGGTCTCACCAGAGACCAATTTTTTTTTTTTGGCCTAAACAAAACTTAGCATACAGTGGTCCATAGGGTTGTCTAAGGGGCGTGGCTAACTCGCAAACGACGATTGGTCAATTGGCCGAGGACTAGATGATTTAATGTGACTGACTTGTGACTGAATTGTGATTGACTTGTGACTGATATGCGACTGATTTGTGATGGGCTTTGAAATTTAACAGTATTTTAGGCATTAAGGATTGCTCAGCCTCTTCAATATTATTTTACATGGGGCTTGATGCCTGTATTTTGTTGCAGGGGAGAAAGTGCCATTTGTATATATTTTGTAGTGGACTTTGGAGGATGCTTGAAACTACAAAACCAAACATCTCATAGTTTTATTTTGCATGCAATAGTTTTCTATTTGAATATTTCGTTAGAGATTAGCTGATTTAAAGTAGTAACAAGTGATTTCTGCTGTTTAACAGTGATGATTTTACAACATAAACATTTTTCAATTATTATTTTCCATGGCTTAAGTTTTAACTTTGATAAGCGGTTGTATTGTTAAAACAAGTATTTTACACAAAATGTTGGAATGTTTGATAACATTCATGTATTGTGCAATAGCCAGTGCATTAAATGTAGAATGATTTGCTTTACATGGATGGCCTTCAAAAGTGTCAGAACGAAAGCCATTTGGTAGATTTTGAAAGCCATATTTAAGTGGGAATGTTTACATTGTGTGGTCATTGTAGGATATAGAGAACAGTGAAGTATGATGTTATTTTATTTCAAATCAAGGGGCTGAATTAAACTTTTAGATATCAAAGTTACTCTTACCTTGCTTTTCAACAATTGTAATGCTTTTCAATTTTAAAAATGTACGTTTTATTTGAATGGAAAGAGTTTTATTTTAAAATAAGTCAAGCTGGCGATGTATGTAAAATAGCAAATAATGAATAAAGTAAAAATGCAGAAATCTATGGGTAGGAGAGCCAAGAAAAAGGCAAAGGTGCGGTCCTGGTCTTTAGCAGATGTACAGGACGCAATGCTTTGCAAAATAGTGCTTTGGGTTTTATGCATCAGTGAACCTCCCTTGTGTGTGTAAAAAAAAAATTGTTACGCGAACAATGTTTCAAAAATTAAAGGGAAAATACAACATTTGCAAACATCAAAAAATGAAACTACCAAATCATTTTGAAATACCTTGCTGGACTGTTAGTGAATGACAGTGTAAAGCATCCTGTAAAATCATGGCACCTGGTATACTGTCATTTTCAAGAAAAGTGGTATTTTTGTATCAATTTCCAACGCTGATCGGCCGATCAGCGTTGGAAACAACTGGCTTTTTTTTCAAATACTGGCCCCAATTGACCATCACACTTGTTTGCAATCGATAACAAACCTATGAACGGGTACGAGCCAGCTAGACTGGTTCCCTGACCTTACAATTCCCCAATGTATGTAAACTGCTCTGTTTCTTCTTATATGGAGTCAGGGAACCAGACTACAGGAAAATGATCGTTTTTCTTGGTTTTTATAGCATTTTCGAACCCAAAACCTCAAAAAAGTCAGTGTAACTATATTTGCTATATCTTTCCAACCCCCCAATTCCATCCATTTCTGAAAATTACAGCAAAAGCAAATGATGTATATTCCCTTTAAGGTATACCTGTACATTTAGAGAAATTGGTATGTGAACATAAAATCTTATACATTGGAAAATTCATTTTCAGCTTTCTGGGCTCCTTCGTTTTGATGCTTTGATATTACTTGATTACCACCAGTGGAGAACAAGGGGTTATCAAACATCATAAACAAGAATTATCATATTAGATGCATCAATTGATCATACAGAACACATTTTTCCTGTTTTATTGAAATATCAAAAAAAAATTCTGTCCTACAATACATTTGCTGAATTACAAAACTATGGAAAACTATAAAAATAGCAAACTGAAATTTTGGCTTTGAAACTAAAATGCAAAGGTGTACACAATTCTAACTTTCTGATGCAGTTAACATAAATATAGTAATGCTTGTATGTCACCGTTTGGCATGGAAATGTAAAAATGTGTTCATGCTAAATGTAATACTGCAGCACCAGAAATGTCCTCATTACACAACGGATTTTATTTTATGTACAAAAGAGACAAAAGTTCGATTTTTGGTTTTTGTTTTGAAAAATCAAGTACAAAGTATGTTACAAATTGAATTCATGATTACATAATCATAAAAAAAATAACTAAACAGGTCAATTTGTTAGTTGTTTTACTGTTTTTTTTCCTATTTACAATTTTTAAAATCAGTCCAAAAAATCTGGATATTTTGTTGTGGGATTTGTTCAAAACTGTCACCAAATTGCAAGACAATCATAAAAGGACTCAGTGCAAAGCATAATTTTGTGTCTGGTGAGTGATTTTAGTAAAGTATGGTCTTCCTTACAGTTTGTGATAAGCACAATATTAGTACAGCCATGACAGCAAATCGGTGCAGGAATTGTGCCTTTGATGATACAAGCATGGCATTTGGCACACAGTCGGAGCATGTCCTAAGAATAATATTTGGCTATAGGGCCATCACAGATTTGTCCAGTGACAAAATATAGGCAGAATAACAAGCAATGGCAGCCATTTTGAAAATGCGATGGCCCTATAGCCAAATATCTCTCCTTAGCCATACTCTGTGTGCCACATGCCATACTTGTATCAGCAAAGGCACAATTTCTCAAAATAAGTCCCCTATCTGTCCCACTTTATAGCCCGCACGCATTTCAACCGCCTTAACCCTAAAAGGGCCGGGGGGGGGCGGAATCCGCCCCCCCCCCTCAACATTTTCCGCGATAGCTTCTAAAAAATTTTTTCGCGACCCAAGCTGTTATGACTTTTTAGCCTCGAGCTTTGCGCATCTTTTGATACCAAAAACATAAAAATCGGACCACGGGTTGGCCCGTAGCGAAAAATTTTCCGGCGCTACGCGCCGTGAAAACTGAATTTTCGCATATACATCGTGTACATCGAGCAGAATTGCCATTCATACATATGAATAATTAATTAGCCATAATTCCAAAACCCTTTGACCTATAGTCATGAAATTTGTTGGGCATGTTTAGGAAGAGTTGCTCTATGCATGTGTGGAGTTTCAAAATTTTTCGTCACTCGATGGCCGAGATCTTAGGGGGGGGGGGCGGAATCCGCCCCCCCCCGGCTGAGAGATGGTCAAAATAACCCGGCCCCTTTAGGGTTAAAGGGCTCATTTTCAGCACTAATATTTCACTTCTGGGAAAGATTCCCATATCTGGCCATCACTTGTCACCCTGTGCACAAACCCTATGGGACTGGTCTGAAAATTTCCAAGTGTTTTCTCAGTAAAAATTCAAAATTTGTCCCTGCTAATTTCGACTTTTTAGGACATATTACCACTTTCTGATGGCTGATAGGTGATTTAAGAAAAAAATTACTGATGGCCAGATATGGGAATCTTTCCCAATTGTGTAAAGTACATTTCATCTGACTGAGGCTGCAGGTTCAAATCCAACTCTGGTCAATTTCTTGGTTCAACCATAAAATTAATGTGCACCCAGTCAGTTTCATTTCGGGTTTACATACATTTGTCAATATTAATTCAGTACTACAATGCATGCTTGAAAGATCAGCTTATTCATTGCCCTCTAAGATGGCTGCTATGCTCGAGGTGTATTGAGATTTGACACTTCTCTAAGATTCTGTGAGAGAAACAATTTTTACAGATTCTGTTGGATTGGCACTGGCAACTATGCAACAACAACAAATCAACCATAATTTTTTTACAATTTTCAACCTCCTATTGTCTGAAGTTGTATACTTCGACTCAGAGGCCACATGTCCAACGTTTGTGCTTTGTTAATTACCACTTTACAAGTTCCCAAGCAGTTCTGGTTTTCCTTTTAATGTAGTCATTGTTTGACCATAAGTTTATGATCTCTAAGCATAACTACCCCACTTTGTTACAAGTGAGGCGAGAATCAGAGTTTATCCAAATGTTTTATGTCAATTCTCCTGGCATGTAGCTGGTGCGGCAGTTGCCTAGAAGAGAGAGAATTCCCTGTTGGTCAGACTCATCTCGTTCACAAATCTGTGGAGAAAAAAAATACCAAAGTGAAAAAATCTAATGGTTTCCTCTGCCTTATAATTTGGATGGTTTGGCAAAGGGGAGCAAAGGAGGGGGAAAGGGGTTCACAGAATCAGGTACAGGTACCAAGCAGTGATGATAGTCCAGTTTTTATTCCAGGTATTGAAAGAAGGGAAAGAATGCTGCAACATGATGCCACTTCAGCGGTTGTTTACAAAGTCTACGGAGAGTCAAGAACATTTTCTAAGTATTTTCTAACAAAATTTGAAATGTTTCTCAGTCCCAGATTCATGTCTTATCATCCTTTTTGCAATGACTGACATTCACTGAGATGATATATGAAGAAAGAAGTGGCGTCAGGTTGCAACATTCTTTCCAAAAGAAGCAAAACACAAACAAAAACACATTTTTTTACCTTGTCATTTCACTGTTGACCATGACCCTCCTGGGGGTGTGCGTCCAGGGCTCTCTCTGATGGATGCTGTCATTCTCACTCCACCAGCCTGGCTTCACGGAAGTGGTCAGCTGGGCTCGATAGATCTCATTGGGTGCTGAAAAGCAGAAAAATATAGAGCTTCATCAACATTCAATATTTTGAGAGAAACTTGAGATGATCGAAAAACTGTACTGGAGCCATGTTTCCACAATGTTTCAACAGCTTTTCAATATGCTGGGGCAATGTGAGGTCCTTTTGTCGGAATGTTATTGAGCTGTTCAACTATGTTTACGGGTTGGAGAGATTTGAATAATTGTTTTTCCTTATAGGCCTACATTGGTGCTCTTTCAACCTATTTATTATATATTTGAAATTGTTAAGTATGTCAAGGTCACAGAGGGTTAATATCTAATGTCCATGATCTACTGTTATTTTTAACAGCTCACCTTTTAATGTTTGGCCTAATTAAGTTTGAAGGCCTATATCGGTATGAGTATGACTATGTAGATGTATTTATATGTCACAGGCCTAGGGCTTATCAATCCCCTTTCAACTTTACAGCTATTCTTTAAAATAAACTAATTTTCAGACGCAAGAAATTGAAAGTATTGGAACAATTAACAACTTAAAAAAATAAAGAGTGTTGTAGGCCATGTAGGCCCGGCCTACTACTAGTTAATAAATTGACTTAACAATACTTAAAACTGACCGCTGTTTGTTCTAGTGTGCTTGTGCAGTCTCTCCGTGAATTTCACATACGATCCACTGTGCTCTTCGTATTTTCCCGGCTGTGTCACCTTGTTGTATTTGTGCATGTCGATCGGTGGAAGCTTGGACGTCGGCGGCCTGAATGTCACATAGGAACCCTTCGGGACCCTCGGGACGTCCTGAACAAGTCGGTATTGGTACTCGGGATTCGGCTGCAAAACCTTCTCCCTGATCGGATCTTGGTAACCCAAATACGTCAGATTAAAGTGGGACATCTTGTTGCTGGAACAGCACCACTGATTCTGAAAAATTCTGGCCAATTTTATCGGTATTTTGGAATTTATAATTGATATGTTTTTCACTCGGTAGGAAATCAGTGCAAAAAGCGTCCCGCAGAATGTTCCCAGGGAAACAACCGATAGGTGGCGCTTTGTTCTAGTAATGAATATTCATTTATAGAAGTTCGTGCATGAACTCCAGTATCCTCTTCATGATATCTTTATTGTACCTGACCACTGTAACCAGACTAAAGCAGACGAAAATTCTTTCGTCTCGTTCAGATATTGTAATATACTATTCTCGATGAAAAATCCGTAAAAAGACAAACTGTAGCTCTGATTTGAAAGAAAATCAACTTCCTGTTTGTTTTGGATTATTTTGTTTCCTTTTGATTATATAAAATATTAAAATAAACACAATTTTTGAAGCCGCCATTTTGTTTTCTAGATCATTCTGCTGTGTAATTCATGCATGTGTACGATCTAGAAACCCGTTAAAAATCCACCTTCATCGACTTCTCCTGTTGTGAATTTCGCTTGTACATTTCATCATGACTTCCATCGGATCTCTAGCATTCGATGAGTATGGCCGGCCATTCTTTATTGTCAGGGATCAGGAACACAAGACTCGTCTAACTGGGATCGAAGCTCAAAAGGTAAAGTCAAATCATGTCACTGCATTTCATCTAACGGGTAGTAACGTTATTTAAAACCGTATATTCTGCGTGGGTTATTCAAGTCTGGCATTGAATTGACTTAGGAAAATGAGGCGTAACTTTTTTTCTAGGCTAGGGACATGGTCATGATGGCAGTATAAAACTATGAAAGTTAGGCCTACTTGCACAGTCGCAGGGAATTCAAGAGATTCATGCAGATTGGATTCGGGAATCGGGCAAAACGATTGGTGCATGGGCGGGGCCAGGGGGGTAGCGGGGGAGGGGTGGATTTGGGTGGACGTAGTAGCCCCATAAATGTGGCCGACATACTCTACTACCTCCCTATTATCAGCCACAAAATGCTCAGTGCGGGGAAGGTCCCGTTGCTAGGGGAGCAAATCAAATTAAGATTGGAAATATTTTGTCACTTTTTAAGAATGCGCGCTCATTTTTAAGATTGCGCAAATTGAAAGAAAGCGCACAACAATGATAAGACATGAATCTGGGACTGAGAAATATTTTCAATTTTGTTAAGAAATATTTAATTTCTTGATATTCTTCTATAAATTTCCAAAGACTTTGTACACAAGCGCGGAAGTGGCGTCAAGTTGCAACTTTTTTTCCATTCATGGCAATTAATAAAATAAGATTTTTATTTTATTCTCTTTTCAGTCTCACATAATGGCCGCCAAAAGTGTGGCCCACACATTGAGGACATCTCTCGGACCAAATGGTAAGTAGGCACGGCCTACACTGACAATGTAAGCCATGCCTGTGTTTGACAAAGGCCAACAAATTCAGATATTTTGTTGGCAGGTATGGTCGCTAGTACTACTTCGGCTATGGAACTTTTAGGAAAGGTTCACCAAAAAGTTTTAAAAGAATCTGCAGGATGCGGGAAGTTACATCCCATTAACTTTGGGAGGTAACACACTGAGTATACGGTGTTGATATGTTGGTGAAGGGCAAAACCTAATTTGATTTACATCACCCCAACGCAAACAAATCCCATCTTATGAATAGTTGAAGCGGTACCCGCTGCTATGTACATCAGATCTGAACCAGCCAACCGATCGCGTTAGCTCGGTGGTCGAGTGGTAAGACACCTGCACTAGAAAGCAGGAGGTCGTGGGTTTGAGTCTCACCCGAATGATTTTTTCCAACTTTCACTCTGGAGGTAACACACTGAGTGTACAGTGTTTATACGTTGGTGAAGGGCAAAACCAAATCTGACTTACATTACCCCGATGCAAAAAATCATATCTTATGGAAAGAAAATGTCGTTTGTTACCTGCACAAGAGGAAGATTTGAAATTGAAGGATTACGGGAGGGTCTTAGCAAGCATACCCAAAGAGGTTTTAGTGAATCTTGTTTAAAAATGTAAATGTAATCACTTAAACCCCCCCCCCTCCCAACCTTCATCTTACAGGTCTTGACAAGATGCTGGTTAGTCCAGATGGTGAAGTGACAGTTACCAACGACGGAGCGACGATCCTCAGTCAGATGGACGTAGAGCATCAGATTGCCAAGCTGCTGGTGCAGCTGTCCAAGTCACAGGATGACGAGATCGGTGACGGGACCACGGGAGTGGTCGGTAAGTCTCACAAAAAGTGACAGCCATATAACCCCCTTGAGTGATTTACTTGGAACCTTCCTCACTCTTGCAAAATCAAACACCATGGTAAACTCTACACTCAAACTGTTGGGCTCTGATTATGGTGGTATGCCTGACCCCATGTAAAGCATAATCTGTTTACTAGTGCACTACTCACTCCAACAGATTCCAACAAAGCCCGGTGTTGGAGTTTGACTGGATGGGGATTGGTAGGGTTAATGCAGCTTACCCTCCAGGGTATTTTGTCCAGAAAAAGGTTTCAATGTTTCTGTGATTCCCATTTGTTTGTTTTTAATAACAAAATGATATCATCTTGTAACTTGTCTTAAAAAAAAGCTGTCAAGAGCAGCAATCAATTTGCTATAAATTCCACGCGGGGTTGAAAGAACGAAATTTGTTGTCTCAAACTTACAGCAAAATCCCAAATATATGACTTTTTGATGCGCCATTTTAATTTCTCATCCTCAAAACCTATAAGCCATTTTGGGGGCTTCATTTGAAAGCTTCTGATATAGCGTAGAGAGTTTCAAACCTCGAAGTTTAGTTTGCCTGTTGTAAAAACAGCAATGGTAACAATGAAATCTTTAAACTAAGAACATATTTAGGCAAGTTGAACCAAACCTGATGGACCTCACATTTCTCCCCCTCCCCTCCCCTCTACCAGTCCTTGCGGGAGCTCTCCTTGAACAAGCCGAGTCCCTCCTGGACCGAGGCATCCATCCCATCCGCATCGCCGACGGCTACGAGCTGGCCGCCCGCAAAGCCTGCGAGAGGCTGAACGAGATCAAGGAGGCATTTGAAGTCAACAAGGACAACCTGGAGCCTCTGATCGAGACGGCCATGACCACACTCGGCTCAAAAATGTAAGTCTGGACAACTTACCCTACCAAGATACGAAGCTTATCGGTCCTTTTCAGCAAAATCAGCAAAATCTTACCGTCTAAGCCGAGCATTGAATATTGCCAGATTTAGCGCAGCTTGGGTTTGTGTGACAATTTACAGCATGGAATTCAGGATTCCTTTTTTATCTGTTGAGTGATATTGAAGGCCAGACACCATGCGAGAGTAAACTCTCAATCACCTCGAACCATCGTCAGGCTTTTTTACCCGTGGCCTAGCACACTGATGTAGGTGAAACAAGAGGACTGCAAAAGCATTCCTGCATACGGTCAACCTCAGTTTGTGTTCATAGCCTAATGTTCTGATGGTTAGTCCATGAAAGAAGTGAATTGAATGAAATTCGGAAATAGGTAAATGCATTTTGGGATATGAAATTTTGTTTATATTTGGTATTTGGCATTTGGTCAGCCGAGCTGATGAAAATATTTTTTCATTAGCATGTGGGTTTTCATTGGATGCTATTTGTTACCATGCAGCACTCCAGATTCAAGAACTATGAGTTTTAGATAAATACATCTAGTAGCCAGATAATGTAAAAATTCCCGGATATCCGGGTCTGCGTATTGTTAAAATAATCACGCTCAAGTAACCTTACAAACTTCAGGAAATGAAAGGACACTTGTAAATGTGATGACACATCTTTGTTGCAGCACTTTGAATGTCGACAGGTCTTCATGAAAAATATGGAGTGATTTTGAAAGCTGACGGATCTTTTGATTATAAGCAAGGCACAAGTTTAAAGTGTTTTTTTTTCCCCTCAGCGTGAACAAGTGCCATCGGCAAATGGCCAAGATTGCTGTGGACGCCATCATGGCTGTGGCTGACTTTGAGAGGAAAGACGTGGACTTTGAACTGATCAAAGTGGAAGGCAAGGTGGGGGGTAAACTGGAAGATACCATGCTGGTCAAGGGGGTGGTCATTGATAAGGATTTCAGCCATCCACAGATGCCAAAGGTGAGTAATCGTTTGAAAAATAATGCTGTGCTTTAGCGCTTTCTACCAGTGTCTCGAAGTGCCTCACAGTCATCACCCCTGTTCTTCAGGCCACTCTTCTGCAGCAGCTCAAGATCAGCACAGTCTGCTCTCTACCCTCACAGTTGCCCATTTATACTCCTGGGTGCGAGAAGAAATTGTAGTAAAGTGTCTTGCCAGAGAACACAATCCTACCATCATACCTTAGGAGATCAAATTGTCGCCTTTGTTATGGAGTTGTAAATTTCCACCTACTTTAGTTGGAAGTAATGTAGCGCCTTAAACAATTGTGCCGTCCTGTCAGTGTTTGCCGCGATGCTGCTATCTTGGAAAAAAGCTTAGAAAATAGAATCACAATGGGTTTTTGGGTGTCCTTTTTTTTTCTCCAGGAAATCAAAGATGTCAAGTTGGCCATCCTGACGTGTCCGTTTGAGCCCCCGAAGCCCAAGACAACCCACAAGCTGGATATCAAGTCGGTGGAGGACTACAAGAAGCTCAAAGACTACGAAGCCAAGAAATTCACCGACATGGTCGAACAGGTGCGTTGGGGGAGTCAGCTGCTCTCTGGTGGCACAAAATGGGAAATCAGACAAATTGTCCAAGAATGGACAAAAAAAATGTCCAGGTTTTGGAGGATGAGGCAAGATTGAGAAAAGTGAAGCCCAATCACTATTCGCTGCATTTGACTTGATGTTCTGTCTTAGTGCTTAAAAAGAAACAATCTGCAAGTATGTTATGATAAACAAAGTTACGCAAATTATTGAAAGGTTTACAGGGCTATGTCACGACAACCACCATAACATCATAAACACCCTTAAAAGTTGAAAACGTTGCTATTTTTAAACCATGAAAGACAAAGATATCCCAATAACTTTTTATCTGGCTTGGGTTTGTTTGACAAGTTACAGCATGGAATTCAGGATTCCTTTTCTATCTATTGAGTGATATTAACGGCCAGACACCATGCAAGAATAAACTCTCAAATCACCTCGAACCATCGTCAGGCTTGGGTTTGTTTGACAAGTTACAGCATGGAATTCAGGATTCCTTTTCTATCTATTGAGTGATATTAACGGCCAGACACCATGCAAGAATAAACTCTCAAATCACCTCGAACCATCGTCAGGCTTTGTACCCGTGGCCTAGCACACTGATGTAGGTGATACAATGCCCTGAATGGCCAGAATGCAGATTCATCATGTTGCATTTTGAAAGTTGCTCAGGTTTCCAATGCCAGCATATTATCAATTTAGAAAAGAAACAAGCTGAATATTTTGTATCCACGATCTTCCAGGTGAAGGCTACCGGAGCCAATCTGGCAATCTGCCAGTGGGGTTTTGACGACGAGGCTAACCATTTACTGCTCCAGAACAAACTCCCGGCTGTCCGCTGGGTCGGGGGACCAGAAATAGAGGTGAGTTTTCTTGGAATGGCATTTCTAAAGAGGATATTCTACAGTGTTTAATGATCGGAGAGCCAGTTTTGTTTGCAAGCTTGTCCAAGTACAAAGAATGCACCACTGAGGAGTTTCCCTTGCAAAAATTGGCATTGTGATTGGTACCTGAGCACGGAGTCCTTTTCTATACAAAGAAGGGTCGTGGATGTTTGCTGAAAATTTCCATAAACGTTTCATTTTCTTTTCTTCCCCCCCCCCCCCCCAGTTGATCGCCATAGCCACCGGTGGTCGCATCGTTCCACGCTTCCAGGAGCTGACGGCCGAGAAGCTAGGCAAGGCAGGCATCGTCAAAGAGATGACTTTTGGTACCACCAAGGATCACATGTTGGTCATCGAGGAGTGCCATAACTCCAGGGCTGTCACCATCTTCATCCGGGGAGGCAATAAAATGGTAACCCGATATTTTAATATTTAACCCATCTGCTCCTGTGTACTACATTGTATTACATTGTATGTATTCCCCGATGAATCCTTAAAAACAATACAGTACTGGGATGGTTTTGGGGCCACACAGGAATAGGTTCCATGCCAGCAGGAGAGGGCGCTCTTCAACCACTCACCAGAGCCCAGAGGACGGGACACACCATGTGCATGTACTGATTCGCGGCATATAGCACGAAGTACCCACAACTAATAATTCTGAACGTGCACAATGCCCTAGCGTCTTAATGCGAGTCCTCGGTGTCGCTGACAATGTCCCTCCCTGTAGTCTCCCCCAACTCTCCCTTTCTTACCGTTGAGGGGGTACGTTTTACACAGAGAGTTTGTGGCTGTTCAGGGAGCGTATTTTTTTTCCTAGGAGGGTTAATGGCAATGTCATGAATAATTCAGTTTTTCCTTTGAATCATTGCAAGACTTAGGTTCTCGTTCTATTTTCCCCTTAATTTAAAATTATCTCAGTGATAAATTTGGAGAAGAAAAATAGCTGATGAAAATGAGCAGCGACGACGAGGATTCGAACCAGGGATCTTTGTATCCATAGCTCATCTCGCTATCCACTAGGCTACTGTGTGGTAGCTCGACGACAACCGTTGTTTAAAATGTTTTAATGTATTGTAACTAGTTGAGTAACTAACAACAATGCTGTTGATGTCATTGTCCGTTCTCATGGATAAACATGAATTATTCATGACATTGCCCCTAACCCTCCTAGGAATAAAAATTACGTGTTCAGGGACTAACGGATTAGGCTTAAGCCTCCCAGATCCGTAAAGAAATGTACCAAAAAGTTTGAAGGCTTTTGCATGATTGAGTAAGGTACATCCCATCTAACTTTCTGTGTAGACGTGATGCATATTGGAAGGTCCCATGAGGTGCATTGGATATAGGGTTCTTTCACAGTGGTGCATTTTGTATGGAGGATCCAGGAATGCTCCCAGTGAAAATGCCAGGGGAAGTACGATACAACTCATTTAAAAAAAATACTTACATTCGAATATATCTCTGTTGAAGCCCTTTGAAATTTCCCACTTCCTTTTCAGATTATAGAGGAGGCGAAACGCAGTCTACACGACGCCCTGTGTGTCATCCGTAATCTTGTCCGCAACAATCACATCGTCTACGGTGGCGGGGCCGCTGAGATCGCTTGTGGTCTCGCAGTCAGCAAGGAAGCAGATAAGGTATGAGAACACAGGGTTTTGTTTGTTTCCTTTCCTTTAAGAGGTCACAAACGGTCAAAAAATTTCTACCTCAACTCCTGGCACACTGTGTTCAAACCAATGGGGGTCTTGACCAACATGGCTCTAAATGCATGTTTCCATAGGAGGGTTAATAAGTTGAAAACGTTACTAGTATTCAAACCATGAAAGACACAGAGATCCAGTGGACTTTTATCTGGTGTGGACTTCTTTCTCAATAAAACTGAACCCAAGTAAGTAGTTTTTTTCAGACACGGTGCTAAATCAAACAGAATCCAACAGCAGCCAAGTGTTAAGACTGCTGAATAGATTCCAATCCCCAGAACAGCAGATCTTCTTGTTCCGAAGATTGGAAAGTCCAACAGAATACGCCCATAATTCCGTTATTGTAAGATATAGCACAGTCGGGTTTTGAGCGACAATTGAAAGCATGGAATTCAGGATTCCTTTTTTATCTGTTGAGTGATATTGAAGGCCAGACACCATGCGAGAGTAAACTCTCAATCACCTCGAACCATCGTCAGGCTTTTTTACCCGTGGCCTAGCACACTGATGTAGGTGATACAAGAGGACTGCAAAAGCATTCCTGCTTACGGTCAAGCTCACAGGCTGTTCGTGTTCCTCAAGCCCCCTCCTCCTGTCCCTTACGACAACATTACTGGCATTAAGGAAGAATACAAACTTGAGGTACACCTCGAGTTACCATCTTATTAATATCGCATTCTCCAATAGAACCTTTCTCCTAATCTGAGGTTTTGAGGTGTTTAAATTTGACAGATTGCATCTATGAAGTATTTTTCATTTGAACCCTGTATTGTTGATGTTCCCTAACTTGGCGCGGCCCTTTATGTGGCACACTTGGATTTTTCTCGTCTGCTTTGCTAGAGCAAAACTATTACCTCAAATTTCACAGTACATGTGTCAGTGAAATTTCATCAAGCATTCCCCGTTCATAAATCTTGAGTTTATGTACCTGCTACAAAGTTCCAGAGAAATTATATTTTGGTGTGATTCTCTGATTTTATTTTAAGGTACAAAATGAACCCTTAAAAAATGCACCCCAAAATAAGATAATATTTCTTTGACAAAACTTGTAGTTGGTTATGTGAGTGGAGCTAATAATGATCTATCAAAATTTGTTAATTAATAAAGTCGTCTTGCATGTTAACATGGGATTTTCCAAGATTTGTTCCAGTGCGCCACGTTAGGGAACACTCAGCCGTTTTTGCGTCTATTTTCCGGCCGCCGCCGTTTATAAATTGCATTGAATGGACACTGAAATTGTTCACCAAGGTTCAACAGCAAGGATTAATAGTTCCAGTGTTTAAAGAATGAATGTGAAGTTCTTTAACTAAGAGGGTTTGGCAACATTGCATGAGGAAAGTCGAGGGAAATGTCCAAGTGCGTCACGTTAGAAGACTCCACTGTAAATGTCTAGGATATATTTGGGGGTTCAATACAAGTGTGTCATTGTGTCTTCCCACCAGATCTCCACGATAGAGCAGTACGCCATGCGCGCCTTCGGTGACGCCCTAGAGTCCATCCCCATGGCCCTTGCAGAGAACAGCGGTCTGCATCCAATCCAGACGCTATCGGACATCAAGTCCAGACAGCTGAAGGAGGGCAACCCTAGGCTTGGCATCGACTGTATGGGCAAGGGCACCAATGGTAAGTGGACTCCGTAGTCGAATCTTAATGAGGCTGTTCTTGCAGTTGGGAATACGAATCGGAAAGAATATTGCAACCCAACGCTACTTCAGCGGTTGTGAAAAGTCTATGGAGAGTCAAGAAAAGTATTTCATAACAAAATGTTTCTCAGTCCCAGATTCATGTCTTGTCATCATTTTTGCAATGACTGACCTTCATTGAGATGATATATGAGGAAAAAAAGCAGCGTCAGGTTGCAACCTTCTTTCCTTCAAAACTACCCGTAAGATAAAAAGAATTATTATACAGTCAAGGACATTTGCCAGGTTTCATAAAGTAACGATGTTAGACTACTTCCAAATGAATTGGCAGGAATCTCATTCCCATAGATTTGTTTAATTTAATGTAGCCAATGTCTAACTCTCTTGATTGTTGTTTGTTCCTCCCAGACATGAAGGAGCAACACGTGATTGAGACGCTGATCGGCAAGATCCAACAGATCAACCTGGCCACCCAGCTGGTCCGGATGATCCTCAAGATCGACGACATCAGGTCGCAGGTCGGGGGCGGTCAATGAGGGTCAACGACGGCCAATAGGAATCGGTAGAATTAGATAAGCTATCCACCATGGGTGGAACGCAATAAGTACATGTGTTTCACTTGGTCAGTCCGCGGTGTGTCGGTGCAGGGCCTATTTTGGGTTTCAGAAGTTGGCTTGGAAGGCTTGTGGGCACGACCGTCTTGAAAGTAACTGCGCTTGAAAATAACTTTGCTAATTCATGTAAAAACAAGCGACATTGCATATGATCGACTGGCGAAATGCCAATTGTTTGTCATTGTCATGAGGGGCGACACTGCACAGTCACTATCACATTTGCAAATTGAAACCCCCCCCCCCAAAAAAAAACTTGACTTGACAAGTTCTTTAAATCAAATTTACACAACAAAAACCAATGTAGTAACCTTTATTGTCTATAATTGTGAAAAGCAAACATGCCGCTTTTAAAAACTGTTTTCACAACTGGGCCCAATTTCACGGCGCTGCTTAGCACAAAAATTTGCTTAGCACAAAAATAGTCTGGCTTATAAAAGCAGGTAACCCGCCAAAACTCCACGTGATGTATATTGCTCGTGATCAGTATTCAGCTGTTGTTTGCTTAGCATGAAAATCACATGGAGTTTTGGCTGGTAACCTACTTTTATAAAGCAGACTTTTTTGTGCTAAGCAAATTTTTGTGCTTAGCAGCGCCATGAAATTGGCCCCTGTTCTGAACCCTGCCAAACAGGTCAAAGCCAGAAATACCATGTTCATCGTGTCTTGTTCCTGACTTGTGTTTTGTGGTTCAGATTTATTCTTCTGAATGAAGTATAAAACCTTTGGCTTATGAGTATGGCTCTCCATAACAGCACGAGTCATTAATAGGCCATCAGCCTGGGGGTTTGGCCAGTATCAAATCAGGGCATAAATGATTATAGTGCGCATGCGCAAGGAATACCGCCCCTAGAGTGGTAACAAGCATTTTGATAGACATTTTGAAAAAAAGGGTGATAATGCCTTGCCAAAAATCGCTATGACGATTATTCCCCTCATTTGATACCGGCGGCAAAAAATTTGGACCGAGGCTGATGGCCTATAATATGACTTTTTGTGTACTATTCTTGTCTTGATGTGCGAGTGAAACTGATATATTATTATTTGACATTTTCTTTTTGTACAGTGAAGTTATTAAAGTTTTGTGCTACAATGGAAGCAAAAAAAAGTATGCAAAAATACAAGCCTGTGTGATTGTCCGTTCTTGATGTTATTCGTACTTATGCTTTTCAGCAAACCAAAGTTGGATATTAGATTCGACGGACTAAAATGCTTTCATGCTTGAAAGGATAATACAAAATACATTTTGTGGCTTTGTTCAACCTGACTTAATATAAAACTAAGTTTGAGTTTTTGGAAAGTGACAAATGCATTTACTTAGAATATGCTTAAACCTGTGACCCTGAATTTAATATAGTGTGAAGACAATGTACGATAACAAAATAGGTACTTCAAGGGATCATACAACATTTGCAAATATCAAATCCAAAACTACTAATTTATTATAGTGAATGACATTCTAACGCATCCTGTAAAATCATGGCAACTTGTGTGCTGACATTTTTAAGAAAAGTTTAATTTTTGTATCAATTTCCAAGGCAAGCAAAGGGTGGGGGGGGGGATTGCTTTTTTTTCTTCAAATACCGCAACCAATTTTGCATATTTAGTTATACAATGTATTTTGTTTGCAATCGATTACACATCTATGAGTGTGTACAAGACAGCCGGACTGGTTCTGTGACCTTCAAATTTCCTGATGTCTATTAATTGCTCCATTTCATGGGAGGTGGGTTGGGGGAACGAGACTACAAGAATTGTGATTGTTTTTCTTGGTTATTCTAAGCACCTATGAACACAAAACTTTAAACAAGTCAGTGTAACAATATTTGCTATAAAATACTAAACACCCCCCCCCCCAACAAAAAAATATCGATTTTTAAAAATTACTTCAAAATCATTTGCTGTATTTTCACTTTAAATTATGAATTAAGCGAAGTTTTCAATATCATAAAACAACAAAAAGTTATATTGCTTTCATTTTCAGACTTAATGTAACAAAATGACATTCAGGGTCATCAAATAGCCAAAAGCAATTCTCTCCGTTCATAAAATTGTGTTTAATTAGAAGATGTTAATTACTAAAGATATCCGTCACTTCGTCAAGACGGAAAATCTACTTCTCCACAAAAAAATGAGGCATATGTTTGTACACAGCGCGTGCGCGTATATTACATTTATACATTTTAGAACGCAGATGCGTGGAGGCTTCATATTTCTTAATATAGCACACGTGTAAAATCAATGAGACTGAGTGACACATCGAGATCCGTCACTTCGTCAAAACGAAAAACTTAGTGTGTAGCACTTTCAACACTTTGTGCAATTCGCGAAATTAACGAACGATGGAATGTTGTGTCCTAAAATTTGGTAATAATTTAGCGGGCATCATAAAATGTTAGAATAACCAAAAATCTCAGCTTGCAGAAAATCTCTGTTTTGGATGGATGTGTCTCTTCGTCAAAACGGTGACGCTATGAGGCATGCCGTATACAATTTCCAAACAAATGAGAACAGTTGACTCATTATTACCCGAAATATCGATATCTGTTCGTCCATGGAGCCAAAACAGATGCACACAGCAATGTTCCACGTTTCTCTGCCTATTATTAAGACAAATTGTTCTCGAGGAGAGTTTAATGGAAGCCTGATGGCAGAGTGGTTAGATTCGTCGTCCCCAAATCGCGGAGTCCGCAGATCGAATCCCGTCGGTGTTTTTTTGTTTTTCGACGCACGCATTCATTTCTATTCAGTCATTTATAAGACGTTTAATTTCCCGTCGTAAAATACCAACAGTACCTTAGCTTAATCGGTAAGCACTGCTGCTGGTACTGTCCGTGAGTTCCAGGTTGGCGCCTTCGTACAGGTTCAGGGCATGTGGTCCACTCGGAGGATCAGGGCTTAGGGTGCCGCCCTGTTCCTCCCTTAGCTCTTTGCTTTTACATGGTGCCTGGCCCTCCGGGGTTATATGGATGGACAGGGAAGGAAGTGTGTATTGGCCGGGGACGCCGAGACCCCGGAAGAGTCCTAAGGGATTGTGATGGGGCATTGTTATGGCCCATCCGATCCCTGAATGCTTGGCTAGCACATAACTTTTTGATTTTTTTTTAAATCCTGTATTTTTTTTTTAACTTTGGTTTAGTTTGATATTTACATCTGCTCGGCAGTTGTACGGTAGCATTAAAAACGAAACGGTCTATGTTATAAATCAATGAATATTTAATAATTTACCATAATCAAACAAAGTTTTGTACGATCAATATGACTACTGCCCATTATTAATGGTGCAATTTCCATCGACGTAAAAGAAAACGCCGTATACAATATCATACCCGGAAAAAATAAAGATGTACATAATAACGTTTCTTTAGTTGTGAACGTAAATAATTTAATTGTGAACGTTTAAATAAAAATGCAAGAAAACAAAGCTAACGCAAGAACACAAAGCCCCTAACCCTTAAAACTGGAAATACACAATTGAAAAACATAGTCAAGTGGAACACCCGAATGTACACTATAAGGATTGAATTTAAAAATTCCATTACATGGGGATTTAACAGACTTGCTTTTTGTTAACAACATCTACCTTTTTGTAATTAAGTGTGGTATCAGTTGATTTAAATGATTTTGAAAGATCCTCAACAAATGTATTTTGCCAAAAATAAAAAAGTGATTTAATTCAGTGATTAAGCCAACCCTGATCCTTCCGAAATTCAGAGAAAAATTACTCACAACTCTGCAAGGTGTTTGAGACCCACATGATTTTTATAAATTTTTATCAATTTGTTGGGTTTTTTTTTTGGGGGGGGGGTTAAACAATGATGTGTGGGAGAGAGTTTCCTATAGATAATTACTCTTAAAAATAATTCTAATAAAAAAGTTATGCCTGCGCTCCGTTGTGAAATAAAGCGATGTTAGGTCCCTATTTCATTCGAATTTCACAGAAATAATCCAAGCTCATTGATCTGTTTACGGCGTCCAAATTCCTTTTTTTAATACAATTTGTTGGCATGCAAATCCTGATTTGGCCGGCGCAAGCATTTCAGGTCTAATTACTGGCCTGCACCTTTATTGGATCATACTTACGATATTACGGGCCCATGACATTTTTTAAAATGCGATCCTTAAAAATGCACCTTTGTGTCCGTTTAACCTTATTTTCAATTTTTGTTTTGCCATTTTCAAGCCCGAGTTTTGGCTTTTATGCTTATGCGAATTATTCATGAGTAAAAGTGTGATGTCCTAACAGGCAGAAACCTCAATGTTGCAATTAAATTATGCACACAAAAATTGCCAACATTTTGGATATTTCGCTGTCGTAAACTTTCTTTTCATTAGTGATTCGTTGTTGCGTCAGTTCATGGCAGCAAGCCAATGAGCAAACTGTTCTCACAAACGTTTCAATGAGCATTTTTTTGTGTTCACTATTTCAATAGAAAAACACCTAATATGAACAGTGTCTCCCTGAAATGACACCACGCCAACAGCGCCCTTAGTTGTCCGGAAAAGCATGGAAAATTCTAAATGTTTAAAAAAGTGCACTTTTCAACAAAATTTACACACAAAAAAAGAATATCAATATAGTTTTCATACACTTAAGAGGACTAAAAAGTAGCACAAAATATGTTCCTAAGAAATATCCACTTCATGAGCCCTATCAGCGTTATAACAACCATACATCAAAGTCGTTAAACAGAAATGTGTAGAGTAATAATTAATGTACCCCCATGCTGAGCTGAGTTGATAAGGGCTCCACCGATTATTTTCTATACGTAGTATCATAAGATTCCTTTAATGGCCTTTTGTTGGTTCAATTACCGAAACTTACCTTACCTTAGCCATACAAACATACATACGAACACATAACGAAACGTCGGTGACAAATACGGCCCACAATTAAAGATAGATTGCCATACATAATATAAAAAAAAAACCAGAACCAACAAAACTAACTTGTTTGGACTGAAACTCCCCGAGTATCAATTTTCTTTTTGGTGCAAACATCTGGGTTTCGGCAAATTGGCGTAATTATGCATCAATGAGTGGAAAGAGCGAAGCTCAATAGAACCAAGGGTCATACCAATTCGACTATCGGCAGGCCTAATTTATTTATTCAGAGAGATATCGTGAAATACTTATGTACCTGATTAACAAGTTCGAAACTATTTAGGTACATCCGTGTACCGGTACGCTTATAAACTCCCGCTTGTTGAAGTCTTGTCACAGTGTGTCTTGCGAGCTCAAACATGACTCATTTCGTCAGCAAAAGTCTTGTCTTTGTCATTACATTTTTCATTGGAATCGTTGGGTAAGTATTGCAACGACTTTTATGTATACAGACACCTATATACCGGGGGAATGGTCGTAATTTATTAAAGTTTTAGTCTGGATTGATTTATAAATGGCATTGAGTGGTTCGTCTACTTTGTTTTTATTTTTACTATTGGTGCTGAAGCCGTTGCGCACCGACCATCCATGTCAGTAACGATACTTGGCACTGTATGCACCTCGCGGTCCGCGCATTAAGTCCGACGCCTCATAGATCCGACGCCTCATAAGTCGGAAGTCCGGTCCGGCAAAATTTCATTCCCGACCTAAAATAAAGGCCCATAAGTCCGACGCCTCATAGGTCTGACGCCTCATGAGTATGACGCCTTTTACATGTACCGGTTGAAGTCCGAAGCATCGTTTGTCCGTTGTCGGAATTGTAAGGCGTCGGAATTATGAGGCGTCGGAGCCATGAGGCCAAACCCCTAATTCCAATGCCTCATAAACCCGACGCCTCATAATTCCGAAATTTCGAACTTATGAGGCGTCGGACTTATGAGGCCTCGCACTAATACGGCCACTGCACCGTACCTCTTCTTGTTTTCGTTCAGAGAAAGACCATGTATAATAATGCTTAACTAAAGGAGACCTTGCACAAAATGATGCTATACTACTCACAGTGTTGAGACAGGTGGGCCTTCATGGAAATAAACACACGTTATGATAAAGCGGCAATGTTTCAAACGAAACCTATACAAATTGATGTTATTTTTGCTGGTTATACGTTGGAGTGGAGTGTTAAACGTAGCAGCTTGCATCATTAATCGTCTTACATAGGTGCAAGTCAGCCAGTAATTCCTCGCAGCTAATCTTGGATGAAATTCTCAAGGACTACGACTATCGCGTCCGACCAAACTCTACTAATGGTGAGTGGACTAATTGTTTTACATCCCTATTTTTATTCCCACTTGTTGCAAGTATCCCTTGACAGCCTTCTACCAGTACCTACTCTCATAAGCCATTATCGTGTTGCGGCCAACTTGATATTTTCCCCATTCAAATCAACGTAACCAAAGCGAGGCCGGAAGGAAAAATAGGCTGGTTCCTTTTTGCACAAAAAATCCGTAATCATTCAGTTCTGTTATTGGATACAGGGAACATGACTGAAATGACGATTTATGAAAAAGGTCTATTGGCAGACTTGTATTCGAGTCACCAAACATCGAGTCCGGGTCCGAGTCCGAGTCCGAGTCACCTCTCCCGAGTCTGCGTCCGAGTCCCGAGTCATGCAGGTCGAGTCCGAGTCCGAGTCACGAGGCACAAAGTTCGAGTCCGAGTCCGAGTCCTGAGTCATACAGGTCGAGTCCGAGTCCGAGTCACGCGTCATGCAGGTCGAGTCCGAGTCAAGCACCACTTTTTTTTCTTTTCTTTTTTTATAAATATAGGCCTACAGTACATGTATATGGGAAATAATTTTCGAGGTACTGCTAAAACCTCACAGTGTAAAATTTCCCATTTTTCTCACAGCTTTTGTCCAATTTAATGAACTGGAAATACATGTATGTCATGTCAAATAAGGCAAGTGCTTTGAAAGGATTATCTGGTACCAACATGATCAAACACTTTCAAACTTGCATTTACGCAATATCAAGTGTAGGCGCTGGGAATGGGGTACATTTTTCGTAGTGATTTCCCAAAATCAATATATCGGAAACATGTCAGCCGCACGTGCTGTGTATATTAGATGCGTTTCCTCTACACCGCACTGACTGTATCGCTTGCTCAGGAGAGGATTAATTGTTGAAAAAAAATAAGAGATAATTTTGGTCGGGTCCCGAGTCACGCAGGTCGAATCCGAGTCCGAGTCCCCAGGGGCGAGTCCCGAGTCCCACTCCGAGTCTTCATCGTGACTCGAGTCCGAGTCCGAGTCACGGAAAATGAGACTGGAGTCGGACTCGAACCGAGGCACGAGTCATACAAGTCTGCTCATTATATAAAGCGAAGTAGGGTATAACTGCAGCAACAATAGCATGCATTCGCGAGATTCAATGTGCAACTAAAGAAAGCTATACCCATTTCCTTTTTTTTTATAGGAGCGCCCGTCGTTGTAACGGTTGAGCTTGGTGTTGAACGCATCGGTGATATCAGCGAAAGCGCGATGGTAAGACTTACCGCCCAAGTTGTTCAAATTTAACAACTCGTAATATTGGGAAGTTCTGTTCAATGCCGTTAATGTATTCTGTAGACAAACAGATCCATCCGATCCTTGTGTGGTTTGTTGAGGGCGCCATCATTTAATTCTCATTCTGACAGTCCACGGTCACCAATTCGGTCCTTAATTTACATCAAAGAAAATCTACCATAACGGTATAGTCATAGAGAGCTGAATGTCACACAGTCATGGCTGTCAATTTGGTAAAATGCACACAATTGATCGCTGATCATTTCCCGACTTAGTCTCGTTATCCCGGAGCCTGCTAATGCATGAAACTCCATAAATTTGAATAAATAAAAAGCTCTGATTTGTGTATTTAAGAGATGTACAATGTCATCTTCTTTAACCAAAAAGAGTAGTCCATTAATTTGGAGAATTTGGTGAATAATAAATTGGAATCGGATGCTGATAATTAGGATTTAGAAATGGCTTTACATCAATGGACATTTTGACGTGTCCACCCTGATCATTTTGCAGGAGTTTTCAGCTACGGTCTTCGTGATTGAGAAGTGGACGGACGAACGACTTCAATTCAAGGACAAAGATCCCATTCGTCTGTCCGGCGACGACATCTACAGGATCTGGATCCCTGACTTGTTCTTTCCGTTCGAGGCCGAGGCCAAACTCCACGAAGTCACCATTCCCAACCAGAGGGTAGTTCTGTACCACGACGGCCAGGTCAAACTCATATTACGGTAAAACTATATATGAATCATTCAAACCAACTCCAATATCGCGCTACTTTCGAATGAGAAATCGAACGAAACTTTTATCTCACGCTTAGTAATACGGAATCTTAATCCTGAGTGGAGCCTGATTTCTTGTCAAGATTGGAATCTCTCAGTCCCCTGACGACAGGCAGAGCATTATATTGTCCGAAACGTTGAGTTTCCCCAGTTCTTTTCAGAACATCAAAAACTCACAAAAGAGATTTGCTACATGGTGCAGCCTTAAACTTACTCATACTGCTATCTTCACAATGTTAAATCTTATCCGGCCAAGCTTGGCCTCAGGCCATGTGTGGAGGACTTTTGATTACGAATGATTTTGATTGCGCCTGCGCATGCGTACTTACCTTTACTCGCAACATGGGGAAATGATCGCAGTAAACGATCGCTTAAGACACTTGCATTTTATTAATCACGGCATCAACAGCCTTGAAGATGCTACTTCTGTGCTGAATCACAGTTTGTTAAAACGAATCGCATATTTCATGAGTGATTTACCATGCTACAATGCAGAAAACACCGAGATTTTCTTTTTGTTTAACTTCCAAAAGAGCAACTTTGAAGCTTGCGTGTCCCATGGATCTCACGCGAATTCCGATGGACGAACAAAGCTGTGACATAACGATGCTGAGCTGTAAGTCACTATTTTCAAAGTTTTCAACTTCTTTCGTCAAATAGAAAAAAAAACCCAGAATAACTCAAAGAAAAACCAGAGCCTTGGTGCAGGCTGTGATCTTCACACAGTGTCGAGTTCGTCAGATGAACGTTGTGTGGCAAATCCCATGTTAACTATGCATAGTGCAAACCAATAAATTATACGGTGCACAATAACCAATTTTGAAACTGAAGGCGAAAGAACAAAGAGAAAGGGACGGAAAACAATAACCCAGAACAAGATGAATGAATGATTGATAAATTGTAAATTGTCACAAAGAAAAAGAAAATCCCAAAATAATGATAGTTTTAATTACTTCTTTTTTTACTTTTTTTTTTTTTTTAGATCAGTATGCCTCGACTGACTTGGTCTTGCAGATTGCTGAGGAGGATTTTCAGCTGCCGGGGGAACCCGAGCTATCAAGGTTCCGAGTTATCGGCAAAGAAACCAAGATGTATGATATCCAATACGGATTAGGTATATTCCTTGAAAAATTAATTTCTTCACAAAGCTGTCCTCACATTTTCACACACACACACAAAGAAGAGAAGATTTTCATATCCAGAAGTGGTGAAAAACTGTACAATTTCGAAATTATCCCGAGGAAAGCTGATCATAACATTCTCCACGGACGATAAAATTCAAGGGTTTGTCCTCAATCCTAGCCTTGACCAAGGCTATCAGCTTGTTCCCATACGAGCTTGTTCCCGCTACCGCACACACCGCGCGCGCCGCGAGCGTAATTTTTTTCCTAGGAGGGTTAGGGGCAATGTCATGAATAATTCAGTTTTTCCTTTGAATCATTGCAAGACTTAGGTTCTCGTTCTATTTTCCCCTTTATTTAAAATTATCTCAGTGATAAATTTGGAGAAGAAAAATAGCTGATGAAAATGAGCAGCGACGACGTGGATTCGAACCAGGGATCTTTGTATCCATAGCTCATCTCGCTATCCACTAGGCTACTGTGTGGTAGCTCGACGACAACCGTTCTTTAAAATGCTTTAATGTATTGTAACTAGTAACTAACAACAATGCTGTTGATGTCATTGTCCGTTCTCATGGATAAACATGAATTATTCATGACATTGCCCCTAACCCTCCTAGGAATAAAAATTACGCGCGCCGCGTCACACTATATCAACGACCCTTGCGTGTGCTTTGTGTGCATGTACGTGCGCCACACACACACTTCCGCAAACAGCCTTACAGTAAGTCGAGGCGGAGAACAGCCTTGACGAAACCATGGCGAATTCCTTATGTGTTTCTTTATATTTTCGGCCAAACTCGGCCGAGAATTTCTGATGCGCATGATATTACATGATATCCAATCAAAGCCCGTAAACTTTGAACCGTGACATACATATTCATGAAGCCCGCAAATTAACGTAAAAACCACATAATGTTCACTCAAAAATAAATGTCCAAGTATTTCAATCCCATTTTTGAAATTATTTCTCCAGTTTTATTCCAAACAAATGAAATGTGCCGCTATTATATGAGTGAACACTTGTTCAAATGATGATGATACTATTTCCAATGTATTGCGAATATGGTTCAAGACAGTTCATATCCGCCGACGTTTATTGCCCGGTGCAACAGCGTCCATCACGCCGCTACCCGTACCTGCCCGTGACATTCTGACCGTAGCGAATGTAGGGAACAGGTCAACTCGGACCCAGGTCAAATCGTACACATTTTATCGAATGCAGGTTAACTCGTATATATAAAGTCATGTCGCACTGAGCCCTATGAATTAACTGCAAGAAACGAGCTATTGACTTTAAGATGGAAATATACGAAACACACACACGAAAAAAAGAGGAAAATCAATAAAAAGAAAAGAAAAGAAAAAAGAGTCGCCGCCGCCACACTGTCCCTTAAATTTCTACCTTTTCCGGCAGTGACCCTAAAAACGGTATATTGTAAGAGCCCTTTTAGGCTACCCCCAAAAAGAGATCGACGGACATTTTTTTTTTAATTTCCATTTAATGTTTAATAAGTTTCTTAGGATTATTCATAAACGTTTTGAAAGATATACTTTGTTATTCCCGAGGGTTATTTTAGCCTGCATTTGGTTGCTTCAAATTTGCCTGTGCTGGAAAGTTACCTTGTATTGTACAAGTTGGCCTTTAGCCACGAATCTTTTCTATTTTCTTCCCCAAAGTCGTCATCACATGTTTCTATTTTTATCCGTAATGACGTCAGCGTATCTTTCTATGTTGATCCCCCATCAGAGGTACACAGTTGCGCCAAGGCAATCATCAACCTCCAGCGTCGCTTAGAGACTTACGCCCTCACCGTTTACATGCCCAGCATCCTGCTGGTCAGCATCGCCTGGATGTCCTTCTGGATTGACCCCAAGGCAGTTCCGGCCAGGGTCACTCTGGGGGTCACCCTCAACTTGTCCCTCAACACCATGTCCAGCGGTACGGCCGAGGTCATGCCGGTCGGAGGAGGGGTCAAAGTGAGTCGAAACGCAGCAAGGCTTGACTTGAAGGCCAATTCTTCCACCTTTTGACCAGTGATGGGGTGTACTAGTAGGATTGCGTCAGTCATGACGTCATCATCTTATTAGGGATCAGGCAAAGAGGGATGGTGAAGGGTCCACCGAACTAACTCAAGCCCCATTGAAAACAGTGTAAAATCAACCAAGTTCAGGGCCAAATAACATGCAAGCCGACATCACTGGAGTTTCTCAAACAAAAATTTAATGATTGTCGTGTCCTTCATCTTTTCATTTCTTTTCAATTTTGGGTAGATTAGCCAATTACAGTTTTAAATATTCACACCAAAACAAAATCACCTCCCAAAAAGTGATATACTTCCCAAGGCTGCATGCAGCCATTTTACAAGTGGCATCCTTCCACTCTCTCAGGCAAATAGGACCCACTTTGCAACCGTAAGTTTATCAAGTCTGCCCTCAGATGGAAGCCCAAAATCCAGGGAGTTGATCCTTGGCTTTAGTTACACCATTCCATCGTTTTTAAAGCCAAACGGTCTCCGTTTTCAAAAGAAATTGTGTGTGTGTGTGGGGGGGGTACTTTAATGAAAATGAGCTCGCGTAGAAATTCTCACTAGAATTAGTGCACTGCACCCTGAAACGAATGTCGCTCTTGAACACCATCTTCCTATGGGGGCGCTCAGCAGACGGTCATGGGCACTATTATTGTGGCGCTCTTTCAGTTAAAAAAAGGGTCCTCGTGAAAACTTGGGGCACTCGTGGCAAAAAAAAATTGCGGCCAGGAAGGGGGATAACCCCTTCCCCCCGCCCGATTGCTACGCCAATGAATTCCGTGTAACACTACATACATTTCAGTCATGATCGTGTATGACAATTCAAGAATTGGTATTTTCTCCTACAGGCTCTGGACGTGTGGCTAATCGTCTGTCAAGCTTTTGTCTTCATGGCATTAGTCGAATACACAGTCGCCAATTCCTCCATGACGAATGAGGTAGGCCTGAATGTCCTTTAGGCCAAGTAAAAAAACTAATCCAGTTTCTCGTCCCTGCACTCTTCCTTTTTTTTTCCGGCCGCCTCCTTTTTACTTCTTTAAAATCATACATTTGCAATATTTTGCAAATATATTGATTCCAATAAAATTGTTGCTAACCAAAATGGGTTATGGCTCATTTGAACACTATTTTTGTTTCAGAAAAAGAGTTGAGAAAATCGAAGAATCCATCCGCCATCTTGGAAACTCCGCCATCTTTGAAAAAAAAAGCGCCAGTCGCCTTCATTTTTTCAAAAAGTCGGACGAGAAACTACTCAAGTTATTTAATCGGTCTTAAAAGAAAATAATAATTTGCCATGAAAATCGCAAGATATTAAGACTGTTATTTTATTCTGGATTGGGAGGCGAAAGGTCCTTCCAGAAGTCAACAGAATATCTGTCAAAGATAAGCTCAATTTAAGAATGAAAAAAATGTGAAAACCGCAATCAATGCAATGTGTAAATAATTTTCCCTAGCAATATAATATTTTTGTGATTAATTTGACACTTCATTTTGGCAAATTAGGACATTTTTCCCCATTTTTTTCAGCACGGTACTTATACAGCTGTGAAAATTGCGTTATAGAATACAGCAGTGGCGCACCTAGGATTTAGCTTCGGGGGCTCACACATTTTTTTTTTCAAATTTGTTAGAAGTTTAAATTAAAAAAAAAAATGTTGCCCAAAAATTTTGGCCGCAGAAAGTTTTTTTTCAGTTTTTTTTATTATACTACTCGAAAAAAAGGCCACATAAATACCACCAAGGTCCAATCGTGGGACGAAAAAAAAAAAAACTCTTGAGGGAGACTCAAGCCCCACGAGCCCCCCCCCCCCTCCTTGGGTTCGCCACTGGAATACAGGCAACCTGAAAAAATCTCCCCGCTTAAAAAATATGGTCAAAATAGCATGCAAGCTCTTTTGCGTCTTCTATTCCCACTTAAAAAAATCAGTTGAGAATGACAGACCATGTACTCAAATGGATTATGGAAATATCTGAAGGCTATCAAAAATTAAATGCAAACAAAGGCTGAGCGAAATTCACAATGGGGTAAACAGAGACGCAAAATGCCTATTACGTGACATGGATGAATTCCAGCACTGAAAACCCCCAGAAACATCAATGCGTCGGCCTCTCTGCGTCATCCCCAGCTTTTGAATCTGGCCACCAAAATGAAGTCTAAATGGATCTCTTTTTTTCCTCATTTTTTGGTCCAGTATTACAAACAACTGAAGTACAGGAAGGCACAGAGGAAACAGCAGAGCATGAAGAAAAGCCCTGACGGGGAGTTGCCGGCAGAGGAGAAGTTACAAGAGTACAACTCTAAGACTGAGGATCCCGTGGAGCTTGCGTATGTCTGGGACAAGGCCTTCAGATACGCCTTCATCATCTGCTTCTTGATCTTCAACGGGATATACTGGTTCGCTTATCTCTACATGTAGAAGGTCACTCAAACAAACCACCGAAAAGTACCAAGTTTTAAGATATGGTGGCACAATAGGAGGACCCAAATTAAGCATGCACTCCACTACAATAGCCATGGTGACAACCATATCTCAAAAAGGCCAATTAGTGGGGCAGATCGGGGTATTATTTGGGGGAATTGTGCCTTTGATGATACAAGCATGGCATTTGGCACACAGTCAGAGTATGTCATGAAAAACATATTTGGCCATAGGGCCATCACAGATATGTCCTTTGGAAAAAACATAGCTAGAATAACAAGCACTTTTCAAAATTTTCAAAATGGCTGTCATTGCTTGGCCCTATAGACAAATATCTTTCTCAGGACATACTTTATGACTGTGTGCCACATGCCATGTGTGTATCATCAAAGGCACAATTCCATCAACTATCTGCCGTACTATGCATATGGTACATGGTCTATTTCGAGTCTCTGTCTGAAATTGGCAAAATAAGATTCCTCAGCAATGTACACACAAGTCCACTGACTCAGGTGAGATAAGCATTCCACGTTAATATTTGATACATTCCACGTTTATTTTTTGAGTTATGGCCAATTCAAAATAAGTGCCGATTTGTCAATCTGTCCACTATCTCAATGTCATTGGTAAGGAATATAATGGATTTGGAGTGGGGCTAGTTTTGCTTTTTTTTTAATGTTTTAATCTTTCTTTTTTTGGTATTTGGTTGTTTTTTTGGCAACAATGGTCATTTGTCTTTTTGGAAGTAATGTTAGTCCAGAAAAGGACTGTTTGGTTAACTTCTTAGATGTTTACTGTGCTGCTCTGTCTCTATACCCTCTACTTGGTAGCCTCTCTCTTATTGCGGCAGTCAAAATATCAGTCGCCGTGGACAAAATGAAAAAGCGGCGCTTGTATTCAACTGCCCGTAACTCAATAAACATTTACCTGATATGACAGAGTTTTTCGTTATTGAAAAGCTAATGAATTATACTCTCTAAACATGTATCCATATTTGTAATGTATTTTTTTAAAGCTGTGAAAAAGAGGGAGCAGGAAGGTTTTTTTTAAGACCCCTGTACGTATGGGAAGTGATAACGTGGGCCAAAAAATAAGACGGAGATATTTCGATGCTGATCAGAATATTTCAATGTAAGAAATAATCAATATGCTGCTGAGATTTGAATAAATTACTGAGGTTATAGAAGAACTTTATGTTTTTATCATTGCAGAATGTTTTCTCGAATGGCAAAAAATCAGTGTTAACTTTCGTTATGTTATTACCAAAAGCTATAAGACCATTTATATTTTCAGTGTCTGCTATAAAAGCTTATTAATGAACCAAACAAAACTTATACTAAACGAAGCATGTACAAAATATTATAATTTAGTAACTATATTTTTAACTGTTATCATGAAGATATTACCATGAGTTAAATTTAATGGCCAGATGCCTTTGGTATAGGATGTGCCGAATTCTTCATTAAAGTCTTCATTGTCTTCTCGTGATTTTTGTAGGTTTCTTTAAATTGTCAAGCTCACGTGACTGGATAACCGTTTGGGTAATCCTTGAAGTAGTAAAAAGAAATAGAAAGTCATTCAATGAAGGCTTATCGGTGTGCGATAACTGTGATTTTGGAACACCTGAAACAAAATTGCCTGTAAATATGGGACATTAAAAAAAACTGCTGTAAACTGTTTTACTGACTGGATTGACCTAAAACAGGGGATCTGACATCTGGATTTCCATGGATCTGTCCTAAACCTGGATCTTTCTTGAAGGAAATCCAGATAGAATCGAATCGTCAGGCCCTGTAACTTTTACCAATATGTGAATTAAAGTAACACTTGTTTGACGTTCATTTCTAAATTTTTTATTTTCAATACATTGTAGTTGACAAAGTATTATGCTTGATTTTAACACAGGAATAAACGGAGGTAAATTATATCAAAAATATCGGCTAGAAAAGATTATTTCTTTTTATAAACAGGGGCGGATCTAGCATTCAGGAAACGGGAGGGGGTGTGATATGAAGGATTGACCCCTCTAAAAAAACAAATCCTCTAGATCCGCCACTGTTAAGCTGTATCGTTGTCTTTGTCTATTAACGTTGGTATATGTACGGTTTTTTTTCAAATTTTAATTTTTCTTTTCAGAACAAAATTTAAAGGAATATAATGTCCAGTAACAAATAAAGCTGCTTGTTTGTTTTTGCAGGCCTTTATACAGCTTATAAAGAGTGGTTTTAAATGGAGCGCTCCAGTTCAGAAATTGCGCACACTATATTCAGAACGAATTAAGAACGTCTCTCTCTTAATTCAAAAGTTAAAATTAATGAATTGATTACTTGTCATTGGCAGATTCAATTTGAAAATCTATTTTTCAGGGTGCCACACCCCAAAAGCACGTATAGGCCTATACCAACTTTAAAGGGAATATACAACATTTGCAAACATCGAAAAATAAAACTACCAAGTTTTTGCGAAATACCTTAACAGGATGTTGGTAAATGACAGTCTAAAGCATCCTGTAAAATTATGGCACCTGGTATACTGTCATTTTCAAGAAAAGTGGTATTTTTGTATCAATTTCCAACGCTGATCGGCCGATCAGCGTTGGAAACAACTGGCTTTTTTTCAAATACTAGCCCCAATTGACCATTGCACTTGTTTGCAATCGATTACAAACCTATAAACGGGTACGAGCCAGCTAGACTGGTTCCCTGACCTTACAATTCCCCCAAAGTATGTAAACTGCTCTGTTTCTTCTTATATGGAGTCAGGGAACCAGACTATAGGAAAATGATCGTTTTTCTTGGTTTTTATAGCATTTTCGAACCCAAAACCTCCAAAAAGTTAGTGTACCTATATTTGCTTTATATTTCCAACCCCCCAATTCCATCCATTTCTGAAAATTACAGCAAAAGCAAATGATGTATATTCCCTTTAAGAAAAGGAAAAACGAAATTAGAGACGAGTTTGTTCGTGCATCGTTGGAACCTATAAACAAAAATTACTCACCCGTTTACACTAATGAAAATGCTGGACAGAGTATGCCCACACACGAGTCTTTAATTGTGCAAGTTATAAATGACGTGTCATTTTCGTTGATGATGAGAACTGGAAATGAAGGTCGTTAAAACTGAAGCACTTTCCTCAATTCCAAGTAGTTGCTGCGTGACCTCGAAGCTTAATCGCCACAAAAACGAGTAGGAAAAAAAATGAGTTATTGTCAATACGACGGTAATAGTCTAAATGGCGGCATTTAGTCTGACACCCTGACGCTCCCATAAAAGCGCTTAATCAGATTTTCTGCATGTATGCTTCGTTTTAATCAAATATTGTTTTGAAAATGCATGCCAAAATATAATTTTGAAAATGGTTTAATGTTGCTCTTCCCATACTTTTTTTCGAGTTCCACCCGGAAAAATTTGAGTTTGATTTAAATTACACATTTTGAAGCAATACAAAAGTTATTGAAACTGAGAACCAAAAAAGGCGCTCATGTTTAGTTATGGAATATTACTGGAATAATTACAAATTAAGAATTGTTTCCGGCCTGATAATAATTCAGGGCTGTCTTTTATGCGTTGTGGGAACAAATGCAACCTAATAACAGAGCATTTTCAGGGGGTTAAAAACTTTTTTAAAAAAATAGCCTTTTCCTTTTAAATTAATATACAAAAAGGAGAAAAAAAACCCGAAATTGTTGAAGAGAACGGGTACTCTAAATAAAAACGTTGCTAGTTTTAATTAACTTCGGTGACTTCGACATATGTCCGATTTAATTAGAAAATTTGCAATACCGGTGTATCTCTTTGTATACGCAATATACGAACTGCCAATGAAGCATACACTTATCCATAACGCATGAGTATAAATCAGTGACCTTCCGTAGCAGGTCACGCCGCACAGCATCGCCTGCCGCAGTACGAAAAAAAAATTGCTGCAGGCGCTTTGTTCGCACTTCGGGGAGCTAGGGGCAAGTTTTTGAGATTCAGGTTTGGAATACTCCAAGTAGCTCCGGCAACCCCTACGGGGCAGCATCCCGTGAAGACGTTCTCAAGTGACAGTATCAGCTTCCCATCGGATAATTAGATGCGTTGCTAATCTTACAGATGTACTGTCCGTGCAAGTTTCAAACGAAAAATATGTATGTTTTATTCTGTATAAAAGATATTTACCTCTGAATAAAACATCGAACGAAAAATGTAGAATAAACTTCGAATAAGTAGTTTCCACATTTCGAAAAACATGAAGGCCACTAATAATTCTGGCGTATCTTTTGGACTTTAAAGCGCAAATGCATCCCGCAATGAAACTCTTTAATGTCAGTGCTATCATACTCCCACACCAGGAGTGAGATGTCTATTTGGATATAATATTACCCTATGCACACATCATACATGCATTAGTAATATTGTACTATTCATGATCACATCCCGTGACTTGTATGATACATGTACATCCATGATGATGAGCCATTAATGATCGTGCTCCTTTCCACCTTGCGCTATAGTATCATGCATGCATGAATGCATGCTACAGTCAATCTCCTACCACACGGCTCGTTTCCGTCCGTATGCGTATCAGTGTTAACTTTCACGCAGTCATGCATGATTTATGCCACTAATGCCCGATCGCTGTACCGCGAAACCTCTCGACGGATGCAACTGAAAATCGGCCAAAAGTGTTTCAAGTCGGGTTTAATATACATTTGCAACCATCAAAAACTTAAATAACAAGTTATTCTGAAATACCTAATACTTGACTGTAAGTGAATAAGCACCCTGTGAAATCATGGCACCTGGTGTGCTCTCATTTCCAAGAAAAGAGGAATTTAACAAAATAATTTCCTTAAATGTAGACATATATAGTCCTTAATTTTGTTTGCAATCGGTTACACATCCGAGGATGGGAGCAAGCTGAGCTAGTCTGGTTCCCTGACCTGACAATTCCGTCTTTAAATTGCTCCGTTTCGTCTAAAGAAAAGAAAATTAACAACAGCAAAGTATAATCCAAAGTTCTGGCAAATTATGGCGCTGAAATAGCTGTAACATTGAGGTTTCTGCCCCAAATGATATCAGCCTTTTGTTCATGAATATACAAATTACATTAGAATAACAACCAAAAGGCACCAAAACGCCCTTGAAAATGGCAAAACGAAAATTGAAAATAAGGTTCAAATGGGACACAAAGATGCATTTACAAGGCCTACATAACAAAGATCACATTGGCCCTTTAATTCGGTGACTTTGAAGACGGCAGAATTCAGCCCATAACCAGACAAGTCCCGCTTCGAACCTCGACTTTCTGCCGTGTCTAATTCAAATTGTGGGCCATTATTTGAATTAGGCACGGCAGAATGTTGATGTTTGAGGTGGGACTTTAGATATACCCAATAAGATGCAGAAACGGAGTGGCAGGTGTGCGATCGGTGGACCGCTCATTTGAGTTTACCTATGGGATTCATCGTGGACATTAAAGTGAACGGAAACTCATAAATATGCGATTGTCTAATGAGGTTACCTTAGAGGAAGTGGATGACGGCTTCGTATAATTATAAATTCGATAAGGATATTTGTCTAAAGAACAACCAACGGCTAGCTCTATTCCAATAAACAAATTTGTTTTGTTGATAATTTCAAGTAAGACCAATAAATTTCCACTGGAGCCACTTGTATAAATATAGTTTCCTTTTTGACATCTTGTTTATCTGGCCAGTCCTAGTTTGTATGAATTACTGCTTCACTGACAACTCAAAATAAACTGAATTCTGTCCACCATGTAATTTGATTGCGAAGGAGAGGCGGTGCGGAGGATGGGAATGCGGTCGAGAAAGCGCCCAGTCTTTTGAAGTACATGTACCTGTAATTTCAGTTTATAATGTACTTGTTCTAGCTTTTAAATTATCTGTCATTGTCGTTGAAATTTGAAATTTGAAATTTGAAATTTGAAATTTGAAATTTGAAATTTGAAATTTGAAATTTGAAATTTCAAAGTTCAAAATTCAAAGTTCAAAAGTGAAAAAAAAATCAAATTTGAAAAATTGAAATTTCAATTTCAAATTAGAAATTTCAAATTAAAAGAAAAAATCCAAGGAGAAACAATTAGAAGTTTCAAATTTGGAATTTGAAGAAAAAAAACCCAGAATTTGGATCTCAGATGTACGTGGAACATAAAATTTGGAAAGTTCACATTTCCCCAATTCCCTTATTTCCCCCGTGATTGGATCCACTTCATTATTGCTTTACCACTAGAAAGTGCATTATTTGACTTCATGAACTCTTGTCCCATGCACCGATGAGGCTGCGTGTTTATTGTGCATAAGAGCATGCACACTAGCTTAGCGCTATAGGTGTGATGCGACCATCAACTGGAAATATTTCAGGCGCCTTCGGTTTTCCGCCATCGCTGCTCGGTAATGAACGATACGGTAAAATATTACACCAGTGCGCGACAGTACAAACACGCCGTTACAATATGCTTATCATAGCGTGTGATCTTCATCACTTTGGAAAACTGACTACCAAGGTGAGCAATAGATCAAATGATAGCGGGTAATTATCGACAGGGACGGCTTGTCAACGGCCGGCTGTAACGGAGTGTTTGTACTATCGCGGACAGGTGTAATATTTTACCGTAGGCGTTCATTACCGAGCAGCGATGGGGAAAACCGAAGGCGCTTGAAACATTTCTTGTTGATGGTCGTAACGTACGGCTGATCTGATGCACGGTACCCTCTAGAGACATGTGCACAATAGGGAACAAAAGATTGTATACGTCTCCACAGAGCAATTTCTATAGATGAATACGTCTCTACAAGGTTATCACGAAATAGATCTATGGGTTTTACTCAGAAACTAGGAGTTTCCAAGGTGTGTTGATCGATCGCAAATTAAAGTATTTTATGTATTAAGGGATATTAAGTCCAAATTTCAGCCCAGGAAATTCATTCTGGTTAAAATAGGAGCATTTTCAAAGCACAATTTCAAACTCGAAAACAGTACGAGTACGGCCTAGGCCAAATTAACCGTTGCTGTGCTATTACCAGTGAGTTTTGCGCTTATAATTGTCACCATTCTGCATGTGCTTACGCTGCACCGACTTTTTTGTGTGATTCTAATACCACTTTTTTTATCAGCCAAGAGTTGTACGCATGCGCATAGGCCACTCCTTACTAGCCCGTAAACACACTTATCGATATAGCACAGCGTTTTGGGCGAGGGTTCTCAACTTACGTCACAAAAGACGGTCGCTATAATATTGGGCCCCGATCTAAATGTTTAAAACAGGCGAAAGCCAAAAGACTTGAATATCGGTCAGGGTTGGAGGGATGAGAATTTCTCCTCCTCCCCCTTACTTTTCGAACAGTAATTTCAATTTGGCATAAAAACACATAATTATGTGTTTTTATAATAACCGCCTGCTGTTTTCTGAAGAAGTCAACAGGAATATACTGCCTCGTTGATTACAAAATCATAGTGGTTTTTTGAATAAAAAAACCCCAGAAATTGTAGAAATCAATGAAGAATGTCATATAATCATGTTCAGTGAATAAGCCAAATCACCATTGTTTCCAAATAAATACCGCATCGACTGCACCCTCTTATGTTTACACATGTACGATGTAAACTCCACATTTATTTCTTTTTAAATGGAATTCATTGTGAGCACGGGGAATTTTTTTTCATAGCTCCTTCGTTTTACGATTAGCAACACAACGACTGTGCTATGAAAATGCAGGTACCCTCACAAACAAATTGATTGCACGCTTAAAACAACTTCGGTAAGGCAAAAAAAAAGTCTCCGGTTTCTGGTATGCGCGCGCGTCGCCGTAGCCATGCGCGTCGGCAGAATGAAAAAGTGTTTTTTTCTCGATGAAAGATGATGTCTCAAAACCGCCAAACTCACTGGTTTGACTGGAATCCTGCTGCTGCACAATTTTAACGTGTTTTTAGATTGGGTTATGGTCGAGAATAAGCTTTATGTGGCCTCTCTGGACTCCCATATATTTGCACTAGGTTTAGTCGGGCACCATTTGCAGTCATCAGCCGACATTTGAAGCAAAAAAATCAGGTAAAAAAAAAAAGCCGCCTCGCCGCACCACTTTTTGGGCAAGCTCCATACCAGAAACCGGAGATTTTTGTGTGTGGCCTAACCGGACATCGCATGAGTGATTCGCAGGAGATCAATTCAATAAAGACTGAATGGCCGATGACATCACGGGAACCGTTCCAGTCTGATGAACAAATCGAAAGGAAAAGAAAAAGCCGGGTATAGGCAACGGTATCTTACGGTCCTAAAATGAATGCCTTCCATTGTTCACGCTTTAATCCGTGATATAGATAAAGAGATTTTTATTTCAAGTCTTCCAACAAACACTCCTCTGTACTGTGAGGTTTTTTTATTGGCAACCTTGAAAGAAAGAGAGTCAGGTTTATTGTACTTACTAGCATGCGTTTGTAGGTAGCAATTTCTCTAGTTTTAACGTTCAAGCGCTTTACTTAGCTCATTAATCGCCATGTAAAACTATCTAGGTAGCTGATTGGTTGGTCAAGGGTTAGGGTAAGGGTTAGGGAGCTCATTGGCTGGTCAAGTTGAAGTCATTCCCAAAATACATTGTAAACATAATAACATGTCCTCATTGAATTGTCATGTTTACCTTTTGAATTAGTGTGCTTATTTTTAGAATTAAAAAAAAATCAATTATCACCAGGATATTTTCAACGAATTGTTTCTTTTTTGGAAATTTGTTGTGTTAACTTCGTTTACATCGTTTGGTTTTTTTATGACACGATTGACACCGGTTGATATATTTTATTACACGATTGGCGTGTACTGGTTTTTGTATTAAGCAACAATGCAATACGGATAGGAGCCAGCGCGTAATGTTGGCATGACCGATGAGCTATGGAGACTTCTTGACTTTGAAATGCAGGGACATAAATAGGTATATCTCTCCCCAACCAGCAATCTGCCTTACGGTAAACCAGTCAGTGCTGTGAGTTAGGGCCCCATCTCAGAATGAAACTAGGTTCAGGTTGTGGAGCATGCGCTATATAAACCTTGTGGATAGGTCCATTGAGAGGATACAGCAGACGTTGTAGAGGCCTGACTGCCTCCGAGCTCCGAGCTCTGCGCTCCGCTGGTCTAAGACTGACTCGACTCCGTACATCATCACTCCGTGGTCGGGGATCGGTGCGACAAGATGAAACCATCGAGGTCCCCTACCAGCCGAGGCCTACCCGGCAAGCCGTGCATCGTCTTACTGTTGATGGGGATAGCATCTATCCGGTGAGTTTACCTGTGCATATTGCCTATCATTGCAAGTGCAAGTTTTCATCAGAATTAACTCCCTCGGGGGTGTGCAAAATCGTATTAAAATTGGAGGACTTGGGACTGTTAGGTGTAGCAGTTGACATTATAGCTGTATTCTGTTATCAAGAAGGGTGTTCTGTTACATGTATTTGGAATGATGCCACGTACTAAATCCATTGCGGCAGAATGGAATGGGGTGAAGTGCCTTTTCCTCTCCAAAATGTAGGTCAACATACCAACTGCATACCTATACCCTTATGAGCAAACTCCTCATGAGTTGGTTGATTTTTTTATCCAAATTAAGTAATAGTTAGGATAATTTCATGATAATGTATGTAAATATGAACACGTATAGTAGAAAAGTTGAGTTGAGTGTGTAGATTATGATCTGAGTATATAGCCTGCAGTCGGGCACTACATTTTTCGGGGCAAGTGAGGGGCAAAAAAAAAAATCCTTTTTGGGGGGGGGGGGGGGAAGAAACAGAAAAATCAAAATACGGGAGGTGGGGGGGGGGGCTTGGGCTTGGCTGGACATCATATGATGCTTCGGGCGCTATTCAAAACCGCTCATATACGTTTTTATTTGCATATAGCCTGCACGTTTCAATCATACAGTGAAAAAATTGACTTCAAGTCTCTTCTGTTCCTTTTTCTTTTCTGTTATATACCTTCATTTCGTCCGTTTTTCTCTTTTGTTTGATTTTCTTGGGGGGGGGGGCAAAATTGGGGATGGGGTGGGCAAGGACGACAATTTGGGTACCAATCCCCACCCCCACCCCATGCCTCCCTCCTAGCGCCGCCACTGACTAGTATATCCAGACTCACAGGTCTAAAAATTACGAAGACTGCAATTTTGGACAAACCCCACCCCACCCTTTTTTTGTAAAACAACCACTGGTGGAAAGTTTAACCTTAAATAAAAATACGCCCAAGTCGTGTTTATTATTCGTCATTCATTTCGGATATCTGCTGATGTCCAAAACTGTATACGATTGAAATGAGACAATTCGGTCACGAGAACCTTATACTTTAAAATAACCCCTCCTCCATTTGCACGTGTAGCACATCGACCTTTGTATCAACTAGAGATCAGGACATTCCGTTGAAATCAAATTAACGACTGTGATGGCAGACGTCGTAAAACATCTGTTATTTTTTCTAACAGTCGGTATCTGAGGTGTGCATCTGTCAACGCTTCACCAGTTGAACTTTAGAAAAGACATGCCGTTGTTTGCTTTACATTTGGTTTGAATATAGATCGAGTGACGGGTTGATAATATTCACCTGTACGTGAATATGTAGGCCTACTGTTGTCTGATGGCGATGACTTCTGACGCGATCATTTATTGTGGGCTACATGGAGAAGCCAGCGAAAACAGGAATGGTTTCTTCGGATGAAACTTAAGGATTGCCTATATAGATAAACGACTATTCAGTGTTGTTAGACCTTCGATAACCCGTAATTAAAGATCCATGAATTTTATTTCTCACTAACACATATTTGTACCAATGTCCGTCTCGGAACTGGCGGAAAATATGGCCAAATAATTAAAACAAACCATGTTTAGCGTCCTGCCTTTTTGTAAAAAAAAAAAGGAAGCGGGAGGGCCTTTTTTCCCCTCAAAATAGCCGCCCGACCAGGCTATTTTTCAAGATGGCCGCCATTTTTTTTTAAATGGACGCCCCTGGACTCGGGAAATGACATACCAGCTTGATGCAACAGACAAAGAGGCCAAAGTGATGTCACTGTTTAAAAGTAGTCATTTTTTTCGGTTAAAAAAAGAAGAAGAAAAAAAGGAGGCGGCCTCTAGAAAAGGCAGCGGGCGGGGACACTAAACATGTTTTGTTTTTTATTTGGCCTAACGGCTATACCTTTTGAAGTAATGGCTACCTTTCACTCAGTGTTGGAATTGTCCTTGCTATTTTCTGACAACCGAGGCGCTCTTGCCGTGACGTCACATTAGTTCAAGTTGTGACGTCACATTAGTTTCAAAATTGTATACTTTCTGAATATTAAGTATACCGAATAATTATATGACTAGCACTCTGCTTAGTAATTCAAACTTACTAGACGAAATTCAAAACGACAATTGACAAAAGCAAAATTGCGCTTGCATTGCGCTTGCAGAGCAAAACAAATGGTCCTGAAAAAAAACCTCGCTGATATATAGAAAAGACTAAAATGCCTCTAAATTGGTCACAAAGATGCATTTCAAGGACTCTATTGTTAATTTCCAGCTTGAGCCCTTACTGTGTGCTTGGTACTTGGTATAGTACTGCGCTCCTTTCCTTGTTTGATTATTTACAACGCGAAATGAATTATGCATGCATGTTTTATCGAACTTATCGGGACAGTCAAACACACCACTCAGAAAAAAAATATTAATAAAAAATGAGCTGAATGGTTCGATAATATCATTGTTGCCTTGGTCGTTGCGAGCACGAAAACAACACGTGAACAATCGCCTGATTCAGAGGACAAAATATGTAGGTTTATTCTAAATTCATACATCCAACACTTATGAACAATGCCCCTTTGGGGAAAGTACGTTACCAAGAAATCACGTCACTTGTACAGATGGGAAAAAGTGCGAATGTTATGACTATATAAACTAATTAAACTGTTTGGTCATTATGCATGTATAGCGACCCAATTATGACTAGCTCCTCTGTATAGTAAACAATACATGTGGACAATCACCTGATTACAGAGGACAAAGGATAATAGGTTTATTTAAAATGAATACATCCCATATTAATTAACAATGCATTCCCCTGTGAGGAAAGTGCATTACCGAGAAATCATGTGACCCTAAGTGTGTATTCGAAACCCTGTTCTCGTGTTGAATGCACACATTTGACACGATAGAGAATTCATTCTGTTTATAGAACTGTCAACCCTGTTCTCGTGTTGAATGCACACATTCGACACGAACAGAATTCATTCTGTTTATAGAACTGCCACATCGAGAGAGAAAAATAGATGCTCTAAAAAACAATCTTTGGCGTCGTCAGTATAATGTTCCTGGCTAATGTTACCTAATCGCGAAAGCACATCGGTAAAATTTTGGCTTAAAAAAAACTTCTTCAATTTTGTCGGGGTCGATAATGACACGACTGCACTGAGTTCACCATAATTACCAGGTAAATGGGCCGCGGGGATAAATCTCCCCAATAGCTCAGTAACTAAAGCTTGCTCATCGTTGTACGTCAATAAAAAGTGTGCAGCGCGTGCGCTGCATACTAGCGCTGTCGCCAGCCGGTCATCATGGGAATACCGACAGTTACGTTTTTACGTGACCTATAAACCAACATGATGGAAACTATATATAGTCTGCTGATATGCGACTTATAGTTTGTATTAAATTCAGACCTTTGCATCAGGAGATTGATGTAGCGGACCATGCCAACGTCAATCGGGGAAGGAAGGAGGAACGGTCCTCTATAGTTAAAGCGGTGAAATGTTCAAAATATATAGGGCCTACATGAAAACAAAGACTATGATCACTGACTAAACTATCTCCTGAATTTAAAACAACAGTAAGCTTACGTAAGTAACGTAGAACAATAAATATAACAGTAATACAAGGTGAATGTCAAAGTTCCGAAAATAACACAATTTTTCTCACAAAAAGATCACATACTACAGCCTGTCTAAAAAAAATGGTACAATCAGAAAAAAAATTGGTTAAATATGAAATTTCAAAATAAGTCATTCTTACTTTGCATAATATTAAAGAACAAAGACTGGGCTTTCCAAAAGTGTTTGTTTGATCTTATTTGCTTTTGTCAATTCAGAGATATAATCAATTTAGTGCGATACACCAAAATCGATTTTGTGCCACTTTTATGCATGGGCAGAATTGTTTCGAGTACTGTGCCATGCTGTCTTGAAGCTCACAAAAGATTGCAACTTGGCAAAAGAAACAAACTCGATTTTTGTGTTCCACAGTATTCACTGGAGTTATCTCTGGATTAACAAAAGCAAATGAGATGAAACAAAAAGTATTGGAAAGCCTGTTCTTTTTTCTTTAATGTGATGCTCAAAACGACTTAATTATGTTGAGATTTAATATTGAAAAAAAAATCGTTTTCGATTGTACCACTTTTTTTTAGACAGGCTGTATAACAATATCACTGGGAAATTCTATGTACTATGGTTATACCCTCCTACATTACATGTTGGAGCATGGCCGGAGCCATGCATGCTCCCTACAAATTCCAGTGGATTTACAGAGAAACTTTGTATTGGTCTTCTCTGCTCGAGACCCACTGGAGAAGACTTGATACAAGTTGCATTTGTGCGGGAAGCAAATCAAAGTGTTTAATGAGAAAATGCAAATCACTTGCAAAACATTTAGGCACACATAAACTCACTGAGGGCGCACTTGGTCTCCCTACAGGTTTCCTACTTTAAGACCACGCGACTCGAGTGGTCCCAAATAATACAGATACAAGTGCGACCTGGAAATGAGTTTTATCAAATTAGTAAGAGTTTAAGTGATTCGCAGTACTAACACATTTTACATATATGTGACCTGTTCTGTCAAAATCAGACTTTTCTGGGCATAAGGTCAAAAATGAGATTTTTGTCAAGTTATTGTTAAAATATGTTTATTTTGCTTTTAATAGGTGATTTCATTTTGAAACCGGACATTCCCGAGCAAATTTATGCTATTTTGAAGTTCATTGTGTCGAAAAGTAGAAAACGGAGAAAATGGCAGTGAAAGTTTGGAGTCTATTTTAAGACCTCTTTTAAGTGACATTTCTTTAACTGATATACCTTAACAAGTCATCAAAAATACTATATTTATAGTTCAAATTAGGGTTTCAAACTTTTATATTATATTTTAGACATGTTCAGGATTACAAATATGCAAGAATTAGAAAATCCAAAAAAATCACCCCACAGCATTTTTTGGCCCTATCTCAATTTCAACCTCTGCCCAGAAGCGTCTGCTTTTGACAGAACAAGT